GAAATTATGCTAGAAGTAAAAAAAAAAGTATTTTGAAGATGAATAATATATGAAAAAATGGAAAACAAAAAAAGTTATTTTATAATATTATAAATGAAAAAATGAATATATGCATTCTAATCATTCTTGGTATTTAAATATTAGCAGTAATATTTGTTCATATATATATATATATATATAAAAGAGGAAAATAGGAAGGATATTTCTACCAAAAAAAAAATCCAAAGTTGGGGATAGAAAAAAAAATATATACAAAGCATAACCCTAACTATATTACGAGAAAACGAAAATATTAATAAAAAAGATGTAAATATTTTGCCAGAGGAACCTTCAAATACCAACAAAATAACTATAATAAATTGTACTTATAAAAGAAGAAAAGATTTTAATTATAAGAAAAAAATATAAATTTTTTTTAAAAAAATAAAATATACTATTTATTTTTCCTAGTATCATATATAGTAGATTATCAAATCTGCTTAGAATAATCTTTAGATTATTTATCTAACATAGTAAATATATTCAGCAGAAATTATCTGCTATATAGATCAAAACAAATTTTATAGCAGATTTGAAATCTGCTTATATATAAATATATAAATTTTATGAAAATATAGATGCAGAAAAATTATCTATATTATAGTGTATGCCACCTTATACTGTACCACTTCAGTAGGTAACTTTAAAGTACTGTGAAACTATCTCACCACACTATAACAAAGTGTTAAACTGATTATAAATATTCCATTTGACTAGGAGAACAAAGTTATCTGTAACTGTGCATACCGTTACGACGATATCTAACCTGCATGATTGACGATCGACAACGCATGGTTCAGACGATATAATAACTTACAGTCAACCGCATGGTTGAATATAGAGTAATAGGTGTGTATATTGTAGATAGAAGCTATGATGTAGATCAATACTTAGACGATAGCTAGCCCCCTATTACTCGACGTATATATAAAGATGGGATCCTGAGTTATGTGGATCCCTATCATTTTATCCTTTGATATATCCGAGTCTCACCTTATATATTGATTTACGCTGTCTACCCAATCACGTTCCTGATTATAAGTATCTGCTATCTGGGCCGACACTGTTACATTATCAGTTTCAATTTTTTATTTTTCTAATAAAGTTTTGAGTTATCATTGCTCAAAGTTAGAACAAGTTTATAAGTGAAGGAAACATTAGCAGTAGTTCGAATACCGTAATCCAATCAGGAGCTTTCGCTTGTTCGGCAAATATATATGCCGACTTTGTGTTACATGAAATCTTCACCAATTATTGATTATCTTGTTACATATTGCTGCATATAGAATTTTGTGAGTAGATTCTAATCTTAAGTACCTCTATCTCTTGAAAAGAATCTAATATTCACTATAGGAAGTGCCAAAAGACGAAGCTGCCTAGTCAAAACAACCAGTAATGTATGCAAAGTGGCCAATTCGGCAAAAAACTGCCTGAACCTGCAGACAGCTCATGTGCTAGCTGTAGCAACGATGAATCTTCTGATGTCCTTGCGAATATGACGATACTAATAATGGATTGGAACATGAAAGCGATCGTATTGTACTGGAACGTTCAGGAACTCGTTTGCTTGAATGGTTTCAAGGTACCGACAATAAGCTAAGAAGCTCGTATACTGGTACATATTCTTTATAAATATGATAGCAGCACAATGAAATGCATAAGTGCTAATAGCACCCAAGTCAGTGTCAATGACCGCAACAAAGCATTTCTCGGGAAGCAAGTCCAATCGGCAATGACAAGACATCTCGAGAACTTGGCAGAAAACACAAGAAACACGTATTTTTTGAGGCAGGCGCATTGGAAGGTGCGTTGATTAGTAGTTAGAGCGCTAGAGAGTTTAAAGAAAGCATATCAACCTCAGCAATACTAACTTTTTGTTTGTTGTTGTTTGCTTATTCTTTTAAGTCGTGATGCAACAAACTAGAGTTTAGAGATGGCGACATCGCCACTGAAACCGAACTTGTTGCTTTCTTGAAAGAAATAGTGGCCAATGGTATTATCAAAAACAAGAAAGATAAGCTGCCGGACGGCAAATCCAAGCGCTTGGGTAAAGAAGCACTACAGGCATATGCCAAAGCAGTAATATCATTACAAGCTGTGCAAGCCAGTGTCCTCGGAAATATGCACCCACCAGCCCGAGGAACGATTGTCAAGAACTTTTTGAGCGATTACGACCAGGAAAATGCAGTGCGTAAAAGAAAAGAATACGAGGACCGTGGCATCAACACACTTGAAAATACGTTGGATGAGCTGAAGTTCCGTTTCGCGCTATCAATTTGGACGATATACGCCTCACCATTTGCGCAACCGATTGAATTTTTTGCTCGGCCATGCGATTCTTGGTCGAGGCGAGTCCAAGCGTATTATGTAACTTCCAGATTTGTTCTGTACCGAGTTTAAAGACGAAGGCCCGACCAAGTGTATTGCTCTAGTTATCACTATGAATAAGGGCAAGACCAATCAGCATGGAAGAGTCGAGTACAGAGCTGCCATCAGACACCGCTGTGGAAAAATTTGTCCGATTGGAGCTTTGGCACTCCACCCTTTTTGCCGCTGGCATATTGAAAACGAAGAGTTCCCGGATTTATGTCACGCAGACATTGGTACAACATACACGTCTCAAAGGATGCCAACTGTATGCAAGCTGTCACTTATGATACGCAAAGAGATGGATATCAAGAAGCGCTCCGAGCTGTTGGTATTCGATCCAGTAAAATAACACACATCAACTGCGGTAGTGCTCTGAGGTCGATTGCCGAACAAGATGTTTCTGACAGTGATCAACGCCGAATTGGACGGTGAGGTTCAGACAAGATGATCGGATGCTACTTGACAAGTCTTCCGAAGCCAGCGATTCATGCTTAAGCTGGCTTCTATGCCTAAAAAGCTGGTGCATTTTGATTACCACGAGCCAAAATTGATCCGCCACAGAGCTTGCAACAAAAAGTCTTTCCTAATATCGAATACTGGGAAAACAAGTTCGAGACGAGGACTGTTTAAAACGATCTTGCAGGTCCAAAATATTTGGACTCTTAAAATATTGACAATTGTTTTTATTCAGGTACATAGTCACTATATATTATATCATATTGTATAAAGCACAACTTCAAGGCGAGATCCCTAAAGTATTTCTGATATACCATTATTTTAGGACTCTGTGGTTCTGAAAAAGCTTCATCCAACCCATTTCTTGGGGGCCCACGCCATATTTGACGTTCGCTATACAAACAGTATGAATCGGACATGTTGCGTTATCTGGCAAGAACCAGCGAAGAAGAAGAGCCGTTAGGTATACAGATCGAAAGGGCTATGCCACATTTAACGGAACTACTGCGATCTTCATTCGGCAACATCAACAGCGACATCAGTGGGATCAAAAGCGATATTGAGGCTCTTGGATCGTCACAGCAACAAGGTTTTATCAGTACTCTAGAAGCTGTTGACTCCATTTTTTCCAACCTGGTGTACCTCTCTCGCAATCCGCCGAATATGGCTCCGAGTTCAGAAGTTGACGTCGTTGAACACCAAACTGCCACAACTTGCGATGCGCTCCCAGTGGACGCTTCATCTCTGGCATCGCCGTCACCGCCTCCACAAAGCTACACGCTTAACAGAAAGCTTATAATTGTCACCGATGTCTGACGCGAGTACATCATTGGAATTGCTGCGCAGCCTTCAGTCCAATTTCTGGAAGAAACGTACCGCACGCAATGGAGAAGGAATTCCACGGAGTCGAGGTTTTTTTGCCGAAGAAAATTGATCTATGAAGAAGTCGAGCGGATGGCACAAGAAAGCCATATATCAACCACTGATGCTCAAGCCAGTTGGAAGAAAAATGTCGTGATCTCGGTATCAGCATAGATAAGTCAGAAAAAGAGACAAAGCGTCGTAGAACCGAGGAGTAAAATAGATATATCCGTACATTAGTAAATAAAGTTGTTGCCATTATACAAAATAAAATGTTTTGTAATTAGAGAAACACATAATATGTGCAAAAGAAGCATCAGTACCATAAGAACGGATTAATTTACAATGCCTCTACCTACGTTGAAAAGTTGTTTTCCATGAGAAGCTTTGGTTTCTTTTTGTACTAATCATTTTCTCTCAATCCGCACATATTAGACCACCTTTAGAAGCAGTTTCTAAGACGTAGATCAACATATTAGGGATAAAACCAACATAGCATAAGCTCATAAAATAAATGGAAACATTTTCGATATAGAATGACCACTTAGAGATTCAATGTGACATATTTCGTAGTAAATACGATCGTTAGAGACATACGATATTTGCAAAATGAAGATGAGTACTGGTCAAGTGCATCACGCTGTGCGCTGTAGCATGCAAGCCAAAATTACCGGAAATGTTATCCTCCCAGTAAGGAGGATAAAGGAACCCGACGAAGGGGTATGGTGACGCATCAAAGTTGAGGGGCTAAATCAATATGAAGCCACTGCGCTCAATTTAATGATAACACTCTCGAAAGAAAGAGTATTAGCAATTTGAGATATACTACGCTAATATTTCCCTGGTATGTCATGGTTGTTGAGGGACCAACCTAAGCTCCTGCCTCTCAATGTGACACTTGATTATATAGGCGTGCAATATTATGCGTAAAAAAGTACATCTCGGATTTTGCGTATGACTATTGCAATTGCGCTACCGTCGACAGTAACGATAATGAAGTCCATCAAATCATCGCTGAAAGATCAATTCTCTGATGTGTTCGTTCTGTGTAATTAGTTGATGTGGTTGTTTATCTTAGTACAGCAAGTTGGAGTTTTGAATTTTTCTTCAGGAACCAAAAAAAAAAAAAAAACCTCTAATTTTCAGCGCGGGTCTTAAGCTCAGCCAAATTGTTCAGACTTGGGTCTCAGACCCACTGTGACCCACACTGGAATCGTATCATGTCGGAGTCTAAGTGTCACCTGCTTGTTGGGCGTCATGCAGATACGAGAACAGCGCTCACCACGCATATACACACTTACACACACATATCATGCCGTCCTTTTTCCTTTCACTCTTTTTCTGACTTTTCTATAAACGCTATTACGCAAAAAACCCCCAAAAAAACAGATTAATTTTGAAAAATAGCAGCACATACCAAAAGAAAGAAAGAGCTGCTTCATTGGGAGACATGGACGCATCACCCTCAGCAAAAAAGGCGGCAATGAGTAGCAGCTCTAGTAGTACCAGCAGCAACTCTGGCACTTTTTCTGCTCCAGCTATTGCTGCTGCTGCCACTACCTCCTCTGACGCTAATATGGGGCAATCTGCGGACCATTCAATGCAAGCAATGAATAACAGTCGTAACAATAACAACACCAGCAATGACACGGATGCCAGCAACAATAATGATCATGATCGGTCCGACCCAGTTGCCGGTCGACCTGCGCCTCACCGAGTTCGTCTGTTCTTCCTATCGGGTGCGTGGAGCCGTGTATCACGAGCGGACCGCGTACTAGTGTTAGCAAATCTAACGATTACTATAGCACAGGTATGATAGGGTCACTTTATATTTTATCACTAATGTTCGGGTTTCGGTTATTCGGGTGTTATTCGAAAAAAAAACAATGATGACCACCTGCATGTTACTGTAAGCACTAAACCCAGCTTTAATCTCTACGCATACATCTAGCTTGTGAGCATTATCACCGTCCTCGTAGTATCTAGAAATCAAGGTTGTGATAAGCCGTTGGATGTCTTTTTGATCGTGTATCTCTTGCGATCTGTTGCAAACACGCCATTGGTCGTCTACCATTACCTTCGTCCTGGAAATAACCTTCAGCAGCAACAATCCTCTTATGCGAATGCTACTACTGCTGCTACTGCCACTACTACTACAGCCAACACCGAGTCAACAAGTACCGCTGGAGATGGAGTAGTATATTTGGCACGACCACCTCCTCCACCTGCGCCCCCTACAACGAACACAAATGCTGCAACTGTCGACACGGTCATGCCAGCAAGGCGGAATTGGACAGATCGGTATGATGGCATGCATCCAGAAAAAAGAAGACAAGAGCACATTAGTGAGAGGGATTTGAGGGAAAGAACCCAGTATAGGTACTTACACGGTTGATATGTGGCTCTTGTTGTTGTTGTAGCTTGAGATCACTATTGGATATATTCGGGATCGTCTGGTTTATTATTGGCAATTACTTTCTGTTTACATCCGGCCAATGTATCCAGGGGGCACCTTCATTGTTTTATACCACCCTCGTCTGGATCCTACTTGGCTACCTGCTCGTACTGATACCCTTGTTCCTGTGCATTTCCGTCATTTTCTGTCTTCCATGTGTGCTAGGTAAACTAACCAAAGAAGGAATTGTGCCGTTAGAGATCAGAAACTGACGTTGGATGATATTCATAGTACTGATGCGAGCATTACGACTGGGTTATGCAAGTGGGCTTGTGACGGGTGCAAGCAAGGAGGAAATTGATAATGTGCCTGTGTATAAGTACAAGAGCAACGAACCACAAGAAGAAGTATCATCCTCCATCACAAACAGTTGTGACAACACATCCAGATCTTCTTCTTTCTCATCACCACGACAGCAACAGCAGCAGCAGGAGCAACAACAAAAACAGCAACGGAAAAAACGACGATCCATTTTCCGATGGTTTTTCATGCGACGACCCAAACAACAAGCAGACACCGAACGTAACTATGATCCCATTACCATTACGCCTGCTGAAGACGCTGTCTGTTCCATCTGTTTATCCGAATATGAACAAGACGACCTAGTGTGCAAACTATGGTACGTAGTCAACCTTTTTTGTTCATTACAAGATTTCAGTTGGATATCTCACATAAGGGCTGTTCTGTAGGTGTGGTCATCATTTCCATAAAGACTGTGTTCATGAATGGCTTGCATTGAACTCAAGCTGCCCCTTGTGCAAACGCGATTTCAGAACAAAAGCGGATTCATAGTATCGCTTGTGCAGCCACCACCTTTCCTAGCCCAGATCATTTTTACTAACTTTGTAAATATAATTTTCCCATCCTGTTACTTTCCCTTCTCCTTCTTTCTTTCGTGTATACTCATTCTATCCTTATAATTTTGTTATTATTCCTCATTATCCAAAAAGAAAAAAAAATACTTGTTTACATTCATAGCCACCAGAAATGTCACCCATAACAGCAACAACAACACAGGTCCCAGTTGGCGAGATCCATTGCCAACAAAATCCCTACAGTCGAGAATTACAAACTACTTGTATCGAATGCTCCGAAAAGCCGGACAAAAAAGGGTTTTATCAGGTCAAACTCCATGACACAGGTACGATTCCCATAATTAACCGTGCACTACCTAACGAAGCTAATTTTAACGAATCTCGGGTTCTTTTTCTACATAGTCTTGTTTCCCGAAGGCGGTGGTCAGCCCTTTGATACTGGCTTTATCGACGATATCCAAGTTTACAACGTACAGCGCAAAAAGCTGGAGCATATCCATTACACCAAGCAGCCTGTTCCTGTAGGGAAACAAGTGCTTGTCAAGCTTGATTGGGAACGTCGATGGGTAAAAGGCAAACATGAAAGGATTCGTTAAAAGCCTCTTTGTTAATAATGTATCACACTACATTTAGGACCACATGCAACAACACAGTGGGCAGCATTTGCTTACAGCTGTTTTGGAACAAGCTCCTTATAGCGTTGACACTGGCTCATGGTAAGGGACTGCATTTACCAAAACATCATTGGTGGTTTTGGGACTTATGACACATGATTACGGTTGCTTTTTTCAAAATCTCAGGAACCTTGGCGCCACTAAATGTTTTATCGAGCTCCAAACCGGCGAAGCAAAGAAACAACGCATGCCCACACCAGAAGAACTCGTCATTGTCGAAATACGTGTCAACCAACTCATTCTTGACGCCGTTCCCGTCATTGTACACACCGAATCCTTTGACGAATCCAGCAAACCCGAAAGTCTACCCGACGATTATGTTGGCGGTGGCACTATTCGTCGCGTCGAGATCCAAAACCTGGATTTGAATCCCTGCTGTGGCACACACGTCGCACACACCGGCCATTTACAATCCATCAAATTGTTACACACGGAAAAGGCGCGCGGCGGCAATACACGTTTGTTTTTCCTTGTTGGACAGCGTGTGACGGACACGTTGGGTACATCGTTGAACGTTTCGCGACAATTGAACAACTTGTTGTCGGTGCCGCAAGAAGCGTTTGTGGAAAATGTCGCACGGCTGCAACAAGCGCGATCTGCGAATCAAAAGACTGTAAAACGATTGATGGGCGAGTTGGCAGGTTATGTTGCTGCAGAGATCGGTCGACGTATCAACAAGGAGGATACCGATGTGGTGATGTTGTATCGTGAGGATGCCGATATGGAGTTTTTGCAGACGATTCAATTGGCCATTCGCGATCAGAATATACTACTTGGTGGTGGTGGTGGTGATGGCGCCAGTAATAGCAATAAGGTGGTCGTATTGGCTGCAGGTGAAAAGCATTTGGGCGGACCCATGATGATTGCTGCGAGCAACGATGGTGCATTGCAGCAGGTGGCCAAGACAGTAACTGCTGCTTTGGATATCAAGGGTGGTGGCAAAGGACGATGGCAGGGCAAGGCCAAGAATTGGAAGGGCATTGATGAGTTGCAAAAACAGCTGGATCAGTTGAAGATCAATGCTTAGTAATGAGAACAGGGTGTGTGGCATCACAGCATCGTATAATTTGTGTATATATCAGAATAGTAAGTTTGTCCTATGCTAAACTTCATTTTGTTTCTAGAACTTTTTGTTCCCCTGAATAAATGCTGTATATTATCACTAGACCTTAATACTGGCCGTTTCTATACCATGCAATACAAGGTATACCGCTCATATAATTAACCCTTATCTGATCAAACAGTGGCAAATGCCTTTATTTGTATGACAACCATATAGATTCAGTTGAAATCATCCTTGTTCTTTGCCAACCATTCATCCAAAGTCTCCGGCTCCCGGCCCAAAACCAACGAAAGACCAGGCGACATGGGAGTGTCAGGGAGGATATCTGAAGCTAGATCATACGCGATTTTGTGAGGTGCCCCAATCACTGCCGTCATCAAATCGTACTGTTCCTTGAGCGACCACTGCTTGTACGTGATCGTACGACCCAGTGCCTTGCTCAAAGCCTGTGCGCGTTCAGCAGCGGTCAACAACTGCCCGATCATCAAATAGATAGTACCATCATGCTTCTCGATAGGATCCGACAAAACAATCGCAGCCAAGGCACCGATATCGTTGGGCGAAATCCACCCTTGCACACAATCTGGTGCGGCGGTGCCCACAATGGCATTTTGTGTCTTGATAGCATGTTTGGAATGATGGTGGTTGGACATGAACCGCCAGGGACGCAGACTGACATACGAGCCGTTTGTTTTGGGTTGGACCGCACGGATGGCTTCTTCAGAACGTAAATGGGCTTGACCAATGCCAGTGTGTGGGACCACATCACAGGTCAATGAGGAGATGTCGACAATTTGCTTGACACCGGCCGAGTATGCCATCCTGGCAAGCGTGCTCTTGATTTTTGGCATGCCTACCAAGGTGGAGACGAGTAGAAACAAACGACTATGACCGCCAATGGTTTTTTCAAACGGTGTCAGATCGTCATAGTCGCCTTGGACGAGCGTGACTTGCGGATGACCGTTTAGAGTGGATTTTGCTGGTTGACGCGTGTAGATCGTGATCAAGTATCCCTTGTCCAGTACATCTTGCACTGCCTTACTGCCAACACCGCCAGTGCCGCCAATAAAGTAGATACGTTCTTGTTCTTGGGGTGCCATTTGGACTTAGTAGTGTGTGCTTTTTTGGAGATACAGCAATAAAGAAGTTGTTGAAGAAGAAAACGCTTGTCTGCTTCTGGTTGTTGTTCGTTATGAATCACGAAGAAGCATGTGCACCCATCTACATTTATTTATGTATTTGGGCAAAAGCCGGTTTTGGAGACCGCGTCATATCTGATTCCATAAATGGAACAATAGAATCAAATAAGGAAACGTAAAAAGGAGCACCACTTTGCTTACGATAATTGACTTTTTAACAAATGGCTTACGTAGACTACTTGCTCGATTTATCTCGAATGCATGCTCTTTTGGTCACTCGGATAAATTGGGTCCGACACCGTACCCACAGCTGCTGATAAATTATGGAATATGCAGCAAGGATCCTTATTTTCGTTTTTTATGATGTTGAGATAAGAGACGTTTAGGATAGCGTACCTTCGTGAAGTACGGTGACACTTCCATTTTTGGATGCAATACTGTAGGAACATGATTTCACCGTGAACTTCATGCTAGATTTACTTAACTCTACAAGAAACTGAGATAAAGGTTTTGACTTTAAAAGCTAGTCGTAACTAGGCCAACAAAGAAGTAAATGATATTTTTACGCTTCCAAATGATTCAGGCATAGCGATGTATGTATGCAATGAACGCTTCCCTAGCAAACGGATATCGATCTTTAATAAAATAGTCCAGCATTCTGATGGTTGCAATTACATAGCCGAATATTGAATAACATAAGTAAACCAAATACATTTAATAGTTTTCAAATATATATCAAATAAATAAATAACTTGAGGATACTGTCCAAATACTTTTAGTTTGACGTGCATACTAAGTATAATCACATTTTGCTGATTTGAAGCTACTGTACTGAGGTGTGAATCTGTGCCAGTTCTCTACGAACCATAGATTTATTTATAAACATACATTAATTTTCTAGCGTAACATATATTGAGCGTTCTGGCTGTGCTTTCCATTGAGAATTATTGAATATTAAGAGATGTACTATCTGATTAGAGTTGCTGGGCATAGGACACACGCTTTAAGTAAGCGTGAAATAGGTGCTACGTATTCTACTATTAAATATGATGGGATGTGTCACAGAAATGGATATGATTAGAGTACAAAACCGTTCATCCCACGTAGTGCTCGAGCCCTTAACAATAACAAAGCGGGCTGAATACTACTGATATGCCGGAAACTTTTCAGCCCAGCTGGTCTCAATTTTACAGCCCGCGTACTAATACCCATACAACTTTAGATCATAAATATAAGTTTTTAGCTAGCAAGTAGTGACTTTCAACGCAATATGTAGTGCTGCTTCTATCTCTAACAGAAGGTATGTTATGATAGAAACGTGTGGTATATGATTTACTTGAATGTAGGAATCAATAAGTCTCTTCAGGTGTGAATAATTATATATTTGATGCTTGGCAAGAATAGTACCTAAAGAACTTTGATGATCAGCAAAAATCTGGGATTGCCTTTTACACTGTAGAGGCAAAAGTATTGAGATTGCAGTATTTAGCTTGATTGAATGAAAGCCGAACAAGTTTTCTTGATAAAAATCTTGCGCTTTAGGGCGTGTTGTTTGTCGCTGTACCATAGCGAAGAGCTAGTAGAATGTGAGCCGCGCGGAAGATCACACTCATCGATACGTCACGAGTATCACTTTTTCTACTCTAAATATTGCTTTATATTGAATAAAACATTTTACATTGTTGCATTGTTACATCACCATCTGTGAAGTTCAGAGCTGTTTGATTGAAACATACCGAATACTGATAGGTTTCATATCAGAAATGTAATATGTAAACGTGCATGTATGCACAAGCACACATACACATACACATTGGCATCACTTGCTATAATTTCAATTTTTCATGTCCGCTGTACTGGATGCATAATATCAGTGTCACATCATATGGCGTCTTCACTAAGCATATAGTAAGCTGTATTATCCACAAAATTTATAATCCCGTGTATCTCTTTCTTTCCAACTTTTAGCTTGTAAGATATGCTTCAGCAGCAGCAGCAACGCCAGACCGACCACGACGCCCAATCTCGACCTATTGTCCCAACACCCACGCTAGAAACGTTTGAAACGTTTGAAAATTTGACGAAAAAGATTAACGAAGCAATCGCCACCCATGAATATCTCGAAACGGTCAAGCACGCATCCGCAGCAATTGACAAAACGCAAGTAATTGCCCTCATCGATATTCGTGCATACGCGTACTCTTTACAGGGTTGTTATGAAGCAGCATGCATTGATGCACAACGGATGATCCATCTCGCACCGCACTTGGCAGACGGGTACATGCGTTTGGGTCACATTCATACCATGTACGGAAAGCAGCGCAGCGCCATTGCAGCCTACAATGACGGTTTGGAAAACGTGGCAGCAGCCGATCAGAAACAAGGAAACGAGCAACTACAAGCTGCTAAAAGAGAAGCCGAAACGATCAGCCAAAAACGTGTCAATTTCGTTTCAAAGCTTCCATTGGAGATTGGGACTCTTATTATTTCACTGCTGCCAAAGAATGCGATAGCCTCATGCATATCTGTTTCGAGAGCTTGGCGACAACGGGCTTTGGAATCCGCAGCATCATGGAAAATTCTATCTGTCGACGAGGAACATGCAGATAGGCAACTCGCTAGTGTTGTTGGATATACAGCGCATCATGTCGAGCACTTGACTCTCAACACATCAAACACAGCTACACGCTCAAAATACTTTGAGTGCATGAGAGACTATAAATTCAAAAAGTTACATTCACTTATAATGACAGGTAAATAGAACCGACAGATATACTACTGTTACTTTGACCATACTATATACTTTATGTAAAAGTACTTGAATCGATACTAATAAGGCTAACATACACACAAAAAAATATCAAATGTAGCTCGGGCTACTGCGAATCTTCGATCATACAGTTTCGCTCTAGCAACCGCACTATGGCAACTACGACCTACTCTCAAGTATCTCGACTTCAAATCTGACAGTAGCACAAGCGCAATCACTTTGGCAGAAGTGTTGCTAGCATGCAATAACGTGACGGATCTGATCTTTACAACAAATTCATCAATGTCAACCATGGGATGCAATTTTTCGGATCTGGAAGAAAACTACGCGCTGTCAAACCTGCAACTCAAGTCAAGATTGATCACTGGACAAGACATCCAAGTTCTGCTCCAACGTTGCAGTCATTTACGGCGGCTTGTTATAAATGGATGCGAGCCATCAGTCATGGAGTCTATTATCGCACATGCACACAACCTTGAAATATTGGGTTACGATTCCGAATGCACGATTCCTCAACTAAACGACACTGTTGATGATGAAGAGGGCCATCGGCGACCATTCAACGGAATAAAAGGCTTGCGCATGTTATACGCGAGTGGCAGCGGAGGCACCTTAATAGAAGCATCAAGTATTTTGCCACTCCTGTACAAGAACAGATTGACATTGACAACAGTGCATGCATCCATTAGAGGATTGCAAACAGGGGAGCTCCACCGTATGCAGTCGACATACCGTGATTTCCATTTTGGAAGTATCAAAGAACTGACATTCACCGCATTCACTGGCGTGCAACAGTTTATGATGGATGGAATACGGATCGCAGCGACTTTGGAGCGTTTGGAAGCCAAGCATGTGCACAATGTCAATAGCATGGTCAACACCCTCATGGAGCTACCGTCACTTACGGAATTTGGTCTTTCCCATGTTGACACCACATACGGACGCGCGAGCTTGGAGCGTCTATTCAAGAGATATGCCCAACTCGCTGGTGCACCTTTAATGGCGTCGTCATCGTTGTCACCGACGCTGCAATCCATCAAATTGCGGTTTTGCGACGAGATACACGACGACCTACTTGCTACACTAGCAGAAATCAAGACGCTGCACAAGGTCGAACTCGCGGGTCTAAGATTTGTCACCACTGGAGGATTTAATGAATTCATTAGACGCGTAAGCGATCGCTTGACACATATCACGCTTGGCGAGATGGATCTGGTGACGGATAGTTTCATTAGCACCACCCTCGGCGGTCTCCCGGCCTTGACATCCATCGAATTAGTCGGCCTAAAGAATGCAACGAACCAAAGTGTTCAAGCTCTTGTTGACAAAGCTTATCCCAGGTTGATTGAGCTGAAAGTCAAAAACTGCCCGTCGATTACTCAGGAGAGTATCCAATATGCCAAGAAAAAAGCGCGCGTTGTTGTACGTGAGTGAAAAACAATTTGCAGTATTAAAAGAAATCTGATATTTGCGGCTGTGATGTTGACTGTGTAAATTGCGTGAATGGAGGATGTGTATTGAAGTCTGGTACTATATTATTTATTTTTCGTATAACAGAAAGCTACTTCGGCTATTATGAAAGAAGAGTTATAGATAACTGAGTTGGCATTAGTGGATGTCTGAGAGTGTATGCAAATGCGTCGTATTTTACCCAGGTCAGCATTTATGCATTATGTTTAATTTCCTTCCGCGATAGTCATTATCACGAGAATATCTTTTGGGAAGGCGAATAAACTTTGTTCTCGTTTGTCCCAAGTAGGAGGTCTCCACTGCTACTACATAATCGTGTAAAGCAGAAGGCGATTGAAAATGTACGATTATGTAACTCCACAATTAAATAGCAATATGCATAATAGCGCGTGATTGAGAAAAAGTGCAAAAATGTATCATGGTACTTCTTGGATCTTACTTTTCCATGGTGCGAAACAAAAGAGAAAAGTAGACAGAAGGCACGATTTGGAACGTATATGTTCTCAATGCAGACAGTGGAAATATGTGAAGCCCGTCCTTGGACATAACGTATGCGCTTCATGCTTCTTCTAGTTTGGGTGTAGTTCGTCAACAATAGCTGCTTTTGTGTCTTGGCGCACCGCTTTGAAGATTCTCTTTCGCTGACATTAGCATTCCCAGGGCAAGTTACTATGGCATCTAAGGTGCAGAATCCGCACTATGGCCACTTTGGTAACAATAGTAATAAATTAATGGAAAAGAGTATTTCACTGGGTGACACCAACATAGACTTAAAATCAATCAATAGACTTGTGATGTCACGTACTCCTCCTCCTCCTCTTTCATTCACACTCACGCCCGTGCCCTCTTTTTTTCTCTCTCTCTCCCTCTTCCCTCCCTCTCTTACTTCTTTTTTTTTATAGCACACTCACTACTTTAAGCTTTTTCCACTCTACTTTTCTCCAACTACTTTTTTTCCCCTTTCCAAATCAACACACATGAGTTCGGTGTCTTCACACGACGGCAGTGAAAAAGACGGGTTTCTCCATCGTATGCCCGACGGCTTTCCTCATCGATACAGCTCCATGCGCAAAACAGACTTACTTGACACCTTTGATTCTGTGCGACATCGCGATACGGACACTTGGAGTGTAGCAGCAACGATTGACGACCAAGAGTCAGTTATCAGCGGTCCTGGCGGTACTGCGAGTCTAATCAGCAGCAGCCGAGCAACAGCAGAGGGACGAGAAACTGACGACGATCGATCCACACTGGACGGCATTAGCGAAACAGCAAGAGACATGCACCCAGCACTACTGCTTGGCGACAACACGTCGTCGTCTGCGTCATTTCGACTAGAAGCGCTCCGGGATTTGGATGGACCACTGTTACACCATGACAATGCCAGCAGCATCACGACAGACGATGACAAGCGTTCCAGGTCGAATGCAGCCGAGTTTGGCGACGAAGGAACCCGATCCGCAACAGCCGATTTTGGTGACAGCAGTGATACGAGTGATGATGAAACAGAAGGCCAGGCAATGCATCATCACCATCACCACCACCACCACCATAACGTGGTCAACGACGATATCTCTGCACCGCCACAGCCGCAACCAAGCTTTGCGTCTGTCACCAAATCGTTCGCAGAGATTATGGAGGAAAACGAGGTGCTTCATAACCAACTCCGCAACCTGCAAATCGCACAGAAGCACCAGTCTGAAGTGATTGAGAATTTACGTTCGCTGACCGGCTGTAACGAGGAAATATACGGCCGTGCGCTTCATCTTTCACAGGTCACCCCAGAGGAGTTGGATCGATGGAATGAACAGGGCAAGTCGATTGGCGCCGGTGGCGCCGGTGTCGCTGGCGTTAATGTTGGTGCCACGGGTGGCGCTGGTGCCGGTGCGCCTGTTCCATCTTCTGCTGCTTCAGTACCTTCCAGACCTGTCTCTGCATCTTATTCTCACCACTCTACTACATCCGCAACCAACACCAATCCTGCCACCACTGCTGCTAATCCCACTTCTTCCGGTGCTCCCAACGCTGGCCCCATTGCTACAGCTGCTCCCATTTCAGCCACGCCAGCTGCCTATGACATGGATCACACCATGCCCAACTCGCGCTCGTTAACACAACAGCTTGCTCGTCTGGCCGAATTGGTGATTCGCTTTGTGCAAGTGACAGTTCCAGACGAAACGTGGCGACCTACATTGGAGCAGTTTTTGTTTTCGCAAATCACGGATGCGTATCTCGTTTCTTTGCCGTTCGGTACAGAAAATCAGGATCTGCTCAACTTGGCCTATGCGGACCAAATCCGTCGTTTCCAAACTACCCTGGGCGCTAATTTTGCGAAATGGTACAGACGTCAAACGGTGCAGTCATTGTCGCTGAACCCGGCTACAAAGGGATATCTGGAAATGTTGCGCGCGCAAATGACGGAAAAGCTCGAGACGATGCTTACGGAAGGAGGAAGAGGAGGAAACAAAATGGTGAATGGCAGTGGTGGCGATAATGAAGATCATGCCACGACTATCATTGAACATCGGAGCTTGTGGAACGAGGTGCTGGATCAATGCACAGTGCTATCGCTCGTTATCCATGGTTGTGAGGCCGACGTCTCAGTACAAGCGGTTGCTGTTGGCGCTGAATACGACGAACATGTCATGGCGGTCGTTGGTGATGTTGATCATGCAGACAAGGACAAGACAGTCAAAATGGTCATCAGCCCTCTCTTCATTGATGAAGAACAAATAGTGTTGTTGCCGGCACGTGTGCTGTTGCAATGATAGCGGCTTTCGCAAACTTGTCCCCTTTATCCTTTGTTCTCGCTCTGTCACATCTTCACCTTACCAGTCTTCCTTCGAATCTCCAAATCGCCCCTTATCTAGCACAACTTTATGCGTACCTATTCTCGCTCTCTATCTCACGCACAACTTTAACTCTTGTCTTTTGTTTTCCGTCTGTACATTCTTCAAAGGGAGATTTTACCGGTTTTTCTTTCCACCTTCCTCTTATCAATGCAAAAATATACACCATGCAACGACATCTGTTTGCAAAGAAAAGTCAAATGATGTATGACTCCCTGCATTTGAACAAGGTTTTGATCCATTTGCGTTATCTTTTTTTCTGTTTCATCTAGCATACATGCGTAATACATGCTAGACTGCTGATTGACATGCGTGAAAGAAGAATGGTTGGCTCACACATGAAAAAATTATACGAGGCTGCTCTTTTGATTTAATACTTTATAGGCTTCACCAGTCATATCTCGCATGCATGTTTACATCTTTTATTTTGTTTGTTTTGGAGATATACAAAACTCACTTGTAACGCAAATACAATTTCACAGGTATTATGTTTGAAGTTACACGGGTTATACTGTACATACAGTACAAAGGTAGTACCTGAGAAACAAAGCTTTTAAGGGATAATTCATTTTGCTGCTGCGGCAGCAACCTTAAATATCATACATGGCACGTAAGATTAAGGGGTTCAAAGGTTTTCTAAAAGAGGGCATCCATTATAAAGGGCTCCCTGACATACTTTTCAAGTAACCTAATCACATCCTTGGAAAGAATTGTCGTACAGGTAGTCATCGATTGCTGATGTACTTGTACAAACGATATGGGTTCATCAGCACAAATAACAAAAGAAGAGATATAGTGTATATATGTAGTAGCGCTAATAGCAGTAGATAAAACAAAGAAAGAGAACAACGTAACATGGGGAACCAGGGGTATGTACAATATATAAATAGACATTAAGAGGGTCAGAGAGTGGGTGTTTGTATGGATTGTCGAAGAAAGGCCATAGCGGACGATGCGGATGAGAATAAATATTAGGCAGAATGATGATTAGAGAGTACTAGAACGAGTGTAAAACAAGACATTGGAAGCACTTTGAGTCGTCATGGATGTGTTTCTACGTTTCAAGATATTGTCTTCAACCTCACGCTGCTCAAGCTGTTCGGATGGCAGCAATACAGCACGATCAATGGCCAACGGAAGACCTCGATGACGTCCACGATACCTGTTGCGTGACAACGTTAGTTTCTTTAACAGCCTAGTAATAAGAGCGACTCGGGTTTGAGAAACTTACATTAAGAGAATCAGCACAAGCTTGCCGAGAGTATGGTATTGGGCACCTTGCGATGTAGCGGTGTTGGGGTATCCAGTCGATGCGCCGACATTACCGAATGCCGATACACACTCGTAAATAACCGTCATCATCGTGGTAGGCGAGGGCGACATGATGCTTTGGGACTCAATCACAGCAATAGCAAAGATTCCGGAAATGACCCAGCAGATATCGCTGGTCAACTGGCGCTGAATCAGATTCACGACATAAAAGTCTGGACCGCGCAAAACTTTACGAGAAGTGGTCATGACGCTGTTGATGGTTGGGTGCCGTCGAAGTTTGATAAAAGGGGCTGGACCTCGGAGGTCACTCTCGCTGAACTTGACAGGCCCCTCCTCATCGTCGTCTCCTCGAAAGATTCCGAGTGCTCGTTCCTATGTGACGAGTTTCATGTAATATTTAATGCATATGCACAAGAACAACAACAACAACAACAACAACAAGAGAGCCCTGTTCTTCGCATAGAGAGGCCAATATTGCCATATTTTACCTGATACACGTTACTGTTGCGCATTGAAATAGCAACTGGATAAACACTAATGTACATTGCAACAATGTATACGAGCTGGGTGCCAGGATTCAAATCGCTCAGACTGGTCACAGTGAAACCGGCTAAGAAGAATAGTATATCATTAACCCTACTGTAAAACAAAAATAAACTAAAGAGCTTACCATTTCGCGTAGCAATCGATTGGAAAAGACCGTCTAGGAACCGGGAACCCCATGGCAACCCTTCAAGGACAGGCAGCCAGTAATTCAGCGCCAAGAAGCATACGAGCTCGACCACTGTGATGACGACCAAGATGATCAGCAGCCACCAGGTCTGAGTTGAGGGGAACAACGTGGTATAGCAACGACGGGGGTGATCCAGCAGAAAACGGAATGTCTCGCGACGCATGGCGTATCGCTGAGGCGTGGTCTTCCACAAGACCCAAATAATGAAGCGTAAAAGAATTGCGTAGGCCGTATTACCCGCCAGTATTTGAATCATGGTGCAAATCAAAGGAAATGGGGTGTTCTGAAACGGCACCATGCTGGCATCCAAGGGACTCATGCCCAGGTTGTTCATGCCTGACATGCCCATGAAGAAGGAAAATATCCAAGCATTCGTTGGCCCATTGGGGTTGGACGTTTCCAGCACGCCCTGGGTATAACCATTGACAGCCACATGGATGCGATAGGCAAAGGACGCAACGACAATGGAGCCGACATAATAGAGGGGCACAATGTACGACAGCATGTCCAAGGCACGGTACTCGATGCCTCCAATACGATATCGTTGCTGGCGGGTCAACTGGCTCTTGTCGATTGGCTGTCGCATGATTTCTTGGAACAACTCCTCGTCGTCTTCGTCGTCGGAATCCAGTAACGTATCTGTAAGCGGAATATCATGCTCGCGCGAAATCTTGGCCATCAGTTCTTCAAAGCGACGGTCTTGCTCGAGCCTTTTACGGGCAACTTCTCGTTGTTGTTCGACATTGCCCGCAAATGCAATTCCCTGCTGAGATGTATCTTCTGTACGACCACCTGCATGGCTACTGCTACTTCCACCGACAGTGGTTGTGGCTGACGTTACACGACGGAGATCGTTCGGATCGGAAGTCGTTGTCTGATGGTGCTGTTCAAAGGGGTGCATCGGACTCGACATTTGCGTCGACGTCAACCTAAGGTCGTTGTCCCCCTTGCTGTAGTCGTCTTCGTCTTCGTCTTCATCGTATATATCCTTTCCTGAAGGTAATTGATTGGGTGCAAGAGGGCTACTGCTCGGGCTATGGTAGCTGTTGTTGTTGTAGCTGCTGCTGTTATGATGGGCAGCAGCAGCGGCTGCTCGTTGCACTGCTGCCATTGCTTCTGCTTCCCGCTTGTCCATCATTTTGTTCTGTTCTTCGCGTATCTCGCGGAAAAAGTCTCGAATATCGTTCGGATTGCTCATCCAGGTGCCGATTGACCGACGACGGCTTCTGCGACTCTTGACGCCACGGACAGGGGAAGATGCAGTAGAGGAAAGCGACGGGAATCGTTTGAGCGACTCTTCTTTGATGGAACTGGCGGTGGTGTTGCGTCGCTTGAATCCAATCTCCAGATCGTCGTGGGTTCGATTCTTTTCCTTCTTATCGTGCGCCAACTTTTCCTTGCGGCGAAGCTCTTCGCGCATGCGACGTGCCTTGTTGAAAAGCAGGATATCCTCGAACCGTTTCGAGAAATAGTGCTTGCGGACCATCAGAACAATGTAGGAGATGGTGATGTGGGATGTGATAAACGAGGTAAAGTACAAGAGCAAAAGCTGATAGGTCGAGTAGGTGGACGTGGCGATCGTGTTGAGACCCGTGTTGGTTGATCCGGTCGTGGCCATGAACAGCGCATCGACGTAGTCCCAGTCCGTACCGGGCTGACAGTAGTAAAGGCCAGAGGTGAAGAAGATCATGAAGCCGATATATAGGTAGTGAAGCTCGATAAAGTGCACCCTGTCTTCCCAGAAGCGAGCCAGCGCCTCACGCACCGCCTCGAAAAAACGGGGCATTTGGATTGCACAGAAAGCGTTGGGTAACGGGGGGGATGGTGGGGCAGAAGGGAGAACAAAAGAGTGCTGTTTGTCTATTGCTGGAAAAAAACAAAAAAAAAGAAAAAAAGAAGAGAGAAGAATAACGGTTTTATAAAAAAATATTTTTCTGGAGGAGGTGTTGTGCTGTGTGGTGCTGGGTTGGGTTGGGTTCGGCTGGGCTGGGGGGGGTTGGGATTTGGGGGTGGGTTGATTGCTTGGTTGCCTTGGTTACTTTGGTTGGCAAGAGAGACACCAGCCTTTTAATTCCGCCCCTCCATCGGGGTGAGTCTTTTTTGGTCAAAATAGGAAAATTACAGCACCAGTGCCAGACTTACCCAGCTCGTCCTAACCTGTGAGGCATTTTTTGAAACATAGATAAAAATCTTTTTTCTTTTTTGCTGGGCCTTTGCCTGTGCTGTGCATCCGTCTTGGCGTGTCCCCACTTTGGGTAATCCAATGAGCAAGCTTTGCCTGTGTATCCCACAGCATCGTGTACTTACTGCTTGTTTGTCCTCGCAACTGACACGGAAGGGTGGAACAATCTTGTGTTTTTGTTTGTGTAAGTAATTTGCCACAGTCTGCTGACAGCCAATGAGATCACTGTTATTCCCTCTCTTTTCCTTATAACTTTGGTCTATCAACCGGCAAACCAGTAGTAGAACTCCCACCCAGCAGTCTCGCTTTCAATATATATACCAAAGCGTTCCACCCTTTGTATAACTTATGGATCGCCTAATGGCATAAATCACGCACATACCTGCTAATCGGGCCCGCTCCCCCTTCACTTTCCGGTTTCCCGAACGAAAGTTGATGAACGTTCAACCCCCGAGAAATCCGAATCTTCTCTGATTTCGCGTACAGAAAGTTATAAAGTGGTGGACATCTGGTATAATAGTGACAAGTCTGTGCACTTGTAAAATAGGATGCAACTAATCAGATGAGTGCGCCCTTTCAAAGGCCACCTGCGTACAGGCCTTTTCACGTGCATTCATACATTATAACAAGAAACCACTAGCAAAAACAATAAAGCATGGAAACTTCTTGCCCCCTATACATTACCAACGAGATGATGAGCAAATATAATAAATGACGCGGCAACATGAAGAGTGGCGGGAATTATGGTGCACTTTTCCCCAACTCCCCAATCATTAAGATACCTTGCCTTAATTATATTACTAAACCGCTAATCAAGAGCAACATCATGTTTCAAAAGAAGAGGAGATCACCATGGTGTAAAGAAGCAATAAAGAAAGGATAGTGTCTTATCTAGGGTCACATTTTTTTTCAAAATTTTCTGCTAACCTTTACGTGGTTCATAATACCTGGAATCATCGATCTTTCTTAACACCTTTGGCCCGATACCGCGTGTACAAAATAGCTCCATTTGGGTCTAGAAAACAAAAAACACTCTCACACTCACACGCGATAAAATATCAGAAAGACGATGAGCGTGTTCACATACATCGTCATTCGTCACCTTGGCGAAACACCCATTTTTGCAGTATAGTCACTGCTGCTAGGACACTGTTACTAATATTACGATACGAGTAGTCAGCGGACAGGAGCCTCTGTTGTTTCAAAACAGTTATTCTATTTACTTTTCTCACTGAAAGTATGAACAGCAGTATGTTCTAGATAGCATGGTACCAGTAGTTTGGGTCTGACTCATTCATTATAGCATACTTGGAAGCAATACTACATATTTCTGTTGCCGTGTGCCTTTTTCTCCCACTTGTGCTTCTCTTTCAGAAAATATGATCGATCAAAACCTGATTTATTGCACTAGCGAACAGGTAATAGTAATAGTAATAATAATGATAAGTGGGTGTCATTGTGTATAAGGTTGGACAGCCTGTAAAGCAATATGCATACTAATCGAAAACTCTATTAGACTAAGCGGCCAATAGCCATGTTTTGAGCACGTGGGAAATCCTCATGACCTCCATTTATTTTGAATTTGAATCTGGACAACAACAAGGCCAATAGAGATTACATGGAGTGTGCCGGCTGTAGGTTTGGGTCTCACTGTTATCATTTTGCCAATGCACGGATAACAGATCTATAGCAGCTGCTATAGCATCCCGGAAGAAGAAAACGTGCAGCTACTGTAGCATCTTTCTTAATCCATAATGATTTATGCAGCGTATGGCCACTTTTTTTCTGTTGAGGGCTGTTTTTCATAATAATGAAGTTATCATTGGTAAGAGAAAAATAAACAATGATGATGGTGATAGTTACGTCACTTTGCTTTTGTTGTTGTTCCTGTATTTGGATTGTCTGTCAATGTATATATGGGTTACTCCTTTATGTATGTAGTGTTTTTCAAATGCATATGCTGGGATTTTCTTTAATATTAGGCTCACATTTGTTTTCGTGTGCTGTAATAATGATTTAGTATCCAGCCAGAATATAGAGTTTCTTCTATCTACATCAGTCGTTAATGAAAACACGCATATCAAGAAACTACTCAAGTTCAAAGTTTTGTGTCGCTCAAGAAGTTTGAAAACAGCAATTACCAATCAAGACAACATGTAATACTATAATTGACCGGAGGACCTGAGTGATGAGCAGTCTGCGAAACCAACAGGTACATACAGCTCTAGTACATATCAGCTACAGCACCCGAATACAACAATAAGACGTCATGACAGTATGATGGTGAGATACATATTGATAAATAGCATGTTCGAGATATGATATAACGTTTTAGATAAAGTGAGGGATGAAGAAGAAAAAGAATCATTCCGCGTGCGCTTTATGTTACGACCATGCCATTTCTTTATCACCTTCCGTGCAGAAAATCCCCTTAAGGATGAGTATCAGACATAAAATAGGGTAAGCCATAAGTAGCGACACTACTATCAATCGTGCTTGCATTAGGTGGTAAAAAGTTTCAAAAATATATATTCTGTGATACCAAGTATTGAAATGAATTGTGCAGTTTCTTCAAATAACTAACATACGAAGGGGCAATTGTCCAAGTAGCGAAAGATACCCGTACATCCAAAATTGTACATACAACAATCAAAAGCGTAGTTTGCTAATAGGTTTTGTATTAGGCTCCTCTTCTACACGGAATTAGAGGTAGTATTCCATTCGAAAGTCCTAGCCTTTGTACTCGAGGATTGAACGAGGCCTTCTTCAAGGTTGACGGTTTGACAGCGTCGCTAGTGCGTCACCGCTGTCGGTTTCTGCAATAAATCGGTTGTCTTTCGCGTTTATTAAAGATTTGCTGTTTTGTTCAATCCAATATCTCTGAAAGGTACTAGAAGCCAGAACGATTCTAGTTGCCAGAAGCAGCACAGGATTGCTGGGTCATTGTTCTCAAAACACTTGGGATCCCGTGAGGCACGCTCACGCACAGCACCCGCTTGTTAAACCGATCACTTTTTAAAGAAACATCACAGAAAAGCTCACAAAAAGCTACACGTCATATAGAATGACCCCAGAGACACCTTGACGTCGCCGTCCGCTGCCTGATCTGTTACACATATAGCGTGATGAAATCCACCGTCCCGATGAAACGAGTCGGCTTCAATGGGTGTGTTTAGCTGGGCATCCATCTATGCAAGAACAACCATTATGCATCAGTGCGTGCTGGTGGCAAGTTAGTGATCGTTTTATGTGCTGATATGCGTTGCCTTTAGTGTCGACAGCGTGCTGACAATGCTGATGGTTCGTACGTAGGCATCGGAGAATCAGAGGTCGCAATACACAGTAATGATGGCTGTCCTTTTTTAGCATCAGTTGGCATATACAAAGACGATCCTCGCAAGAAACACCCGTATTTTTCCATATCCAAAGAGACTATTGCCAATATGTCTCCGCGCTTTAATGGATTTCAACCTTACTGGTTAGCAAACCATGGGAGACTCTTGTTGTGCTGCGATAATATGTGCTTCGATGAGAGTTTATTAGAGTATGCTTACGGTCTATATGTGATTCTTTGCCTTACACATATTAAGCTTGTGCTACAATGTTCTTAAGGGATATATAACAGTTTCAGCAGCATTTGTGGTAATAGCAGTAGCAGTAAAGGATGATGAGATCAAGTGGGTCAGACGTCATCATCATCATTATGGTCATAGGGAGGCGAGCTCAGCTGACACGTTCTTACTGCTCTTCTTATGCTCCCATGACACCATGCCGATGAAGATGACTTCACATCGATGCAGTGTGTCACCATGGACAGCGACGGTCGGATTGCCCTACTTATTTCAACTTTTCTTTTCATTGCTTTTGAGCTATTATAATTTTTACGATACAGGTGCGGTTACTCTGTTTTTTACTTCTTTTGTCGTCAGTAAACGAGTTAATGATAAACGAGTCAATGAGATTCGATCCAGTTTTGGCAAGAATTCCGTGTGTAATGTTTCTTTTCTACTGCGTTGTGGAGAGAGAAGGGGGGGCAAGGCGGACTTGAATCCGGCTCCCGCGTCGGCCGAGGCGCATTTTTTAGTATGAACATTCTTTACAGCTTACATTTAGTGACACTTTTTCTTTTAAACTATATTTTACTAAACTAAAAAAGAGAGAAGAAAAAAAGCATGGCCATCAACGAAGATCACAATTGGAAGTTTGCACAATGTTTCGGAGACAAGGGGGATTCGGACGATGTCACTGAAGGCACGTAATCAAAGCAAACGCGAAACCTTTTTTTTTCCATCCTTTGACCTTTTATGTGTTGATGTTGGACTTGTCGTTGTAATGCGCTTTTCTTGTCCTTGGAGAAAAACGTAGTGTGATTCTAATCTCTATTTCTATCTATTTGACAAAAACTATCTCTCTTTTATTCTATTGCAACTTGATTACTATAGCCGACATTATTTCAACAGTAGAGTTTGATCAGACCGGTGATTACCTCGCAACAGGTGACAAAGGGGGTCGTGTGGTGCTATTCGAGCGTAACGATACTGTAAGCATACACCTGCTCACTTTTTGGAGAAATAACAAAGAAAAAGGGGAGCCACAAGGATTGATAGATGCTTTGGGGTTTATAGAAAAAAGGCGTCGAGTATCGGTTTCATACGGAATTTCAGTCGCATGAAGCAGAGTTTGATTACCTAAAGAGCTTGGAAATCGAAGAAAAGATCAACAAGATCAAATGGTGCAAACGCCAAAATTCAGCCCATTTCTTATTATCCGCAAATGGTATCCTCTTCTTTCTGCTGAGGGTTTATCATCCATTACATTTCGCGCTATACTAAACACTTTTATTTCTATATAGACAAAACGATCAAATTGTGGAAAGTTTTTGAAAAATCATTAAAAGTGGTAGCCGAGAATAATCTGGGTGATGGTCCGATCGCACCGACTGCAGGACTCCGTGTACCCAAACTGGCGCATCATGACACGATTATTGCAGCTGTACCGAGACGCGTTTATGCTAATGGTAAAGTTGTAATGGAAATTGCTAGGTCTATTGACCCTATGAATTGGGTGGATGGGGAGAAATGGAAGGTATTATTTTAAAAGAGAGCGGCACTTATGCGGAACATTTGATCTTTATAGCACACACATACCACATCAATTCCATATCCATCAATTCGGATAGCGAGACATACATATCTGCAGACGATCTACGAGTCAACCTTTGGAACTTGGATATATCTGATCAAAGTTTCAGTAAGTTGATTACGCTGCTTTGGGGAAAGGGGAAGAAAAGCTGTTTTTTCTTTTGCTAATAGCACGCATTAGACATCGTTGATATCAAGCCAGCAAATATGGAAGAGCTGACTGAAGTCATTACGGCCGCCGAATTCCATCCACAACAATGTAATATGTTCATGTACAGCTCAAGCAAGGGTACCATCAAACTATGTGATATGCGAGAAGCGGCACTCTGCGACCAATATGCAAAAGGTAAATCTTTAAGCACAACAATGCAATAGGAAGAATGAACCCGAGAAGAGATAGAGCGTGCACATCAAGAGAGTAAGCTGACCTCTTTCTTGTGAATGGTGATGGATTGGGAAAAATATAGGCTTAGAAGCACCAGAGGACCCAGCGAATCGATCATTTTTCTCGGAGATCATCCAATCCGTATCGGATATCAAGTTCAGTCATGATGGACGATACATTTTATCGCGCGACTATCTCACATTAAAAATCTGGGATATCAACATGGACAGCCAACCTGTGCAGACAATCGACATCCACGACGAATTGCGCTCGAAATTATGCGATCTCTACGAAAACGACTGTATCTTTGACAAGTTTGAATGTGCGTTCAGCGGTGATGATAGCCACGTGATGACCGGGTCCTATAGCAACACATTCCACTTGTACGATCGGGAAGGCAAGTCCGACATTGCGCTTCAGGCAGATAAATCAGCGTTCAAGGCGAAACGACTTGGGTCAGCAAAGAACAAGATGGCTCTGTCGCGAGGACCTGGAAAGACAAACAGCATGATGTTGGGTGGTGAAGGTATTGATTTTAACCGAAAGATCCTTCATGCATCCTGGCATCCCCACGAAAATACCATTGCTGTTGCGGCGACCAACAACCTATTCATCTTTACGTAAGAACATTGGTTTTCCACATACAAGCCCAAATAGATACTAATGTCATTTTTCATTGCTAAATTGTAGGGATAAGCAACAGTAAATTATACGAGATATCTTTGGTGTGTATGAAATTTTATTGTTAGTTTACTTGGGGAAATTGTAGATAGTTACACCTTCAACGCCCTCCACAGGGAATCCAAAGATTTGTCCATAAAACCACTGTTGTTTTATATAAAAATAAATAAATGATTATTACGTGCACATCCTTTTCGTTAGTCCATGTTATCGACTACTTGGATCATACTGACTAGTACTACTTGCCTGTTCAAGTTCGACTGTACGCTTGATATTTTCAGCTTTTCGGAAACCGTGTGCTTCACCTTCATATTTAACATATGCCACCGGCACGCCGCGCTCTTTCAATGCGTCCACCATTACCTCGGACTGCGAAGGCGGTACCACCTTATCCTCTGCACCTTGGAAGAAAATGACAGGACAAGTGATCTTGTCTGCTGAAAACAGCGGTGACCGCTCTTTGTACACCTCTTCATCCTTTGGATATTCGCCAATCAGCTCGTCTACGTGAAAAAAAAACACTCGTAGGGTGAGCAACTATTATCAAGAGAGAAGAGACATGCAGAGTCATATCAGTTACCAGGATAGCGCGATTCAAATTTGTGGGTCTCTTTGGCAAGCAGTGTTATATCCGAGATACCGTAGAGACAGCAGCCGGCATTGAACACGTCACGGAAAGCGACTGCAGCAAGTGTGACAAATCCACCTGCTGATCCTCCTTTGATGGAAAGCTTCTTTCCATCAGCCAATCCTTGCTTGACTAGATAGATAGCAGCATGACAACAATCATCCACGTCCACAACGCCCCACATCTTCTTTAAACGATTGCGGTATTCACGACCATAACCTGTGCTGCCGCCATAGTTGACATCAACAATAGCAAAACCTCGGGTAGTCCAGTACTGGATGGCACGGTTGTAGCCACGGCTGGTTTGTGTTGTTGGGCCACCATGGGACAAGACACGGAGTGGAGGCTTGGCTCCTTCAGGACCAGCATAATCTGGATTCTGCGGTGGATAATAGTAAGCATAGGCCGTCTTGTCAAACGTGGTTGGGAACTCGATTTCTTGACCCACGGACACGTATGCTTTGTCAAGTGGTGGTGCAGTTGATGGGCGGAGGCTTCGGATTTCTTTCTTTTCAACTGAGTACGCAATCAATTCACAAGGCGAATGGGTCGTTGTGGCATTCGCTACGATGACTTCTTGGCCAAGTTCTTCGTCAAAATAGGAATGGATGAATTCAAAAGAAATGTAGTCAGAAAGCGGCTCGATATTCGTCAATGTTTTGGCCTCGGTATCCAGGATTGCAAGCTTGTCCTTGTTGCCGCACACCAGTTTGGTAGGGTCTGAAGCGAATGGCGAGTACCAGGATTGGTTGAACTGCCACTGGGCTCCGGCGAATTCTTGTTCCAGGGGCGCAGGAAGTAAAAGATCAAGATTGTTGCCCTCGTTGGCGATGCGATAAAGGTTCCAGAAACCCGAGCGATCTGAAGCCACATAGAGATTACCGTCAGCACCGAATTCCGGTTGCTATTTCGATACAAAGGATACATCAAATTAATGTGGTCTTTCATGAAAACACAAGTGTGTGCAAGGGAGGATGCATAGATTACCACAAAGCTTTCATAAGCAGTAGGAACTTGTTTTGAATCTGTCAGTGATGTTCCATCGGGGCTTATGTCTGCAACATTAAGTTGCGTGAAATCCCAGGGCATGTTGCTGTGGTCCCACGAGAGATATGCAATCGCGCGATCCGAAAGACGAGGTGTCGAATAAAAGTCATGACCTTCTGCCAAGACATGCACAGAGCCGTCTGCTATGCGTACTGAGACCAAGCGATTCACCACGTCCTTGGGTTCTTCTTGTTCCTTGTGCATTTCCTCGACGCACACCACATACGTGTTGTCGTCGCTGATCTTAATGTCGCCGTATCGCAAAAGCGCCTTGCTGTCACCTGTAATCGGTTCGATCGCGCCATTGTTACTGTCAATGCTGTACAGACGCTTGTCCTTGTCATTGGAGAAAACGACAAGTCCGTTGTGCACGCTAAAACTGCCACCACCGTATTCGTGCACGCGCGATTGGCAACTGTAGCCGAGGGGCAAGAGTGGTTTTGGCACGCTGTTGGCACCACTGGCGAGGCTGCGCGAGAAAATTTGACCTCGGCCTTGTTCGGAAGGTACTACTTCACACCAGTATACGGTTTGCTGGTCGATGCATACGTCTGTGGCGGACAGTCCAGCTGCCAAGGAATCGGCGCTTACAGGGGATGGCCAAGCACCGAATGGTTTAATGTTGACCATGGTTGGAGTTGAGTATATATGCGTTGGGGAGAGAGGATACGTGGCCTCGAAAAGTTTCGCACGTTGTTTGAGCCCGCGCCGATGTAGTACAGAACAACAAGCATTGTTACATCGGAACGCCATGCAGTGCAATTGACGGATGAGGGTTGCGCGCTCTAGGCTTCGATGCTCTCGAATCCCTTCAACTCCTTATTTTTTTTTTCTTTCTAAATCTTGTACTCTGTCACTTTCTCTTCTTCTCTTTCTCTTTTATTCTAGTAAGCATATATGAACTCAATAGGATGGACGACCAGGTCCATTTTGATCACGATCCATACCGATCGCGCAAAAGTGAGCAGCGCACCATGATGGCTGTCGAACAGCAGCATGACTCGCAACGAGCCAATTCGTACCTGCCATATTCCAACCATCCTCCAGACATAACTCAAGCTAAAACAATGCTCTATCTGAACGAGGAGCAAGACGCCCTTTCATCATTAGCAACAGCAGGAGGGGGAGGACGTCCACCACCCAACAATTTTCTTCATAGCAACCGTCTCGACTTACTACAACACGATGGTGGTCCAAGCCGCTCCATGCTGTCGGCTACCACCATGTCCTTGTTATTCAAGGCAGCACCCGTGCGCAAAGAAAACACGACCCTCTCACTCGAAATTGCGCGCAAGAAAAGAAAGCTATCACCTCAGCAACGTCGTCGCTGCTGGTGCCACATTCTGTTTTCGGTCATCACATTAATCTTGTTGACAGGTGGACTCATCGCGTTCTTCTGCTGGCCACGCACGCCGCATATTTTGATGGACGACAATGCACAAACGATGCATACGCCTGCGGACTGGGGTCAGGATAACCAGGCGTTTCTACGAGCAACATGGCTTGTGAACGTGACATTTGATAACTCGCAAAACTGGATCCCTACGCATATCAATTACATGGAGCTGTATCTTGTCGATGCCTTGCATCAGGACAAGCAGTTTGGCATGGCAGAAAACACATTGACCTTGGCGCCTCGTAAGAGCACGCTGCTTCAGTTGGTATTCCATATCAGTTATGATGCTGCATCCGTGAATGACCCGACCTTCCAGAATCTCTACAATGCATGCGGCCCAAAAAAGCTGGGCACTCCTCCCGATCTGGCGGTTGCAATACAGGTAATAGAAAGAATCTTTACCACACAATATTGCCTCTTTTTTCTTGTTCACCCCTTAAAGAAGCTAGACACTTTGTATCGTTTTCTATAATTTTTTGAAAGTACCAGAAAAGAAGGCACAACCGCCATTCACCACCCCTTTTTTTCCCTGAAATTGTCGTGCAGACAACCTAATATTGTCTCTTGCCATATCTGCTATTGTAATGTACACTATGTAGGGTCAATTACATATTCGGGGGCTCGCATGGTCACAACACGTTACCACAACACCATCCACCGGAAAGTTCTTATGTCCCACCGTATAGAACAAGCAACATGGCGAGCATTTATCATGTACGACGAACTTCCATGCACAATGCGCCCGCAGGATTTTCTTGTTTTCATAACGTCACAAAATATCTATAGCTCCCACTACTACCACTACTACTATCATACTAATTAAACTCTTTCTTACTCTTCACTGCATCACCATCATCAAATCACTACCCTCATTAATTGTTATATAGCTTCGTTCAATACATTACCAGCAAGACTACTTGTCAAATATGATACCGCTCCTTTCTTTTTCTAAATATCATTTCAACACGAAGCCAGAAGCTAACTAGAAGACGGAGGAACAAAAGAAATTTAATCAATAGTGGAATTCATGGAGGAGCAAGCAAAAGAAAAAGAAAGACCCACACAAGGGTATGAGCAATAGGAGATATTATATAATGGTATACTTCTGATTTTACAGTCGTTAAATACTTGGTTTCGTGAGCTCTATGGTCTACTTGTCGAATCTGTTGTTTAGCAGTAACTGCTGCCACTGGCTGTATTCTCTTGTTGCATATATAGTAAGATGATACAGCGCTTCCAGCAAGCAATGTCGCAACCAATTAAAGTCAGTGTCGCTAGTAAATTATAATTGTGTGGGCATGGAAAGTCGTTGATGAGAATGCTAGCCTTGAATTTATGGATAACACTGCTGGAGAGAAAGAATCCAAAGTTGAGACGATTGCAACTCGCAGTATATATTTGAACGATGCACCTACCGGTGATACGTCTTTGAGTTGTCCATCCAGTTTTATAGAACAACTGTCCGATTAAAGACTAAATCACTTGATTTGAAGCTTAAAAAAGAATGAGTACATCAGCAGCAGCGAAGCAGTTGGGCATTGATCTTCGGACTGCTTAGAGATGGGTCAAGCAAGTGCCCTAACAGCGTTGCTGTGAGTTGTGATTCGTAAGTGTACTTTGACTGAAGAGCATAAGACGACTGTTGTCAACTTCATTGATGCTAAAAAAAGTTTCATGAGTATCGAGGATATATATCTGGGTATCATCCTACTTATTCTCCTGGACCAAACCAAATATAACAATTCTGGGCTGTTGTAAAGAGTGCGGTTAAGTGCCATAAATTTTTGCAGGAAGAATATCAAAAAGAATTAGAGGTGGTCTGTAAAAGTGTGGGACTCGCTTTATGATATCATGAATGCTGCAATAAATGTCGAAACAAAGTGTTCATATACAAATGGCTCCATTTCTCTCCGAAAGTCTATTACGCTTGTTGATTTTGTCTAGGTTGCCAATTTATGGAGCAGACTTCTTTGTGATCAGTGGAAGCATACAGTAGCCAAATTACGGAACAGGTAAATTATAAGATTGCACTCGTCTTCAGTTTTTATTCTTCTAGTTGACATTCTATATATCAATCTAATGTTGGTTGCGTCACACATTCTCGGACGTGTTTCATGACATAATCATTGCTTATCTCTTTGATCTATGAATTCTTTTTGTTTAGCATCAATGAAGTTGACAACAATCACCTCATGCTCTTTACGGCCAAAATACACTTACGAATCACTTAATCACAGCTCACGAAAATGCTGCTAGGGAACGTATTATGTTGCTTGACCCATCTCTAAGCAGTCCGAAGATCAATGCCCAGCTGCTTCGCTGCTGCTGATGTACTCATTCTTTTTCAAGCTTCAAATCGAGTGATTTAGCCTTTAATCGGACAGTGCACCGCACATGGTCTCGCTTAGTATCTACGTCCCTCATACGAACATCTTCCGATTTTGATTGCTTTATCAACATTGGATGGACAACTCAAAGACGTATCACCGGCAGATCGCTCAAATACTCACTGCGAGTTGCAAGCGTCTCAACTTTAAATTCTTTCTCTCCCACAGTGCACTTCATAAGTTCGGAGCTACCGTTCTCATCAACAACTTTCCGTTGCCCATTCAATTATAATTCACCAGCGACATTGATTTCGAATGATTGCGACATTGCTTGCTGGAAGCGCTGTACCTTCAACGCTATGGAGGTCGAAGTAACAGAGCTGGTTGAATTCAGTCACCGAAGCGCAACTGAGCCAAAATCCTCATGTGCTTAATTATTTCGCTCTCGCTCTCTTTCCTTTTACTTTTTTGACAGCCATGCTAGATGTACTAATGAACGTGGTTCCCAAACTGAAATCTGTTCTCATTGCGTTGGCAATTGTCTTTCTTGGAACAAAGAATGGTCGGCTACTATGTAAGAATTTGAGCCCCCCCCCCTTTCGTCGAAGAGAGAGAGGGAAAGGGTGAATATTTACTATTATACATGTATGCCGCTCTACTGATATCTCCTCTTACTACTAGTTAGCACAATAATGGCCCAGTTTATCCGAAGGATCATATTTTACATACCGATTCCTGTGCGATATAAATTTATCGCATCAGGGCTACAGCTACCGCTCTCCATTCAGCGGAAAGCGATGCGGTTGCTATTAGCACCTACCAGCGCAGACAAACGTCATATTTTACGTGTTAAGCGAGAGACTTGGAGCGCCGACTGGATCATCCCTAACATAAAGAAGCATAAAGATGCTCATGCTCGGGCAGAGGAAATTGCACAGCAGGCGGATATCATCATTCTATATTTCCACGGTATTGTTCTTTTATAGTTCTGTTTTTATGATCACGATAATTTTGTCAAGAGCTAATTGTGACTAAATGATTATCCAGGTGGTGGATTCCATTTAGGTAAGAAGAATGTAAATATGATATACATATACAAATTCATTGTTTTATCATTAAATAACAATTTATGCACCAGGTTTCTCCACTGAATACATGCCAAGTTTCCTGTACGTGCTTGAATGTTTGAAAGCGAAGCATCAAATGAAGGGGTGCATTTTGAGTGTAGATTATTCGCTTTCTCCGGAAGAGACTTACCCCACTGCTCAAGACAATTGTGTCAATGCTTATCGATATCTTGTGCATGACCTGGGTCTGAGTCCATCTCGGATTATAGTTGGTATGTGCTCTGGTATTAGTGAAGTAATGATCTATGCTATATGGAACCACGCGTGTTTGCTTTCAACTGTTTTCGGTTCCTCCTGTCATTTCCGCTTCTCATAAGACCTACTTTTATAACACGTGAAATCATATTCTTAGCTGGAGACAGTTCGGGTGGGAATCTCGCGGCTACGGTCCTACTGAGAATCCGTGATCAGCGGTCTGACCCTGTATTGGCAACTATACCACCTATCCCATTGCCAGCAGGATGTGCATTAATTTCACCGTGGGTTACGATGGATTTGCCACAAAGGACCGAGAAATATTACTGCGACTATGTGCGGATCTCACAAATAGACTATTATCGGCAAAACTACGTTCCTCGTTATGATTCCATGGAAGCGAGCTATCGCGAGGCATTCATTCGGCAGCCGTTTATATCGCCGTTGCATGGCGACTTTGATGATTTCTGTCCGACCTTTGTTTCGTATGGTGGCGGTGAGCTGTTTGAGCCTCAGATCGCAGCTTTCATCGACAAGTTGGAGAAGCAACATCATGTGTCTGTCACAGTCGTGTCGCGCCCAAAGACTGGTCATATTCATATTGTCGAGCCGCATGTTTGTCGTAGCAAAGAGATATGGCGACAGGATCTAACAAAGTTTGTCGATTGGTGTGCAAGCACCGGTGGACATTGACGTTTTTAATAGTTATAGCTACTCAGTTTTCTTATATCGACTACTATATCATAGTTGTGTATACACATTCAATAGCAGACCTACTTTTTCTTTTCCTTTATCCATTCAACACCATATCCCTCATCCTCTTCACACTCGTTTCTAAATGAACCGGCACTCCAAAACATTCGCAATACGCAAGCAAAAATAAAGGTGATGATTATTGGCTCATGTACACGAGAAAAAAGGAGGTAAGTAATTCCAGGTGGAAAAAACGGGCTTCGGGGGTTTTTTAGCTATATCTTTGTCCGATAGCTTTCAATGTCGCTGCACTTTCCAAAAACTGCTTTTGCTCGTTTGGCGCCAAGGGTATCGGCATGATTTGTTCAATTCCGGCAGCACCTAGTTTTGCAGGCACTGAAATAACTGTGTCCACTTCATCCACATAGACAGAGAGTGGCCGAACATCCAACGAATTCCGCAATATCGATTCGCATAGGGAAGCGCCACATGCACCGATGCCATAGTAAGTTGAACCCTTGTGCTGGATGATGTCCATTGCCTTGTTTGAAATGGTCAACCGAACCTTTTCCTTGTCGACATTTTTAATCTCTGGGAACGAGAGTAAAGGTCGCCCAGCTATAGAAGCTGCGTCCCATGCAATGAATTGGCTATCACCATGCTCTCCCAACACATAGGCGTGGACGCATGTTGCAGAGACCTGTTATATCATGCGTTAAATGGTGAATCGCTTGTGATAATTATATCAGCACCCTCAAAACCATCTCTCTATATATCTTCACTTGTGTATGCTTACATTGAGCAAATCAGACAGATATACCGTCAACCGAGACGTGTCCAAAAAAGTGCCTGAGCCAAACACTTGTTTGCGCGGCAAACCTGATAAATTTTGAGCAATTGAAGTCAACACGTCCACAGGGTTCGACACCAACATCATGATAGCATCTCGTCGGATTGGCTGCATGCCACCAATCACTTCTTTCAAAACGTCGTAATTTCGGTCAACGAGCTACGGGTTCAATAATGCGATGTTAGTGGCATAAAAATAAATCCCTAAAATTGGACGAACCCGGGATTAGACTGGGAACACAATACCTGTTGTCGGGACTCCCCGGGTCCTTGCTTGGCACCGGCAGTAATCACGATCACTTCGGCTTGGCCTGCTTCTTTGAGTGTTCCGTCACGAATTTTGGTGCTGTTGACGATATTTGCGTCGTTTAAATCCATGCTTTGACCCCGTGCAAAATCCCTTGCACTATCGACGAGTAAAAGTTCAGATGCTACATTTTTCATCATGGTGCACAAGGCAATGGTTGATCCAACGGCACCAGTGCCAACAATCGCTACTTGTTTGGATGAAGTACAGCGCATCGTATTGGTTGTGTAATGACGAGGATTTTGTGCTGGTGAGGGTGATGATGGTGTAATAATGGCAGTGAGGCGCGGTGCTAATAACGACGGTATCCTGCTGCTACTGCTATTATGAAGCGTCGTCAAAGGACGTGTGCACCTTGGTAAGGCCGTTCTCAGTAATGACGAGAGCATAATATGTAATATAGTTGTTTAGAGGTGGATAAGAATACACGAGCAAGTAATAAAAGAAAAAGAAACGACGCGATGAGACAAAAGAAAAGAGCTCAAGTTTATGCAAGGGTCTTTGATTTACGTAATTACCGCTACTACAGTGGTTGTGTAACTGTCTGAGCGGGCCCTAATCCGGTACTTTCAGACCTAAATGCGCGAGTAAGGTGGTTATCGCAACTTGTGTATGGTGCCATAATAAATAGTATCCATGCTCTTTGCTGCGATTACTGTCATGATCCACATAGAAACGCACACATGGCAAAATCCAAAGGTGGAGCGTAAACGAATATGGGAGCTAACATATAAGGATTAGTTCACTTTACCTGGGCACCTCATATTATAGATAAGAGCTGTAGTAGTAGTAGCCATCGGATCACTTTTTTTCTTTGCTAACACCTCAACGGATGCAGATACTCAATGTAAGTGGATCGCAATAATTATTAATGATAAGTACATTCTTGTGCTCTTGTCGCAATGTTTCTCTACCCGTTCAACCGGTCAAACATGCTGCGCTGCTTCTAGTCATCATCTGCTATTGTGGTATTTACATAACGGGAGAAGCTGCACCACCAGTAAAGTTTCTTTATACTACATTCGCAATCGAACCAGATTTGCGTCGCGAGACGACATCGCATTTTTTTTGCGGCAAAAGAAATTAACTAATGTCGCCTTTTCTCCAATAAGTTAGAATATCCATATTACAGATTAGCAGCAGCGGGCACTGGAATCCAGCCGCCACTTCATATTTTCGCTCTTTCTCACTCTTTCCCTTTCTACACTTGAGAAACTGTACCATGTACTCATCACACATCAACGCTTAATCTAATTTCGTAGAGTAAGTGTATATTGCTGTTCATAAAGGGTAATTAAAGGAAATACATTTGATTCACCTGAAGAACAGCTATACTATGAGTGGGACGCGTGAACTGACAAGCTGATTTGTATAAGACCCTGCTACTCGGAGAACACGACAGCTGTGCGCAAGTCGCAAGTGAAACGGTTTCTAATTTGTGCATGTATATAAGAAACGATCAAACAAGACTCTTATAGACGGCAAGCACAAAACTATTATCAAAGAAAGCGATGTGGAAAGCATGCAACGTAGATTATCTGCGGTGGAATGACTGGAATCCTTCTGGCAAAATAAACCAATTATAACAACCTTATGTACATATAATAATGCTAGGGTTTTTTCATCGCTACTAACCAACCGAACCAGAAAGCACAGTATTTATGATACTACAGATGCAAGGCCATAATCATCATCGACATAAGTTCTGTCTCTTATTATCTGGCTCGATTAACTTTTTGTTTCGCTGTGATCGTCACACCGCTTATTTTTAAAAGCATGCTTTGCTACTGTATGTAGATCTGGTGAAAGTCTTTGTTAACTCTCATTTTATGCCATAATAAGGAATTCATTCATGTGTTATTACAGCCTTCTCAATCCCCATCAAAGCGTTCTCTTGCTCTCTCTCTTTCCCTGATCTGATTTTACTGCTCTATCCATTATTTTTTCAATAAATCTTATATAATTTTTTATTCAGCCCATGTTCATTCACACGCTCTCATCCGCTCTTCCTCCATCAAGATCAGCCCCTATAAACGTACCTGATTAACCATTGATTGCCAGGTTACTTATATTTATACAGTAAGCTTGACTCAAAAACACTATTGTGTTACATAATCAAAATAAATTCTGATTCTTCTTTTCAATATACATAAGCTCTTTAAGCTTCTTGTTGTTGATATAAAACGTTTCAGCCAAATATAATAACTTATTTAACTGCAAATATTCCATATAATGTACCACTAATACTGTAGATTGAGAGCTGATATATAATCTCCTTTCAATCTCTTCACCAATTTCATAGCTATTGTGAGGTTTACTGTCTAGCTATTACTCATTTCTAAATAGGATGGATTGACCAGCGCCATATGTAAGGCATACGGTCGCTTCCTTGCGGTACGGAATTGTCGATGCTTGAATGGTAATGTTACAGAGAGGGGTAGTAAGACAATGAGAAACCAGTGAGAAAATGAATAAAAAAATTGCAGAGGAATGATTAAGGTAATCGCAGAACGAGCGGGAGAGAGCGAGATGATTTAAGCTAGAAGCAAGGAGAGAATTGAATTACGATAGTAGACGTATGATATGACGCTTTGAAAGCTTCTGCGATGTGTCTTGACATCAATCTTTCAAAACGATAACCAGGCAAAACTCATGATGACTGATATACGACTAGCGGCATAGCATTCAAGTCATATTGTGGATGATAGAGTGAAAGATTTACATCTGTATGACGCTATGAAAGCTTCTGCGATGTGTCTTGACATTACTCATACAAAACAATAACTAGGTAAGACTCATAATGGGTGATATACGACTACCGACATAACATTCAGGTCATATGGTGGGTGATAGAGTAAGTGCTATTGTGACAAACAGCAACAAGAACACAACAATGATGTAGTGTATTCACGGTCCCACGAGCCCGTTGAGGAGGCTGTGCTTAGCAGGTTACGGCTTCGGAATGTTTGCTTATTATTTTCAAGTCGGGATGCTTACACGTCTGAACCAAGGAAACAGGTGGGTATAACTGCTACTACTACAAATACAGCCCAAGAGAACATAGAGCGAATAAGAAGTCGTATTGAAAGCGTATGTACACTAAAGAAGGCAGTAGTGAAGAGACTGTGGAAGGAAAGCGTTTAATCAGCAGGAGAAAGGGCACTGTATGGGTTTGCTGCTGTTTGGAGAATGATGATCGTGTGTATGGAGAGAATACAGACCCAAAACGAGAGAGGACCTTTTTCATGAATCAAAGCTGTGAAATGCACTTCAGTGTCTCTGTCACATTATAAAAATCAATCAAAGCTGTGCGTCTTCCCTCGATCTTCTCATCTCTCTTTCCTTCATCTTCCACTTTCAACCCTTGTTTTACTCTACTGCTAACTGTTGATCGCAATACCCAAACAGTGCTTTTCAGAAAAAGAGCAACACATTACGCACACTTGTAACCATATATCTCTTTGTATACAACTTCTTGTAAAAAAAAATTACCAGTACAAACAATGTGAAAATATCTCCTGGGCAAGGCTTTCGTGACCACCGGCAGCAAGGCTCAGAACCAACAGCAAGCGACTAGTGATAGTGATACGACAACCATGGCGACAGCGGTCGAAGCACGACCTTGTCCGCCTAGTAGTCTGATGGGGCTGCTCGGCATCTTTGGCACCATGAAGCGACAAATTTTCGGTCCCTGCTATGACCCGTACCAGTAGGACGAGGTAGCACAGGAAGAACAAGAACAAAGAGGAGGTGCAACCAACCAACAAGAACAAGAAGAAGCGCGTGACGAGCGACCAACCAAAGGATGTTGGTCTCTTAGCTCAATGTTCGTGAACACTATCTCCATCTACACCATGGCCTATGAGCTCTTTTGGAACACAACATCAGCACAACTGCCGGCAGCGGTAACAAGTTTTAACGAATAACAGCAACAGCACCACCATTCGCGACGTCGTCCACTCTTCCGTGTCCGGGTTATCGACTTTACACATTTCAAGACATCATACGCTTACAGAATGCGAAAAGGCCGAACGCTTCATTCGCGGTATTTTTTTGCAAAGCCAACAACAGCAACGAGAGCACTATGACATTTTAAGAGATCCCTCAGCATGGGTTTGCTTCCAGGTGTAGCCGAAAACTACCGACTTGCGGTCGAAGAAGAAGATAGCAGATGGGGCCTGGTGGACGAGAAGGATCTCGAAGTCAGCTTCTTGGTATGTATCCGTCTGTTTTATTCAATCTAATACATCTTCCAACAGCAAATCTTCTCTTTCTCTCTCTCTCACAAACCGTGCTGTTTTGCGGCTTTCATTATTCATCAAAGGCACCCATGCCATCTCCAGAAGCCAAACGCACTCACATTATTTTCCGAGAAGTACCTACACCACCAGCTGTACCCGTAGGCGTAATCACTATTACCAGCATCCACGCACTTATCGCCATCTTTTTCATGACGCAGTAGTACTATCATAGCAGTACTAAAATAGGAAACCATAGCCTTCTTTTTAGATCCCCTTTTCTTTGCATATACTTTTAGGACTTTACTAATCAATTCTCCACACACACACACACACACACGTCCAATTAGAAACGCCAGAAGATCTATCAATCAATCAAAGAAACAAAAAACCGAAACTACTGTAGAATTATACTTATAGCTTTAATCTTTTCTTTGTATACAACACCAATCAGCAAGAGCAACATACATAAAATTCAGACTCTGTTATTTCATATCCGCCCCATTCTTCTTAAGCTTACAGTATATGATATTGTGTTGTAATGAGGAGAAAGCTGTGTGTGTGTATGTAATGAGTGCACTATGTGCCACTCGTAGTAGTATACGGATCGGCCTGCCGATCCGCCTTCTTGTCTCTGTTAGCTGAATGCCTGCCTAGTAAGCAGAAGGTCAACAGCTCGGTTCTGTTAGAAGACACTTGCAGTACATATCGAGTTTAGTTCGCGTCGTGTAGTAAATTACGATTTGGAATATTGTACAGTGTCTCTTGAGAAGCATAAACGTAATTTGAACGATTCACATGGCCAGACCACTATCTGGTCATTTCCCGGTAGTAGTCGAGACACAAGTAAGACAAAAAGCTACACAGCATTCAGGTGAATACGTACCAGCATTGGTAACTCCTAAGTTAGTGTAAGAACAAAGTGCGGGAAGATAATGAGGGCTAATGAACAAAATAACACAGGAAGGAGCAGTCATAAGAACAGCGGGTAAAGAAGCGCTAGTCGGTTGTAGATGATGGTGCTGATGTTCTGGATGAAAACAGTCGAAATGCTGAGGGACTCGGCGGAAGATGATGTGGGCGGTGCTCAGTGGTCAATAGTAGCTGTTCGTTTGCAGATTGTTGTCAGGGGTGAACAGCACCGGAAGCGGAAGTATCAGTGATATCCAATACTCCTTCAGATAACTAATATTCCCAACCGAAGATCTTGATCCAAAAGATCCATGAAGATAAGTATTGGCTCGGATTCGTTTTTTGAGCATCTCCTTGGCAACCGCACATGACATTTTCTTTTTTCGAAGCCGAATAGTGGTGATTGTTCTTGTTCTAGTTTGATGAAAACGTATTTGATAGCCACTGTTTCCGATATTGAGTCTTGATTCGGTGGAGTAGACAGCTTGTGCCCAGGATTTTGACGATGAATTTTTTCATGTAACTGGTATTGTCAGTATTATTAAGAATGCTTTAAATTTGAAAAGGAACAGGATGGATGGTAACGTAGCAATACGTTCAACTTTTTACTTGTAAAATAAATGGCTACATGACTACTTTTTGTAAAGGAAATTGCGTTCGATCGTGCGCCGACTACCGGAAATTCCACCTCAATCATACTTCTTGCAGCTCCCCAGACATCGAAAAATATTTGTGTATGACCATCATACCTCCTTTGCAGTGCATTACAGTCTCCATCTGTTTCCACGCCGTTACTTTTTTTTTTCAGAAAATTATATATCTATAGTAAAAGATCGATGAAGCAATCTCTCCTTTTTCAAACTGGTTAAAAATATAAAGTGCAATTACAAAAACGGGTGCGAGGCACTTTGAGGTCGTCAAAGGAATAAATGCACAAACCCATTAAACCAATTTTCTTTTCGTGTATATAACGTGCAGCAATTGAATCTGTTGTGTATATTGCTTAGGCTACTGCTTAGAACGGAATACGTTTTCCTAACTCTTTCACTGGCTGAATGTTTGCGCATGATATATTCTGTAAAGGAAAAAAGAGAGTTGATTACTGTGTATGGACGGCACTAACAATTTACAGTTCCGAGTGAGTGATCATGTTTGTAGTACTCGGCCTAGCTAGTTTGATCAATTTGACAGGCAATGATCGACCACTGAACATACCACGATACCAATCTGGTTGCGAGAAAACTTGAAGAGCCAGCAAAAAATTACATAACAAAACCACTATGTGTTACTTCCACTAAGCCATTATATTTTCTTTTACCAGTCGATGACCTTTTTCGCATTCTCATTCAGATTTTCAACGATAATTTATCAACCTATAACGAAAACACTTCCAGTCATAAGGGAAGCAGCTACATTGATATGCTGCCATCATGATACTGTTTTCAGAGTAAAGACACACATGAAAGCAATGGATATTGTCGCTTATTCCCGGTGTTTATATATCTCTTTTGCGAGGCAACACTTTAAAAGTCAGATATACTGTACACTCTCTTGCACTGCTTTTAAAACGACGCAAGATGAAGTTGCTTGACAACTTTTTTTGTTTGCGGATACTCCTGACAGTTTTTTCCTCCTACGGGAACAGTAGAAGAAAATATTACTATACTTATTGACTATTACTACCGACTAGAGACAACAAAACATTACTTCTTATAATGAATACATACTTGGTGTTGGAGTGTTTAAAGACGCCGATTCTTGGCTTGACATGAGGCCACACTCCGACCCAATCTGAGAGCAATTTCCTCCCATGGCAGCTTCTTGTTACGGTACCGAACCAGCGCATCTGTTTCTTCTGCTGTCCAAGACTGATAGGGTCTTCTCAAACTTGGGGCGTTGGATGCTGGAGTGTTCGCAGCGTCGGTGATGGTATCATCTGTATACTTTTTCTTGGTTTTGGTAGTATCAGCGCTTGTGACAGATGGCGCTGAAGATGTAGGTGGCGGACGCGGCGCGGATGCTGATCGCTCTTGCTGTTTCCGCTGCTGTTGTTGTTCTGGCATTGCTTCTTTTTTGATAATACTCTGCCATTTGGAAGTGCATGAGCCAACAGAGCGGTCCATCTTGAGGGCGATTTCTTTCCACGGTAATCCCTGTTGGCGATAGTGGGCCAGTGTTTGCTCTTCTTCCTTGGACCAAGACTTTCGGGTCTGGTAGCTCGTTTCGATGTTTTTACTGTCGTCGCGGCCGTCATTATCGGACCCAGCGTCCACGTTGTTGTTGCTGCGTGCTGCTGCTGCTATTTTTTCTGTTGACAACAATTCGGGGCTCTCGTCTTCATCTTGTTGTGATTGTAGACGTTGTTTCTCTTTCAGTCGGTAGTACTTGCTCTTGACGGAAGCGACGGTGCGATTCATCTCCATAGCCACGGAGTTGAATGTCATTTTTTGCGTCTCACGGTATTTTGTTAAATCGTGTTCCTCCTGCTTTGTCCAAAACTTGACGGTGCGTATGGGTACTCGATAGGCAGGAAACGATGCTACTTCTGGCTGCTCTCTTTTACCAGCATCATCTTCTTCAGGCTCAGAAGACGAGCTCTTGCGCTATAGTGTTCACGATATGACATATTAGTTGAATTTGCCTGACAACATTTATACCGCAATCAATATAAATGATATCAATGATGGCTTGCCGTTTTCATTTGATGCTCTTCATAAACTCTTCGGCATTCTTGCGCCGAGTGTGGCTCACTGGTCAACTTGGCGATTTCATCCCAGGACAAACGTGGCTGCTTCTGTCTGGTTTCGATCACGATACGCTTGTCACTTTTGATCCATGACTTTGTTGTTAACATAATTTCTGGAAATTAGCGTGATAAGTGTAGCGCTGGAAAGACTCAAGAGTGATATGGCTAAAGAAGTTATGTTAGAGAAAGAATGGTGGTGTCACAAAAAGAAAGAGATGGACGGCTTAAATATGAAACTGATTTCTTATCCAAACAGGAGTGATGTCAGAGAGGATGGATTAGCCAATAGAATGACTAAAACGTGCTCCTATTCATGTTGAGCTGGTAGTACCACTTTAGCGAGTCCTCTAAGAAACGAGTTGTCAGCAAGTTATAAGAGCCATTTGGCGCCAGGCAGCGCGTACAACATAAATAAACCACGTTTTCTTTCGGAGACACCAATTCTAGCTCCATTGCAGTGTCTTCTCTTAATCTACACCTTCCACTACAAGAAACTTATGCTCTCCATAGTGACAGGTCTAAAACTAAGAGACGAGAGAAAAGTATCTAAGGGAATGTAGTTTGTACAAATCGTATAGAATCGGGTGTTATGTAGTAGAGAAAATAAACCTTGTCCTTCACCATCCTCGCAAATGTTTGATAACGAGAGCAATAAATTTAGAAGCAGAACGGTATGGTAAACACAGCGTTTTGCGTCCAAGTCTTAAAGACAGTTTGTATGAACATATTAAAATGGTGGTTGCCTCACTGTAAAGTATAAGCTTCGTATGTACCTGAGGCTTCTTGAAATATTAACTTTGTCATAGGACGAAACGCGCCGTTCCGGTTATTGTTGTCTGTTTTTAATTGTACACTGTCGCTTTTGCTTTGACATCCTTCTTGAGAATGTCAAAGCTCCACGATCTAAAATGGTTTCCCAACAATCCGCATGAGACTTATTTTTTTTTTGAAAAGTTGTCAATGATTTTTTGCCTGGTGGGATCACAGCTTGTGGAGAAGGAGGGAGGAGTTTCGCAAAGCGGCATTGTCAATGACGGATGCTTTGAATTTGCGGTGTTTGAACGTATTAATCCAAGGCAGAACAATCAATTCGCTTTCTTTGTATTCGCTGCAGGGCAACATGGGTAGTATGTCTCATTCTGGAGTACAATGTAGTAAGGCCCTTCTGCTACAGGCTTTATTACAGCGGTAATCCATCGGGAATGCATCAGGAGTTACTAACGTGAAATCTGGTAAATTACAAAAACCGGTGGCCACCTTGACGGAATGTTGCAGCGGCACCAATGAGTTAGTGTATATTTGTGCTGGTTCATCTTTGTGTGACATTGATGGTATATATATATCAACGACAGCAGACATCGAGGAGATCATCCTACGTCACCGTCAAGTTAAGCATCACCAAATCGAACTGGTATGGAATGTTCATGTAATAGCTGTCAGTGCTATATCGTCTAAGCAATGCTCCAAGTAACTCGCAGTGATTCACTTCTACTCTTATAATGTAGCACAGTAATGAATATATCCCAAACACAAGATGTGCGAACCCTTATCTAGTAACAATCTTTTAATAGAGTTGTACATTTACAAGTGAGCAAGTACTGAAAAAGCAACAAAGCTCATAGCGGTTATTTCTCTGGGGTGAGTTGTGAAAAAGTGAATAAGGGTTTATGTGGTGTGTAGTAGAAGTTTTGGCGAAGATATGTGTTGTTTGTTGTAGGGATACGAATGACATTATTTTGATATACGAAATTTGACGATAGGAAACGTAAAAAGACGGGGGGTTTGAGGGGAAAAATGCAAAGAGGAAAAAGAAAGGAAAAAGGAAATAAAACTATATGTACTCTCTAAAATTTAATAGTAGTGGCTCTCACCGGGTTCACGACCACGGATGCTCTTGGGCTCGGTACCTTCGGCGTAAATTTGGGTGAAGAACTCCTTCATCTCGGGCTCGGGCGAAGCCTCTGCCTCCTTCAAAGCCTGGTCAACAATCTTGCGAGCCTCCTTGTCGATAGCCTTCAAATCAGCCTCAGTGGCAACGCCGTTGTCAATCAACAAGTTCTTCATGCCGGTGATCGGGTCGGAAGTCGAGCGCATGTGCTGGATTTCTTCACGCGTACGGTAGGTGGTGCCGGGATCCGACATGGAGTGACCACCGTATCTGTAGGTTTCCAACTATTACAAAGTCAAAGCAGATGTAGGTTAGAGATACTTGCTACGCGACACGCTTCAACAAGTTCACACACATACACACACATTCTCTCTCTCTCTATCTCTCTCTCCCCACATTTAATACTTACTTCCATGACAAGAGGACCCTTGCCCGAGGTGGTCCACTGCTTGGCCCATTCAGCAGCACGGTAAACAGCCATTGCATCCATGCCGTTGACCTTGATACCAGGAATATAGTCACCACGCTTAAAGTATTCGGTCGAGGCAGACGAACGCTTGGCGGAAGTACCCATACCGTACTTGTTGTTCTCGCAAACAAAGACGCAGGGCAAGTCCCAGAGCTTGGCCATGTTGTAAGCTTCAAAGACCTGACCCTGGTTAGAGGCACCATCACCGTACAAGGCAAAAGTGACGGAGGGGATGTCGAGGTACTTTTGGGTGAAGGCGATACCGGCACCAAGAGGGACCTGAGCACCGACGATACCGTTACCACCATAGAAGGAGGGCGAGAACATGTGCATAGAGCCACCCTTGCCCTTGGAGATACCGTCAGCACGACCCATCAATTCAGCCAAAATGCTCTTGATCGAGCCACCACGGACATAGGTGAAACCGTGGCAACGGTACGCAGTGATAACGTGGTCCTGGAGCGTCAAGGCTGCTTCCATGCCAACGGACACGGCTTCCTATAATTGATTCGATTACGGATTAGGATCGGAGAAAATTTTTTTTTTCGTGGATTCGCCCGCGTTTACCCGCCGTTAGCCCAACTGCCTTATCCCTTGGGCTTTGCTAGCTCATATGAAATGTACCTGGCCATTGCACAAGTGACAGAAACCACGAATCTTCTTGGCCTTGTAAAGACCATCGGCTGCCATTTCCATACGACGCATGGTAGTCATCTTTGTGTACATGTCCATCAGCTTTTCCTTGCTGATTTCAATGTCGAGGCTGGGGGCGTCAGCCTTGAACATTTCAAACGAGGACTCGGGAAGGGTGAGTTTAAGCGTCTCCGAGTCGCTGGCGGCCGAAGCCATCATGGAGGGTGCGGTGGACGAGAAGGCACGCTATAGATATAAGATAGATTTGTAGATGACAACCGGCGGTTATTTATCACAGTGGGGGGGTTTTGCAGTTATACTGGATCGAATGCAAGGGTGGATCGTGTATTTACCACAGGCAAGAAAGGCTTTGGAGCGGCAGTAACGTTGGCCAGCAAACGAGAGGCAGCTGTGCGAAGCATTGTTTGTTGTTGTTGTTCTGTGTGGGTGTGTGTGTGTGGAGAGAGGAGAGAGAGAGAGAGAGAGGGTGGAAAGGAAATTGATGGGAAGAATAGGGGAAAATAAAATAGAACTCGGGACCGGGGCGACTTGGGTATTTCAGCCGCCGCAGGCGAGAAACGCCCCCAACGCCAGTCAATATTCTCGGAGGCTTTCGGGTCGCGGGAGAAGATACGTGCATTCTCACGCCTGCACAACTACCAGTATTTTCGGACGCGTCCGCTCTCTGCTCAGTTAGGGCTTATTATAAGATAGAGGTCAGACAATTCTATTACTTTAACAAATTAAAAATACAAATGAAACACAAGTATGCGAGCAAAAGGGAAACAAGAGGGTAAATATTACAGGTCGTTTGGGGGGTGTGGGGAGGATGAATCAGCGGGAAAAGGTGTGTGAGTAGGTAGTTAGTATATGTGGTTGGTGAGACGGGATGAAAAAAAAATGTATATAATATGAGATGCGAAAAAATTAATAAATATAGGGCGCGGCAGTAAGTTAGGTTCAAGGTTCAAGGTGAGGCGACGTGAGGTGACATGAGGTAGGTGGGTAGGTAGGTAGGTAGGAAGGTAGGAAGGAAAGAGCATTGTGTTATCAGTCTTCTGCTGCGAGACCACTACTGCTACTGCTCTCGTGCAATTGCTCTGGGTGTAGGTGATAGTACAGGCTATTCAGTGTCTCAATGTCCCTCTCCACATCCATCAGCTCGTCATCTTCGCTCTGGTGGTCTGCTTCGGGCGATGACATTTGTGAGACATCGATAGGCACTGGCAGATATGCTTCATTTTCTGTCCAGAGCTCATCCTCTTGTTCTTGCTCTTGCTGCTCTTGCTGCTGCTGCTGCTGTTCGTCATTATCGCTACCTTCGATCGCTGTCGCTTCTCCAGCAGCCACGGTAACATATTCAACAGGCTCGACATATTCGATTTCGCCAGAGTTTTTCTTACCGCCAATTTTCACCTTTTTCCCGTGTCGATGACGCACAAACGGACAGAGCAGGTCCTGTGGGTCAAATCGACCTGTCATGCGCTCGCAAGCAGATACGTTCGTGTGCCAATTGGACGCAACTTTTTCCAGTCCATCCAAGGTGACGCGTTGGCCCCACAGATTCAAGATGGGAAGATCAGCAAAGGTCGGCAGCTGCTTGCCTGGCAATTGGCTGAGAATCGTGTCGCGTTGCATCAGGGGTACCAAGAATTCGTCCAGGGCATGGCTGCGTCCCTTTTTAACGTGTGTGCCAAACTCCAAGTGGTTGGTGGAGAACGATTCGAACATTTGAAAGTTTGGGTAGAGCATGACGTAGGATCGCAGATAAACGAGCTCGATAAAGTACTTTTTCCAGGATTTCTTCCATCGTTCAGAGCGACTCCCCGGAACGGTGATGTTGAGCAGTTGGTCTTGTCGCAAATCTTCCATGCGGCTTGTTAAATAGCCGTGGAACTCGCGCCAATGTTCTGGGAAATAGACTGCACCCCAGCTGCATGGGACCTGCGTCAAGTACGGCACGCGCGTATCGTAGTCGTCGCCAATGGCTGTCACAGGATCGAACGGACGTCGGCCTTGCGGCAAAAGCTCCAAGTGGCGCGGCGAGTATAAACTGATGCCATACATGAACTGACGGGCTTCATGGCTGGCGTCGCTGTAGCGGTATTGGAGGATGCTGTACTTGGCCCAGACATAGTAGTAGGGTGACACTTCAATGTCGTCTTCCAGTAACACAGCATAATTGTGGTCGCTGGATGGGTACCACGACTCAACAATAGCGGGCATCAACCCGCCTTTTCGGATGCGGTGGCGCATGGTCTTTTGACCGTGTTGCCACCTAAATCCGTTGACAAGCATTCGGGTCACACGATCAGATGATTGTTCCAGATGTATCTTGAGGTTGACAGCATCGCCCAGATAATGTGCCCGACTGGCCGATTGTAACAAGCGCGAGAGTGAATGAGGCCGTCTATCCGTGATCACCACGATATCCACATCAATGTCGTTCCAATCTAATTAACGTGTATCACACACACACACACACACACATACACCCCTGAATGAATGAGTATTCCTACGCAAGGCTAATAAGAATGAATAAAACTACTTACGCTTCAAAGCGTCTATAGGCAAATCTGCAATCCAAAGTGCATGACGCACATCTCCAATTGGAAGGCCGATCGTCACAGTGGTATCTTGTGCCTGCATCATGGCATCCATGACATGGAAAGTAGGCTTGTCCTGACGAATATGGACCAGTGCTTGCGGCTGCAGCACTTGAATCAACCGAACCACACCTTGCGCTGCCATGGATGCAACCGCCAACTCGTCTGCAACAGGCAGGGCCAAATCGTGCACAATCACATTATCCGCATTCAAACATCCTGATTCATACAAGGCCGCGTCAAGCGCCACACCATCAAGTCCTCGCTCTTTGCCGGTAACGACCAGATGCACAGGGGTAGTGTAGCGACACACCAAGGGATGCAACTCGATCATTTGTTCTGGTCCGTCTGCAAAGAACAGGACGGTGTCGAGCTGCATGAGCGTTGTTTGTCGATAGTCGAGGCACGTGGGATGCTGGCGTCTATTAAGCAGCTGTTGCCAAGCGCCATTTTCGCGATAGGCCGTCTCGACCTCCTTACACTGATCCTTGTTCAGATCGAGTTGATATTCTTGGTCCGAATGGGGTGGGATGAGAATAGACGGTACGTTGGCATGCTGATGAAGCGTTTGACTGATATAGTACGACAAAGGTGCTGCCAAGTCTGTCTCCATGGCAAGGAAGGGTAGCCACGCTTTTCGAAGCAACCATGCGCCCTGCAGCAGATCCACGGGTTGTGTTACAGACGGCAAGATGGTGTTGGGAAGGCACAGAATATGGGAAGCTGGGTCGAATTTGCTGTTCAGACTGGCTGGCAGCAGCATGCCGTGGCTGCCCAACAATGCATTGCGGTATTCGTCCGTATGCATCAGTCCGTGAATGTATTGCAAGTAGTGTGGGCCAGGCACAACGTTCTCGTCGAGCACGAATACAAAGTCGGATGCAATCGTGTCGATGACTTGGAGCCAGCTCGAGCGACCAGCGCTAGTAGCCAGCAGGTCATCCGTTGAAGGCAGTGGATCAGCGACCAAGACACGGATTGTCGTTGTTGCATGTTTCCGTGCATGATACTCTGCACTGGCTCGTAGCGACGATGGACATACAAGTGCGATTTCGTCGATACTCATTGATTGTGCCAAGAGGGCGTTCAGCTGTGATTTAATACTGTCCTTGTCGGCGACCTGGATGATCGCTGTGATCGACGCCTGCTTTTTGCTGTTGTGTACTACAAGCTTCTGCAGTTCGTCGTGGTCGTGGCCCGGAAGGGTGTATGTCTGCAATCCATATAAAAACGATGGTGTTGATGTATCGTCGTCGCTCACGGCCCATTGTTGTGACCCTAAAAATACACATTTACACCACGGCACAATGAGTAACAATCGCCCACCCCCTTTTATATTACCACTTTTGGAATAATAATAATTATGTGTGTATCTGTGTACCTTGCTGCTTCCAAGTCAGGAACTGTGGCCACTCAAACACCTTCTTTTCTCGTACAGGTGCAGTAGTGGTTTGGTTTTCATAGATATATGTCGGCGCAGCCTCTTCGTCGCTGCTGTATTCGTACGTTTGGTGTGCTATGGCGTTGGTATTATGTACAAAGAACATGGACGTCCACAGTAAAAGCACGACTGTAAGCGACAAGAGCAGTAATAGCCGAAGTAATCGTCGTCGCGGCGAGCATGCTGACAGGGCTGCTTTGAATGAATAAGCGTGTGGAGATTCAAAGGACGACGATGACGGGGATGACACCGAATCGCCCATTTCTGTTTGTGAATAATGGTGGAAAGAATAAAGAAGGAAAGAGGGAAAAAGGAAGGACTGGAAAAAAAGAGGATCTGCCAAGTGATATTTTTTTAAACAGCAGCAACAAGAACAAGAATGTGCGTGTAATAAATACAAGAGAGTGTTGTGCGTGCGTGAGGGTGACCCTCTCTGTGACCCACACACATCACTCGTAATGAAAAGCAGAAATTAGGTTTTTTTTTCTTGGGTGTAGCACAAACATTATCACCCAATTTATACACCGCCTCACAGGTGCTACCATCATGTTTTCCAGGGACACACGCTCTCTCCCACAAGAGCTTATACCGCAGATAAAAACCTTTGCTTGTGTGTGCAAATATATTGTTTTTCTTGAAGGGGGTTGCTCATCACAGAGTCAAGGTAACCCATTTCCAACGCAATGGCCAGATATCGGGTGGGGAAACGCAAGTAGTACGTACGCGCGCGTTTTTTCCTTCAGTAACTACTGCTTCCACCAGTTCGGGCTTTTGTCGCCGTTCCAAAGGAGTCTATACGTAGATCACTTTCGACAAAACGGTATGACCGCGATTCATTTATCCCTATTTAAAGTATAGCCAAACAAATTACTACGTGTACCACCTCTTCTCTATCTGTCTATAACACATTATCTTCTCTGTGCTCTTCCCGGTGCACATGCATCCTTACTGCTGCTGCTGCTGCTGCTGCTGCAAGGTGCAAGCTGTATTTACCCGACAACAAAAAAAGTGATACGCTTAACTTTATTATTTTTGCAACTCCCTCTATATCCAGTTAGCGTCGTGCGGACAACAGAAACGGGCACATTCCGCCTCATCGAATAACATCATCGTATTTATGTACTCTCGCGCTTGATTTCTTTGTCCTCCGACAATGAAGTTTGGATAGGTAGCACCAAAGTCGTCATGTTCAAGCATGGACTTTATGAACAATAACATAATGAACTAGTCTATATTGCATACAGATGCTGGTTTAATTTAAATGAATTTCTAATGCTGACCTAAACAATGAAAGGGTATTACTACCATGACACCATGGAGAAAAAGTCGTTGTAGCAGCACTTTACATTATTCTGATGCGCTCCATATATGTATAATCACGCAGCGGTGAGAGAAACCAAAGACACAAAAAAAAAACCGATATCCCGGTTTCTTTTTGCCGGAGCGCTTCAACAGGTCGAAACGAGCAACTGGTCTGATCACCTGGAAGAGAAGATGCGTATTACTGTGCTTTCGGGAAGAGGAGGAAGACAGTTACTGCTACTGTAATTCGTTTTGTTAGCACCTCCTAATCATCTTTTGATCATTTACTGCGAAATAGCACTTGATTTTTAAACGTAATTTCTTTATCAACTTTCGAAAAAATGAGCCCCCTATACTTCCTAGCCATTAGATCATCATTCATACAGATTATGAAAAATCCATTAAACGGCCGTCAATGGTGGCTTGAAAAAAAGAAAGCAATCGTCGTAATCCATATATATATATCGGTGGTGATGGATCCCCAACTCAGTGGTGGGGCGGTAATATATTCGTCATGAATCTATCCAGACCTTCAATGATCAAGTATGTTGTTTCTAGTATGACTAAAGTGTTCTACTACTACGTAACTACGTCGCATCGATGGGAAAAGGTGTCAAATAGGGTCCTCTGACATGAACATACAAGGAAATGGTGGTACATACACACCAATTATACCCACTTTGGTAATTTGCATTTTGATAGATCTGTCCTGATGACCAGTGTACGGGAGAAAGATACACGGGCATTGACTATGAAGGTTTATCATCACATCTTTCCTGGTTGTAACAATCTCTGTTGCCATCCAAAATATATATTTAAAAGCGTCGCGTAATACAGGGAAATTCTTTTTTTATGCGGCGGTTGAATTAAACCACAGCTTACGGGCGTTGAGGCAGAGAATCGCAATGAGGAAGGTACTTCTGAACTGGGTCAGATCAGCTAATGTGTGCCAAGTAAAAGAGGTATGAATATCATCGCAGTTGCTATATTGGCTCTGCCTAATAGAAAGATGCTTGTATATTCATGTCTAACTGCCTGGAAGAAATATGATTTTACCTGACATAAGACTGCTGACCTGCGACTCAATAAAGGTGGTCGCTTCCTGCCGTTATACGACAGAAAGTCAAGTGTCTATAGCTGCCATCAAGAGATAAAAAAAACTTGACCAGGTAAAGTGTGTGTACAAAGGGATTTATCGAATGACATAAAACCTACGTATATACGAAGAATCACAGCTTTTTGAGGGTGCTTTTGAAGAAAAGTAGCTCATGATCATTTCAAAGCCTGTACCGAAGCCGGTCTATGATACCGTCCGTAAAGTCACGATTAGGAAGGCTAAACTCGTCGTTGAGCGGATGTAGACAGCGTACTCATATAAAAGAAGTAAATTAACGGGCTGTAAGATCGGTGATAGCTTGAAACGTACGGATCCAATCAAAACCCTTTAGCATAAAACGTAGTAGTAGCCTTGACCTTGCGGATGACTATTTGTTTAGAGTTGAACAAACATTAATTTAAAAAATATATCAAAGAAGCATGTGCTGTTATCATTTTATTGATAGAATAAATGATAGGCTCATCAATGAGTGAAGATACCATATCGTTTTTTATCGTAACTAAGAAAAGGGTCATGCGGGTACTGGATCCCGAGAAAGAGCATGCCTTCTTTACGAATTCTTTGCAGAATCAACCACGTCTTCTTCGAGGAACACATACTAGCCATGGCTAGAGCAAACGCCACCCGCACCTTATAAACTAAAACCTTGGCTATGAATAGTACAGTTTCCATCAAGGACACTGTCCGCCTCCGCGACTGCGGCATCTGTGTCCAAGTTCACAGCTAAAATCATCGCAGTAACCTCCAAGATGTCAAGGTCGCGGTTGCCCTTGGTGGTAGTTGTGGTGGTGAGAAAGGAGCAGGAGATGGCGGCAAAAGGAAAAGTTTTTGCTCGTGCGTGTGTGTGTGTGTGTGTGTGTGTGTGTGTGTGTGAGGGAGATAAAGACTTTGCTGCTGAATGATCCCTTTACAACTGCCTCTCAGAGACGTCAGCAGCATAATCTGGCACGGAAATTAGCAGAGGCCAAAATCACGGAAAGTTTAAGGCGGTGGAAAGAGAAATCCGAACCATGTTCGTCCCGTTTACCACAAGCGTTTACATGTTGTTGTATAGTTGCACCTAGAGCAAGTAATAGCTTGACATACAAATGCTGAGCTTGTATACTATGCTTTTTTTAATTCTGAGTAGTGGTGTGCAAGCGAAGATCAGTGTACATGATTGCGACTGTGCGGCACACATCCAAGGTTTTAGGGAGTGACATAATTTATATTGTGCTTATGCATGTATTGAGTACTTGAAGCGTATACCTGTATCTTCTACAGCAACAATCAGTTACCACCATCAGCAAATCAAGAACGCACACAAAACCGAAACCACACTATACTTTTCCATATTGTAACCTCTCTATCTGGTAATATATGCTCGTCATATAATATATTTCTTCTCTCTTTATAACACCTACGCTACCACAGCCGCAACGTACACCGCACATTCAACCTCCAGGTTCGGTTAAAAGCTTTCCTGCTATACAATATTGTACTTTGCTGTAGTAGCAGGGTCTGAAAGATTATCTTCCAATCTTCTCGTATCACAAACCCATCATCAACGACTGTTACGTTTCTTTACACACTCATGTATGCACGGATACGGCCGCTGCAAAGAGAAAGGTGAAGACTACATGGCAGTTTATAGATTCAACCGCTATAAGATCTGATAGATGTATACGATTTATAAAATCGATCTTCCATCCTTCCCTAAACAGGAGATTTTATATTATGTCACAAACCAATTTTTTTGTTTAGTGTTGCTGGTATAAGACTGAGCACAAGACACTGATTCAACTCATGCGCCCATCGTATTGGTACATTTAGAAGCTGTTGCGACGAGATAATAATCAAAATAATGTACCTGACTGATCATGAGGCATGATATGACTCTTTGTCGGCTCATTCAGCAGTATTAAGCCCGAGCATTTCTCGCTTTTTTACTGTTGTGCAACGCGGGTTTCTTACTGTAAACCGGAACCGAGTTGTCTGCTTCTTTGAAATTGAAAATCCATCAATCTTATAGATTCGAAAACACCAATAGTGCGTACCACTTGAATCTCTTTTTTTGGAATTGTGCTGTATATGCTATTACCTGAAAACGAATAATACCATGATAAGCATAAGTACAGTAGGGAGGAGCTGTATTTCATCGATCCATTTACTTTGATAATATCCGCAATACAAGCTTAAAGATACACAAATCGTTTAGGAAAGCGGGTGTAGTTAACTAGAGGTACTGATGAGAACAAGATATAATCACAAAACATAGTGTATGGTTAAATGGTTTTATTGGTTCCACTACTTCCGAGATATTATACCATTAGATAGTATTGTACACCGCACACACAAAAACGCACACACACAGATATACATTAGGTGTGTTTGGCTGGGTCATTTATCTAGAAGAAGCTGGACTAGAGTAGTTGACTTAGTAACGCCAGGCCATCAACACCATTTTGTGGATCTCAGTATCAAACTGAATTAACTTACTGACAGCCCATTAATTGTCAACGACAAGCTGTACACTACACGACGAATCTCCAGTTTTAGCTAAAGAACGATGTAGAGCTATTGGCTTAACGTTCTAAGCTCTTATGGAAATACATATGAATAGAAACATGAGCTCAACACCGATTTTCGCCACTCACCTTCCTTTAGGGCTAAAAACAGGATAATGGAGTATATAATATTGAATCAATTATTAACAAATTTTGAATATACATATGTACATGACACTATCGCTTGGTTGACCAAGCTATCAATGCGTAAAGATAGGTGTAGTAGAGGTGTGTAGAATATATAGTTAAAGAGAAACCCTACATTGGTAGTGTTAAAGAAAAGAACTGCATAAAGCGATCAGGAGCCAATAGTGTAAGACGTACGTGCGAATTATTTATCCTAATCCTGCAAGCTTCCATATCCGCTCAAATTCTGCAGGATCCACGACACCATCATGGTTCCTGTCCGCCTCATTCAACATTTCTTCCAATTCTCGAGTCGTCCAAGACTCGCCTTGTGCTTGACTTGCTTGTCGGAGGCTATCCAAAGTAATCATTCCATCCTTTGCAGCCAGCACACGAAATGCGTCGTCGCGTCGATGATCATCGATGAACTCTTCTTCATCTTCATCCCCATCTTCTTCCTCTTGATCATAATCATGATTGTCTTCTCGCTGTTCATCATTCTTTCGCTACATTAAAATCAAGGGTTGTTATATATTATATTAGTATCAACCGGTTTTCAACGTTTATGCAAGATTTCCCTACCCACCAACTTATATTATGATTCTCTTATTACCGTCATTAAATCTGATACAATTTTTTTGAAATCGTCCACATCAATATAGCCTTCATCTTGTCTATCTACTGAGCGGAGCAGGTCGTTAATGCCACCTTCTGATACTGGCACTTCTAAACCCAAAGCGCGGAGCGCCTTGTATAAACCTTCGCCGTCTAAAAGTCCAGCACCAACCGTGTCGGTCAGTTCAAAGACTATTGGAGAAACATTATGAATATTTTTTTTTTCCGCGCGTCAGTTATACGCGATCGTCAAACGTTTCCTAATCTCACTCAATTGGGTCAATGGTAATAAAGAAAAAAAAAATACCTTGATTGATCTCTTGCTTTTGTGCACGAGTAAGTAGCATAAAAAAGAAGGAAGAAAAAAAAGAGAATGTGGTAATGAACTGAGATTAAAAAAGAGATACCCGTTTGCTAATATATACGAGGGGTTGTTGTTCAAACAGTAGCCATTCCCTTTCCATACTACTTTAACCCGTCCCGGGCAGTGAAAAGAGAGATTAAAACATGGCTGAACCAAAGGTTCCCAGCGAGGATTTGCTTTCACAAAAGGTACAATGAGCCCTTTGTGCTGAAGGATTAAGAAGGAATCGGTTTTTGCAACTTGGAAACAGATACTATAACATGCTCTTTTTATTTTATTTTTTTTTGAAAATAGTGGGATCGCGTGATTTCGAATTTCGTGATTAAGACGGGTCTCGGTTTGAGCGCCGGTATCGTTGCCTCTGCATTGTTGTTCAAGAGTAAATATCTTTTTAATTGTTGGAAATTCTATGACTGAAAGGGATAGAGACTTACATATATTCTCGGGTGGGTTTTGTTGTAGAGCGCTCATGGCCTATTGCTATTACCACTGGTTGGGGTTTCGGTGTCGCGTACGCCGACGCGCAGGTAATTGTTTCATTCTCTTTTTCTATAGCAAGGCATTGATGCTACATATTACGGGTATGTCTAGGTGCTCAAGTAACTAATATGCCTTTATTTGGTTATCTACTTTAGCGTATTTTCCATCCTCATCACGTACCAGGCGTTAAATTTGAAAAGAAGAAGCCCACCGTTTAGATTTTTGCATACAATTAAAAAAAGTATTCCTGGAAAAAAAAAGAACATCTTTGATGGTTGATATGGGAAGAAAGAAGGCTATGCTCTTCTTTGGAAAGCAGTGTGTTCAGGATATAGGCAAGATAATGCGGCTTCCAGATAGTAGTAATCCGTTGCTGTCTGAACGCTGTTGCTATGATTTAAATCTGATTGGTTGCCCTCGCAACGCTGAACTATCGAAGAGGGGAGAGAGGGAGAGAGGAAGAGAGGGCAACTCTGCCTGTGTGTGAACTGCCCTAGAAACCCACTTATATTTTCTCGTTCGAACTTTGCCAAACGTCACCTTTCTCTCTTTTTTATTATTGTTTACCTCCATTGCGCATTAAAAGCGATTTTACCAAACGGAACCGAGACGCGTGTGTGGTTCTATATATATATCTTTTCCTAATTCCAGTTTTCTGAATTCGCATTCGCTTTCATTTGATATACCACACACAGCTTTTCCTTCTTCTTGTACATAATCACTTTTTGGAAGCTCTCTACCCCTTTTCTCGTTTACCCTTTGGTCATTCTTTCTCTCTTGTGTTCTAAGGGAAAAAGAGAGGAAAAGCAATGCAGAAAAACATGAATCAATTGCAACAACAACAACATTTCCAACAACAGCAACAACTGGCTGCAATGTACGAGTCGATGGGCATGCACCCGCAACAGCAGCAGCAGCAACAGCAACACCCTCACCTCCACCCACAGCAACAACAACACTTCCAGCAGCGCATGCCGCAACAGATACCGCCACAGCCCTTTCCAGGCTATCCAGGAATACCTAACGCGTCTCAACAACTACAGCAGCAACACCAACAACAACAACAACAACAGCCAGACTGGACAAACGCGGCGGCCGCAGCGGCAGCGGCAGCGCCAACAGATCCGTACGGTCGACCCAGATATCCCATGCGTGGGCCTCCTCAAGGCATGGTCAGGCCACCTCAAGGTGTTGCCCTCGCAGCCGCTGGTGGTGGCGCTGGCGCTGGCGGTAGTGGTGTTGGCGGCCACCCCAACACATCGACTCCACCCAACATGATGCCTCATCCATACCCACAACTATCGACGCGTCCGCCGGTGATTCCAGCAGCAACGGCAGCTGTAGCACCACCACAAGCACCACAAATCGATGCGACCCGAGCGGATTCAGAAACACGCAAGAAAAATCTAAAGCAGTATCAAAATCGCGATGAACACTATCAGGAAACACTGAACTTGCAGCATAAACGGCACATGTCGCTGGCACATGAAAAGAAGCGCGACATTGAATCCATGCAATTGGAACGACGATCGCGGATGCGTGCTGGTCCTGCCGCTGTGTTTGGACCTGGATATTCCGGTTGTGGCAATGCGCCGACCGGACTGGAAACTCGGATCATGTATCCTATCGATCGAAAACGACCAAGGCGGTCACGCGAAGTGCGATTGTAAGTAATTTTCTTAATGTAATTGATAGTCAATAAGCTAAATCACAGTATTCCTATTCTTTTAAATTTTGCTAGTCGATTCGATCAGTTGGTTGAGCAAAGCATGAAAGAGGACAAGTTGGTGCCGATACGGCTGGAAATTGAGATTGATGGATATAAGCTTCGGGATACCTTTACATGGAATATGAATGGTACGCTTGTGTGGCATTTATATAAATGGAGTTTCGGTCGAGGAGAATGGAAGGAAAAGAAAACAAAGATCATATTCCCAAACTTATGTCTTTTTTTTTTTGGTAGAAACGTTAATTTCCCCCGAGCAATTTGCCGAACTTATGTGTGAAGATTTGCAACTACCTCCAACGACGTTTGTGCCGAATATCGCTAAAGGAATCAAGGATCAAGTCGAGGATTATTACCTACATGCCGGAAGCACAGTGATTGAAGATGAAGGCTCTGACAACGAAAAGGACTACATGACATTATTGGACATTTGCAAGGCCGGGGGAGAGCTCCCTGTGACAGTGAAAAAGGAACAGCTTATAGAAACAGAGGATGTGCCAAAGTCAAAGCGGCGCAGGAATACAGAGTTACGAATGTTAGTCAAGGTAAAGCGGCTCGCTCGAATAGCTCTACCAGATCTTCTTTGTGACGTAAAAAAGAATATCGTTATCAAACTTCTTTTGCTTTTTTTTTTTAGTTGGATATTACTGTTGGCAATCGAGCACTGCTAGATCAGTTTGAATGGGACATTGCCTGTCCGCAAAATAGTGCAGAAAAATTTGCAGAGAAATTAACGAATGAGCTTGGTCTTGGTGGTGAATTCAGGTATGCATATTTTGTTGTCAACGAAAATAATAACGGACAACAGAAATTTAAAAAAAAGTGGCCCCACTAGAACGGCAGTTGCACATTCTATACGTGAACAAGCCCACAACTATATCAAATCACTGATATTGGTGGGTCACGAGTTTAACGGATCCCCCATTCTTGACGATGATCTACGACAAAGCTTTTTGCCACCACTCCGTTCTATCATCCGCGACAACGATACAGTAGAACGCTTTACACCAGCTATACTGGAATTGACCGATGCTGAGATTGACAAAGTAGAGAAGGATCGTATGCGGGATGCAAGGTAAAAAAAAAAAGGAATTGTTACTGCAAAGTCTTTTCATTGAGGGGATACTGAGTATGAAGCTTGAAATAGGCGTAAACGACGACAAGCACGAGGCCGTCGTGGTATTATACTACCGGATCGAGAACCGCTGAAAACGTATCGCACAGGCGTAGCATTGCCACCAGAACAAGACATGACTGACGAGCAATTTTTGATGAACGTGGGAATGGTCAATGGCAGTGGAGGCCATAACACCCGAGGAAGCACACCTACATATGAGCCCATGCATTCGCAACGTCGGAGCGCGCTCAAGGCACGCATGAATATCGCAGCCGATGCAGCCAGCAATCATCACATGAACCCCAACTCTCCGGCACCATATCAACAACAAGGGATGCAAGGCTTGATTTCACTCAATGCAGGGAATCGATTTTCAACAATGACAGACCACACGACACGGCAAACAAGTAAGCATCAGCATTCTCTTCTTCTTCTTCTTCTTCTTCTTAGAGTGGAGCATACAGTGGAAAGCGTATAATGCTATCTGAAACTAACGTCTGGAACAACAACAACATGGAAATAGATCATGGATACTCACCTAGTGGTGGACGACCGATGTGATGATTCTCTCCCTCTTCTTGTCGCTTGTTTCCAACCTTTTAGCAATAAACACTCACTAATCTGTACCCTTCTTAAACTCCTCATGCATACATATAAACATATCACACCACGCGCATACAGCTATTTTCCTTTCTTTCTTTTTCTGCATCTCACAAATAAGCGACCTTGCTCTTCCTTTCCTGCACACAGACATTTCCCTTTTCACAAATAAAAGATTTGCTATAACAAGGAACGTACGAAAAGAGAAGAGAGCGCGTGTGTATATTATTCATGTCCTTTTAATACTGTTTTTATTTGCTATGTACAAGTGTAATACAAATTGTGAACTATGCTTTATTGATGAGTCCTTGAACCATAGCCTTGCACTCGTCCGCATCGAGATATTCTGAGTTTTGAATCGCATTGGCGAGCATGATGGTATCCTTGACACTGTTGGAATGAATCCAAACGCGACCGTTCATGCCTACGGCCAATTCAAACGGAAAATGCTCTCCAAGCAAAGCCAAGATAGGCGTGTTGGGATCCAGCAACCTCCGGCACAGACCTAATGAGCACTTGATAACATGGCCGCTTTTCAGTTCACCAAATCCATCCGCTTTGCCTGTTGCTGGATTAACACATTCAAGCTCTGCTTCCATGTCACGATTGGCCATAGCAACACGACAATAGACGAGTGAGCGGGAATTGAGATTGGGTTTGTTTCGTTTCGTCGCGCCTTCAAACGCAAGTGCTGGTAAAATGGCAGTGTGGGCTGTGCCAATGTCGACGCGGTAATACTCTGTCAGTTTACTAATAATCTGGCCCACTACGGATTCGCCTGTTGATGCTACATACTGCAATAAAGCAATAGAGTTTTAGCATGTGAGATTTTTGTCACGTATAATGAAAGATCGCGTTTTGTGTAGACACTTACACGTTTCTGATTGCTTTCGATCCACCATTTGCCCGGTAAATGCTTCAGTATACCGGCTTTTGTTGCAACAATGTGTTCGCTTTCTTGTCGTAAACCTGGGCCGAGTGTAATATCTGACTCTGTAGCCTCTTCAATGATGTCGCCTGGTATTACTACTCGTGGTGATTGTTCATCGATCTCCATTATTTTGTATGTGTATGATGTGTCTGTGCTAAAACAAAAGGAAGAAATGCCTAAAATTTTATTTGGTCAACTCCGAGAAAAAACCGGAAGGTTGTTCTCTTTTTTTTTTTTGGTTCCAAGACTATTCCGCATAATACACGCGTGGGCCCCACCATGAACGAACACCCACCATGTCAAGCATATCCACCTGTTCCCAACTGGTATACATCGCATTGTGCTGCTGTCTCTGATCCTCATTACTACGTTTATGCCACACGCAACATGATTGTCGTTCTCGATCTATCTGCTTTTCGTTTTATTCGAGCGTTTATTGCGTCCCAGGACAAGATCCAGGCGATCGCAGCCCACAAGCAGTTTTGTTTTGTCGGCAGCACAAACGGTACAATCCGTTCTTGGAGTCTGTTAAATGGATCTCTGCTCATCACTTACCACGGACACTCGGTATTGTGTTAATATTTATCTTTGAGGGAGAAGCGCTATATTTTACTATAAGATAGGACCCACTGACTTTTTTTGTGCCCTATTAGGCAGAAGTAACCGTAATCAAATGCATTCGAGACGGAATGGTTATCGTTTCAGGTTTGCTAATATTCTCTAAAGTTGTTGTCTGTACCAATTTCACGTACTGAATGTACAAATATAGGTGACAAGTCGGGCAAAATCATCGTGCAGGAAACTTTCCAGAAGGATAAGCAGGTGATCAGCAAAGTCAATTCGGAAGTACGGTCCTTAGCTCCGCTTCATCATGCCGGCAACGATTATCTCGCAGTGGGGTAAATTTAATACACACCCGAGAAGTGAATATTCAGATATTTTTGAAGCTAACAAGATCAGGTACGCCAATGGCATGATCCATGTAGAGAAAATTGGAACAGATTTGACCGCCGAAACCATGTATCAACTTAGCCATTCAGATGGCGATGGTATCCATTCATTATCGTGGCAGCCACCCTCGCCCGCTTTTCCGGATATCTTTCCATTACTCGCTTCGAGCACTCGGAAACTAAAGAATGCCATTATATGGAACGTAACCGAGGAAGCACGCTATACTGAGTTGAAGTTACCTGTGCCGTCACCACATTGGACGGATCAGCAGCGCAACACCATTTGGTTCGAATTGGCCTGGTCTCCAGCACAAGAGGACGAAATCTATGTGACGTCGTATATGTAAGGAAAAGGTGTTGGTTACAGGATTGAAAACAGGGACTATATACTTGAACTGGAGTGGTCGATAAATGGGATATTAGGGAACAAAGCATATGGATTAATTTTTATTGCTAAATCCTTAGGGGTATGGTTGTCCAATATAAACTCCATGGGCGCAAAGTGGTAGAAATAGGACGATTTCGCGATCTACATTCACGTATCGCTTTCAGTTTTACTTGGGTCCAAAATGGTCGATACGCAGTTACATATTCTATCGACAAGCAGGTAAAGAAAAACAATATTAAACCGGTTTTTTGGTGTAAATGTTCCTAGGTGTAAAAGAGTGAGTGAATGCAGCTATATAACATATCTTTCTGATAGATCATATTATGGGATGTCAAGCAGAGGGATGCAGTTTGTCGTATGCTGACCCACGCTGGATATATATACAGCTTGGATATTCCGACGTGGAACCCTGGTCAAGCAGCTGTTGGACTCGGTGATAGCAACATCAAAATTTGGAACTTTATGGACAATTCTGGTTTAAGTGGCCAACGGCACAATTTCTATGAGTCTCGTATATTGTGGAAAGGATTGCAAGGACAAATATTAAAAGTAAGTACTCATAATAACACGCGTGACTTATTGTACTAAAAAGCAGAAAATCAAATGGTCTTACTTAGGTTCGATGGCACCCTACGCGAGAAAATATCTTGGCTTACAGCACTGAATACGGTCGTGTCGGTGTTTACGATACAAGTAGTAACAAATGCCACCAATTCAAAACATATTACAACACCAAAGGCTCTATATCCATCAGCTGGGCTTCTGATATTCAAATTGGTGAAACATTCGTACGCGATGCGATCATATCGTGCGGTCCAAACAATATTGCCTATGCATTCGATGTCAAGCAACCCACCGCTAAAGCAGTCAACGTTACGGACTGGATTCGCCAGGTCAACCCAGCCTGGTCCACGATCATGGAGGCCAAAGTAAAGACAAGCCGATGCTGCGCAGCTGTCGATCCACAATCCCGTTTCCTAGCTTTGGGAAATACTGATGGTGCGGTGGAAGTGTATCGACTCGACACGTTTAGAATTGTCTATGTGGCGAACTCTCAACAAACAGCTGTAAAAGTACTTTCATGGCGTGATGGTAAAGTTAATATTTTGTTTCGACCCATGTAATCTTTGATTTGCTAATAAAGATTATTCTAATATAGGCTCTGCAGGATCTACGCTGTTGGCAGTGGGATACAATTCGGGCACCATCACAATTCACAATATTGCCGAGCAACTTTATGATGCTCCAGAAGTTCCGATACCAAATACTACTCCCATGCACACGATTACTGAGCACAAGAAACGCATCACTGGTCTTGCATGGAGTCACCATCAAGAACGATCACTCCTGGCTTCTACTGCAAATGATGAATTTGCCTATGTAAGTTGCCAATTTTAACGATTTTTGAGAGGTAAACAGAACTTCTTTAAGTAACTGATGTGGATCATTATCTAGGTCTTTGATATTCAGAACGGATCTGCTGTATCATGTTTTGATCAGCATCTGAGCAACGTACTTTCCGTTTGTTGGAGTGCTGAAGATATGGATACGTTGTTTACAGGTGGAGAGGACAAGTTCTGTTACGTCTGGAAGTATACTGATTATCCTTACACAACTCAGAAAAGTAAGCCATCATTCTAAACGTTGAAATTTGTGCATGCATAAAAGGTTGAAGAGCAAAAGGCTTTAATCAGGTGACGAATCCTTTTTTTCTAGATCGAGTCCCGAGAAAAACAAAGGAATTACAGGCTATGAATGTATCGAGCGAAGAACACCAGCAAAAGCAACAGGCTTCTTCATCGAAGCGACAAGAGTCGTTACCTGTAACCGATGCGACGTCACCAACGAAAAGGAGAAAAACAGGAGGAACAGTAGGGGGCGCAAGTGGTCCCAAGCTTAACGAATTGATGAGCAGCTTAAAACGATCATCCAACATTTGTCGACAGCCCCAGTTGCTGCGTCACTGTATACATTTAGCGGCTCGCATTTACGGTGGAGATATTAATGAAGCGGTCAAAGTAGTTAAGAATCGGATTCCTGGCGATATTGATCAAGCAGAATATGAATATGCTGTTTACGCTGAGCAGGAGCTAGGTGGTGATACTCAAGATGAACAAGACGAAGATAGCAAGAACTTGGGCCTTTTCTTTGATGACAAAAATGCTATGCGGGAACTGATAGGCATTGAAGGTAAAATACATATTGAGGAGTAAAAAGAGATTGTATGACTTTAAGTAGTCAATTATAACTCACAACTATGTATACTCTTATAGTCAACAGTTGTGGACCTAGACCAGCGGCAGTAGCAGATAGTTATGACGGGCGACTCTTGCTGGATATCATACAAAGCAATTACAAGGCTTTCGAATCCAGTCCAGTGAATTGGGTGGCGCTGGCGCTAAGTCCCATGGCTGGCAAGGAAACATGGTTGAGTTTGATGGAAACACAAGCAAAGCATTTGGTCAAGCAGAGTCAGCCAGTTTTAGCGGCGACGTGTTTTTTAGCATGCTCTAAAATATACGATGCTATCCGTGTGTATCGCGAGGCTGCCATGTACCGGTATGTCTTGTTCCCTCTATCTTTATAATGTTTTTTCAAAGGAAAAAGCAAGGTGCTAATACAACTCCCCAAATCTTTTCAAGAGAGGCGATTGCTCTAGCAAAACTACGGTTACCAGAGGAAGATCCTATAATTTCGACTCTATTTGCGGAGTGGGCAGACAGACTACAAAAGAAAGCAACTCAAGAGGAATTGGCTGCTATGTGGTAAAGTATGACGTCTCACTTCTACACGTTATACTTCTTGCGCCTAACAAATATACTGACATGGCATGCACTTCCTGGTAGTTTTTTGCATGCCAAATCACCAGGCTCTTCAGTGAATGCAATCAACCTCTTAGTCCGGCGTAAAAAGGAAAGCTATATGTTTTGGGCTGCCTGTCTGGCCGTCCTACTACAAGATAGCACAGCTGAAGAACGTATATCCCAATATCTTCAAATGCTACATGAAAGACTCGCCAAGAAATCGACAGCAGAAGTAGAAGTAGAAGTAGAAGCAAAAGCAGTAGTCCCATCATAACCAATATAAAATGAGAAACAAGATCATTTATTGCTTTTTAAATATCATCTTCATCATACTCTTCCTCACGCTTCTTTCTTCTAGTTGTAATAGTGCAGTTGCAGATTTTAGCCAACAAATCGGGTTCATCAACCAAACGCTGCGAAGCTCTGGTTGCAGCATTTCGGCGGGCAGCCTTGACGTTGTCAGCAGATCCAGTGGCGAGAGGCTTTTCGTGTAGGAAAATAACGCATTTTTGGCTATCAGCTGCAGACGATGATGTAGTATGGTTTCTGTGTAAAGAAAGAAGGAAACATGCGTTAGTGTTTCTCTCTTGAATCCCAAAGTTTAATAATTGCCATTTCCTTCTCCCTTTTTCTTTGGTTAGATAAACATACCGTAACATAAAGCTTTCACAGCCCATACGCTGAAGATCTGTAGTGAACTTTCGGAGAGGATGTATCTTGAGGGTTTGTGGGGTCACGTGTTTCTCGTACAGCGGTATCATCCATTTTTCAAACACTTTTTCAACAGGCGCAAGATCGAAACCAGCATCAACAAACACAGCACCAAGCATACTTTCGACAACATCAGACAAGACCTTTGGAATTGACATTTCGGTCCAGAATTCTCCTACAGCTTCGCCATTCTTCTCCATTGTCTCAAGCTCGAGAGAAAACTCTTCGATGGCCTTGACGAGTCGACCCGAATAATGGATAATTTGCGTGTGCAGATTGTTTCTGACACAAATGATACCAAGCACGTGGTTGTTGACGCAGGAATCTTTGATATCGGTGATTAAGCCTGGATCGGCGTATGGATATGTCTTGTACAGGTATCGGATGACCAAAAAGTCGAGAATGGCGTCGCCCAAGAATTCAAGGCGCTGGTAGCATGGCGCGGTCGAGTTGGGTAAACTGGCGTGGGTCAACGCTTCGACAATCAAGAGAGGTGTGTTGAACACGTAACCAGCAATTTCTTGAACACGCGGTACGCTTACAGATCGAAGTGCCTTGATTTCTGCACGAGCAGGTACCTTGGATCGTGAGTTGATATAAGTTGGTTGCAGGTCGGACCATTGTTTGATCTCGTCAAACGGAATTTGCATCTGGATTGCAGTGTGCAGACCGCCTTCGAGACCTGCGCTGAGATAAGCAGCACCAAGCGACGCTTCGACAATATCAGCCAGTGTTTTGTCAGAAAGCATGTGCCCGCGCAATTCTTTAAGCGTTTCAGGATTGTCATTAGGAGAGACGAAGTGGTGTGGCCGCCAATAACGGCGATTGAATGCATGGCTGGTCACGTAGCGATAGATACGTAGACGTTTAGCTGCTCGGTACAAAGCTCGGTTACAAATGACACGGATACGTAAGCAATGGAGTTCACCTTCGTCTGAGAACGGGAAGTTGATGTATAATCGGATCGTGGCAATAAACTTCAACAAGGAGTCTGCAATGCAAAAATTTAGTAACACACTCCACAGTTCCTTGCATCAATGTTTGTGACACCTTAAATTAAAGACAGAACGACATACCACCCAGCGTTTCCAATCGCTCATAGTTCATTGCCATGCTTGCAGAAGGTGTTGTGTATGCTTCTAGCATCAAATTGTCGGTAATTGGCAAATCATATCGCAAACCGGCTTCTTTGATCAGCAGATAGGAGTCGAGTCGAGTCATGATGGATGGAAGGAACATGGCCGACTGGTATACACTTGCACTTGTCCAGAACACTTTGCAGAATTCCGGAACGACAAATGTGGCAGTCCGTTTCTTTTCCTGGGGTGCAGCCGGTGCAACAGGCATCAAGAAATTCATGACTTTGAGAATTCTTTTCACACGAACCATGGGCTGATCCGCTCGAGACACTTCAAGCTTGAAATTCTCTGCATAGTATGCAGCAAAATTCTCATGGCCAGATTCTCGGATTTTCAGATCGGATGGAATAGGCGAATTTGGGGTCAAATCGTTGTGAACTTGGAGGACCAGGTATCGTCTTGAGTTGTCCGCATAGTCCATCAAGATTGTATCCGTCATGTCGTTTTGTAGATTGTCAAGATCAACAGGAGGCTGCTCCTTGACCATTATACGAGCAATTTCATCCCAGTCGATGGCTTCCATGGGTGTGTCGCTGGCCAGTGGATATTCAAGCTGAGTGCTGTTGTTGGTTTTTAATGGTGCGAAAAAGTACGGGTAATCAATCAGAGGACACTGGAAATCTTTGTTGGTGATGGCAGAAGTGATCGAAACGGTGAATGCTGCAAGTCCTTCCAACGTCGGGCGATCGATCTGGAAGGTACTGGGCGCAGGTCGGAACGAAATCTTAAAAGGCGTGCCTTTGTTGTAGAGTTCAAAATCTGGGATCTCGGGCAACGGTTTCCAAGTGACAAGGGCCATATGTCGAACATTGGCAAGGTCTGTCGTGATTTCAATGAGGATGGTAGCCATGTGAAGCTCGAATGGTCCCTCCCCGATATCCTCTTCAGGATCTACGTCCATATCATCTTGCTTTTCTGCCTGTGATTCTGATGCCTCGGTTGTTGCCGCTGCTGTTGCTATCGTTGTTGTTGTTGTTGTTGTTAAAGCGGTGGTGGTGGGGGTACTGAGCGATTTACGAAAGGCGCTATCTAAACCCGCAAAAGGATCTGTACTTGGATCCTGTGCATCCTGGTGTCCGTCGGAACCTACCGTCGATCCGTTACTCAGCGGGTTGGTGGTTCCGTTTGTCAATGTATTCTGGAGTTTTCGTAACCGTTGGTTGACGTGAGATAGCTCGGACCGAGGTTCAAATTGATTCGCTTTTGCATCTCTCCAGGAGCTTGTCTACATGACAGCATACAGATTATTGTTCAATTAGTGAAAAAAATTCTTTTTTTTTCTAGAATATTGCCTAAAAGGATTCCTACATGAGCAAACATCAAATCTTTGTCATCCTCGGCCTTCATTTGTTGTTGTTCTTCTGTCTCTTCCTCCTCCTTAGGAAGCTCACGTTCCCAGAATCGCGGAGTACGTTTTTCATAAATGTGCCGTCTTCGTTTGCTGCCGATGATTTGTCCATTTTCATCGAGCAAGGGTGCCATTTCACCGAGAATTTGTCGTTTCATGCTCCTGGGTCGTAAATGATCGTCAAGAGCCCCGATTTTGTGGAGCTGGACAGCTGCATCGTAAGCAGCAAAGCGTTTGGCTTTAGCTTTTGTCCTGGCAACTTCCGATGTTACTTCTCGTACAGCAGCGTTGCTAGGTAGTCGCAAGGTGCACGTGAACCCTTCTCCAGCAGGGTTCATGTCAAATACTGGTTTCAGCACACAGAAACCGTCGGAAGGGAGCGAGCTGACGTATAAATGGATCAGTGGAACAGCATGGTGCAGTGTGATGGTGGCAGTCGCATTCGGAACAATGTATATCCGATCGATGAAGTCGTCTTCATCTTCATCGTCTTCGTCATCATCCAAGTCAATATCGTCGTTATAACGGCTCCTCACACTTCGCTCGGGATGCTCTGCACAGAATTGTTTCATTTCCATTTCGCGTCGACGGAATTCGTGGAGCATGGCCTGATTGCCGGCAGCATTGTCGTCAACGAGAATGATGTATTTGGATTCGGGTTTACGTGCTCGTCCTCGAGACTGAATGTAAGCAATCAGTGTGTTGAAAAAATCAAATCTATATCAGAAAGACGAGGTTAATTGCTCAGCAAAAAACAAACCCCATTATCCGGTAACTCCAATCTACAGAATTATCTACCTACCTGATAACGACGTTGCATGGTTGGATATCCAATCCTTCTTCAGCTACGTTGGTGGCAATAAGGAGGTTGAGCTCACCGTCACGGAAGCGCTGGATAACCTGATGCTGCTTCTTGAATCGCATTTGGATATCACCGTCATCATTATTGCCATGGCCGATCAGGATATCGCTTTTGACGCTCATATCAAATTTATGGCAAGCCTTGATGAGCAAGTCAATGGCCACCGCTGTATGTCGCCGCTCCACGAAAATGATACAGCAGAAATCGTCCTTTCTTCTCATAATATCCAAGATCCTCATCAGTTGGATTATTTTGCCGGAAAACTGCGAATTGTCCAATAATTTCGGATCATCGTGGGCCACCCCTATTGTGTATTCGTAGGCTTGACGAGTCGCTCGGTCTTCGTCGTTGAGCCGATCCATGGGCAATTCTTGCGTTTCGTCGTACACTCGGTCGTTTTGTGCTTTCAATAAGTGGTATAAGAGACGATCGCAGCACCAAGGCCCGAGCTGTTCGCATGCATTGGATGTTGCAAGGAATATTCGTTTATATCGTTCAAGATGACCAATTTTTTGGTTGACAAGTTTGGACAGTCGTGTTTGCTCGTACTGGTCTTGTGTTGAGTATGTGACAATGATTTCTCCTGGTCGATTGACTGCTTGGCTAATGGAATGGGCATTCTGTGTGGTATACACTCTACTGTCGAGGTTTGCTTCCAGTTGACTGATAACATCATCCCAGACATAGTCCATTTCTCTGTTAGTTTTCGCAAGAACTGGTTTCTGAATTATAGTGGCAGTATCAGGTGCTTACAAAATGCTTTCCTCCACACTTTTAGATTTCGCGTGTACCGGCGAAGCCGTCATGCCAAAGATTTTTGGACGCTGATCTTTTTCGCAGCGCTGATAATGTTCTTTCATAATCAAATTGTACGGATGTCTTTTTGTTGCGTGGTGGCACTCGTCAAAGATAATAAGATTAACCTGTGCGATATTTCAGACATAAGTGAGAAACTCGATCTTGAGTCTATTTAATAGATCATAAACTTCAATGACTAACCTGAGACATGTGGATAAAGCCGTGTCGTAAAGTATCCAAAAAGATTTGTGCTGTCATGACGCATACGTCGTTTTCTTCAAAGATCTGATCCCACCTCTTTTCTGACCACTTGTCGATACCCATTTCACCGTACATGCGCACTACTTTGGCATCACAGTTTGCTTTGATCACATTGTATTGTTGCGGAACCAACGGGACCCGATCCACAAGGAAAAATGACAATTTGGTCTAACCAAAACATCATGACAGGCTGTCAAAACATGGACGTACACTCATGCAAATATTGAAAAGAAGCATCCAAGCATAGAAACTCGATGATAAAGAAAGTTACTCACGTTTCTTCGGCTCATTCGTTCTTCTCGTTCCTTGGCAGCTATGTATTTGATCAACATGACAGCAATAAGTGTCTTGCCACTGCCCGTATCCAAGACCGCGAGCACGTTATCTTCGACAGCTTTTTGAAAGATCTCATACTGGTAGTCGCGCGGTGCTAACATTTTCGTTTCCTTAGGCAGGTCATTAAAATCGTCGAGAAGCTCGGATTCCTCCGAGGGATCCTCTAGATCGTACCGTTCCTGTTCAAACACTTGATCAGCATCTTTGGCCGTTTGCCCAGGTGATGCGTCAAGAAACTCTGGGTCAATGTAGCGCAGTAATCGCTCTCGTTCACCATCGTTCATCGTGTTTTCGATATCGTCTGTAATGAATGGAATGGCATCGTCGTCTCTGTGTTCCTCGACATGATTGTCAACACTATTGGTGGTCATATTCCGCGCTTATTGATACTCTAGCCACCACCCGCTGTCTGTTATGGAAAGAGAAGCATATAATGAACTTTAATCAGGTCCGCGCTCAAGTTACAACCCCTTTTCAATGACGTTATCACTCATTTTGGTAATTGTTGTTGTAAGATTTAACCTGTTAGTGTCTATAAAAAAACTTGATTCCTACTCATAATCCTCAGTGGCGCCAGAACTGTATAGCCTAAGAGTAACGTCAGCACCATCGATGATCTCTTTCTTGAAGAAGTATCGGTATCTACATTATATAGTACTGTCAAAAAATTCTATCCGACTTCCAAATTTTCAACATGCCGTAACAACGTCAAGCTATCCTTTCTTCGACTTTGAGGAATAGAGAGGATGATTCTTACAAAAAAAACCAAAGCTGGCAAGTTTATCCCACTTTAGCAGGACGGACGAGGTTTTTAAATGTGTTCCTTGGCTTAGGGCATAAGAAGGTTCATTCAAGCTCCCTTCTCTATAAAGAAGATTCCGACTCTCTTTCTTCTTTGTTCCCAATTTTTGTCTGCCGTTTTATCGGTCAATCCTGGTAAATGAGCTTAGGAACCGGAACATAAAAGCAATTACTGTAATCAGTGATCAGCAAAGCAACCACTTCAGTAAGTATACACGATATATGTCACTTCTATACAGCAAAAGCTGGATATACAGCATATTTTTTATACGGTTTTATTAGTAAAAACAAAATAAGATTTTGATAGCTATACACAAGACGAACGCATCCTGATTATCTTTTAGGACAGCTAACATATTTGAGGAAACCAGAGAAAACCGGTTTCGATGAAGGGACGTGGCACCCTGTTTTCTTTTGAAACAAATCACAGACCCCTTTCCCAAGCAGCCACCACCCGAATTACATATGATTTACAACATACAGCATTATAAGCATCCTTCTGATACGAATGCTTTTGTATCCTGCTAAAGAGGTCAAAGTCTTGATTGTCCGGCCATAGTATATGAGAAACTACTAAGGGAGATAAAGTAGTAAAAGAGCAATAGCATGAGTAAGAAGAAAACCAGTCGAGATCAAAAAGAGCGTCGAGTGAAAGGTAAGATGATAGAGAGATGTGAAAAACAACGAGAAAAACCAATGTGTATCTTGACCAACGACAAGAAGAGCTGGTATAGTACGCATTTTTCAAAGATAGTGACCAACCGCATAGCACCACATTGTACTCTGTAGAAACTCAATGCATCAAGGAAGAATTATTGCAAGCTATGGAGGAACAAAGAAGCAAACCCATCAATTTAAGGCTTAGAAGAGTGCTCGGAAGCCAAATACGTAAAATCTCGAGGCTACCGCTGCACCTACTTTCCTTCAACTCAATCCAATCGAGCAATTCAGGTCAGTGGTCAAAAGTAGAGTGAAAATAACAAGCTTCTTGAGAAGGAAACGTTGATGACCCTGATCGGTGAAGCTTCTAATAGCTTAAAACTAGGTGATTCTGAATGGATCGTTAGGAATCCTCATAAATAATTGGACAAGTATCGTAATACAGTACATAGGCAAGCGCTCTAAAGAAGCTTTCATTCTATAGAAACATGAGCATTTGTGACAGTAAACCAAAAAAGCTTTCTGATTTTTAAAACCACGGAAATGTGTGGATGTATAGATCCTTGCAGACTGAGGTACATGATGGAGTACGATCTGAATTGACAAGGACATTAAACATGCATAGAAGCACGATATCAATAATGCATGAATCGGCGGTTAATGCTAAGACCTTGCAGATAAAACTATATGAAATATACAATATGTAAGAGGAGAAAGGAATGAGAGGAAGGATAGAAATGTGTTTAATATGAGGATATGATCAAGAAGGAAGCCGCATTAGTAACAGGACGATTGGCCGCGCGATCTTTTGGAGGATTTGCCCATTTGCTTCAGATACTCTGACAAGGGCACCACGTCACGACCGTCAGGGTTTGTTATGGCAGATGAAGGGCTCGTGTTGCAGTTGACCCAGAAAAAAATTGCTGATAACAGCAAGCAGGTTCAAGTTGCGCATCGTAGCAAAGCTGTGCAGGGTAGTCAGTGACGAGGCAACGTTTATAGACCCAATTTCGATCATGGTATAAAAGCTATCATGGCGCTTGGTGATAATGAAGAAAGAGATGACAAAGCCGTTGATCATGAAAGCCAAGATTAAATAAGAAAAGAATATTGAATATCTATCTTTCTCGTATTATCAAAACTTCTTTCATTCTGTTCCTATATTCAACCAGCAGCCAAATCTTACGGAAGAGGGTGCAAATAGATTAGCCCAAAGTGTTTCATGCAGCTTTTACAGCAGGTTCTATTTGATCGGTCAGCACAGCCCCACCTACATTATCTGCACCCAACTTTAGGCCACACATGCATCCAAGTCATAGCTTTTCTCTTGCCAACCATGACGACTACAGCACATAACTAGGGATCCGTATCAGAACCGTAGAACCGGAACCGAACCGGTTCTGTATAAGTAGAACCGAAGAACCGAGAGGCAGAAGATTGCATTTAGCGATTTTGGTAATTAGTATAAAGTAGGCTATAATGGAAGTGACGAACAATGTTATTCCGAAAAGACCACGAAGTAGTGTATTTGCAAGCCATACTTTATTGAAAAACTTAACAAAACCTGCAAAAGCAGACGGGAGTGAAAAATAGTAAAGAGAAGAGAAAAAATATTCTTCTGACGGCAGCTTGCTTTCTCCGCCCATGACGCACATCATTACTTGTTCCTCTACTTTGCTACCCACAATGCATTTTTCTCCATGACGTACTACTTTACCAGATTTATCATGGCTTCTCGATCAGTTTTATCAAGTTTGTGCATTCCGTTTGAGATTGCGCATTCTGGGGCTCATAACAGAATTATCTTACCCATTCACCCTTTGCCTTTTATGAGACACTATACACGTAGAGACACAGCAGCTGTATGTACTGCCGGTTGTGGTTCAATTCCTCCAATGTTACGATAACATATTGTACTCGTAATACTAAGTCGCTCTAAGTAAGTACTATAAGCTCCTTAATCATGCAATGACCCACATCGAATAAGAATGTTTACATTCTGTTTCTCTTATTCATTTTGAGACCGCTGTTCAATGTACAATAATAAACTTTTCTTTTTACTGCAGTATTCAAGTATACCGCGACATTTGAACACACACATCAGCTTTCATTTAAAGATACCGAATCTTGCCGTTTTTATATACTTGATGGGTTCGGTTCTTCGGTTCGATTCTTCGGTTCTACGGTTCTCGTCGGTTCTAGTCGGTTCGGTTCGGTTCCCTTCAAGAACCGAACCGAACCGAACCGAACCGAACCGAACCGTGCGGATCCCTAGGCCAAGTGTATCTCGGTGAGTAACGAATGGATGCGTGAATGATCAAAACTCTGAATAGTCACACTTAATTTTGTACTTGAAGCTGTGGACACCGTAGAGTCCAAGCTTGTCGCTGCCAAAGTGGAAGATAAAGAGAAGAGCTCGCTCTTGTACCGCGAGTATCGATGCTACCAGGATCTTGTTGCGAGGGGGACGTGCCAAGCACCCAAGCCGTTGTACTTTGGTACTCAAGGCGACTATAACGTCCTAGTTATGGATTTGATGGGTCGTAAGTACACTACATGAGCGTCATAAACTGTAAAGAGAAAAAAAGACATACGCTGAACAACAACTCCCTGCTTCTAGCCTCTCTTGGAAGTCTCTTTCAGATGTGCGACAAGTCGTTTTCGCTACGAACAGTCAGTACTTTGGGCTTGCAGTTGGTAAAGTATTGTAGATTATGTTTATTTGATATGGGCAGTTCACAATTGAAATAGACGACTAATATGTTGGCATTGGAAATTTAGTTGCGGCGGCTGAAGTTCATTCATTCCAAGGGCATCCTGCATCGCGACATTAAGCCCGACAATATTGTCATGGGAGTGGACGGTGATGAGAAAAATGTTTACCTTATTGATTTTGGGTTGTCAAAAAGGTTTATGGTTGGTGAAAAGCATGTTGCCTGGAGGGAAGGTCTCTAGTTTGTCGGCACGCCACTATTCTCAAGCGTTGACGCCGACACTGGAGAGGGTAAGTCAAGTTGCAGCAACGATTTCCTACTGTTATTTGTTATCTATTTCGTTTCCACCACTGACAATCTCACTTGTGTTGATATAGAACAATCGGTCCGCAGTGACCTAGAGGCTCTAGGCTATGTATTGTTGTATCTCACGACAGGAACGCTGCCATGGTATGGCTTGTCGATAGAAAAGTTGATGAAGAAGAAGGAGCAACTCGGGGACGATGTCGACACTTTGTGCAAAGGTGCTCCTGCTGCCCTTGCTGAGTACTTCGCGTATCTGTTTGAGCTTGACTTTGGCCAAAAGCCAGTGTACGAAAAACTTTTCCAGTACGTGGCACAGATGGCATCCAAGGACGAGCAACAGCACGAGTTTGAATGGCTGGTATGTTTCAACTCGTCTTTCAGTCTTATTTTGTTCTTGTGTTCCACATTTGGAGCCGAACGTTTACGTAACAATCCACTCATTAACATTCTTATGATTTTTATTAGTCAAAGTCACAGTACGAAAGCGCCATGCAAAAGCTGGCTAACGTTCTCCCGCCTCCTAATGAGACAGCCACAGCATCTGCACCGCCATCGTGGTCATCACCATCACCTTGTTCTTCATCGTTACCGTCATCATCACCATCACCATCATCACCATCACCGTCTTCGTCACCAGCCGCCTCGCCATCACCGTCATCGTCATCTTCACCGTCACCGTTACCGTCATCATCACCATTACCATCACCTTCATCTTCACCGTCACCGTCATCTTCACCACCACCATCATCACCATCACCGTCATCGTCACCAGCCGACTCCTATGCACCACCTTCTGCACCCGAATCTCCGGCTCCCATTCTCGCTGCAGCAACCAATGCACGCAAGCGAAAACATAGCAGTAGCAGTGAATAAAAGGGCCCGTATTTTTCTCAGCTTGACCGTCAAACTACTGCCACATTTTTTTAATATGTTTTGCTTATAATTGTACAAGGTGATCTCAGTGTCTCTTCGGTCATGATATCTACAGTACTACTCTTGTTAACATGAGACATGAAAAGTGACAGCCGCTGAATGTATAAATTGAGCTTAACAGAAAAAACCACATCCCTTGTTGATCTATACCATCGGTTTTCTGTCACACGGAGAAGCCATAATACATTCCTTGCTTGCTATTGACTTTTGTTCGTGATCGCTTTCGACATTTCATATTACGTTGAACAACAAGCGGCTATTTCCCAACTTGTTTTTGGCTAGCAAAAACGACGCCAATATATGGAACCGCGGCAGACGAAGACTAGCTAACGGAAAACCATATACAAGGGAGGGTCTAATACATGGATAAGACAGAAAATTAGCATAAAATTCGGTCGCTCGAGCAGCTCTGAAAATCTTTGAGGCTAAGTACGTAAAATTCAAAAACGGAAGGTGAAGCACGTAAAAATTTACAGTACTCCCCCACACATTTCTGTGCATCCGAAAAGTATGCATCCCACTTCTAGCTTTCTGTATAAAAGCTTTGTTACTAGTTAAAAACACTGTTGCTGCAATATTCGAGATAAAATAATCGTCCCTCTTATCAAAGATTAAAGTTTGAGCATTTTTTTGAGCTCTAGCCCATCTTTGTCCATCTTGTCCAATTTGTAGGTGACCACAAAAAGTCCTCCCACCTGCCCTTCATCATCCTGCCAAGGAGTCTGTCATGCTTTCTTACTCCTTTCTATGTTAAAAGAAAGTTGTAGTAAGTAAAAAGCAGAAGCTTTCCCAGAACTTGAAAAAGATGATTGTAAAGAATCTGGATAGTAAGCTGCCGTCTTATAATTCATCATGCGCCATATTGATTAATGCTTCTACGGCAAGTTGGAAAAGAACGTTTAGTCAAGTAAAATACATCGCCCCAGCATCAGTAAAAAAGCACCCCGCCACCATGAGAAAAAATTCACAACAGCCAATCACTGAGAAAGTTCCAGTAGGGAGAGGGAGAGCGAACGGCATATATCACAGGGATTTTACTCCATTAAGCAATGGCATCATATGGAACCAAAGGGAGATCTTGCACTCTGGTAAAATTGTCGGTGTTTTCCGACGGGTAGATTGAGTTACCACGGAGCTTGGGCTCTGTGACCATGACTTTTCTTCTCGTCGTTTGCTTCATGTATCTTTAGCCAAGGAAAGGATGATTAAGACTGTCTTCAAGTTCCCTGCAGAGAATCGCATGCCTCAAGATCTAAGCAATAGTGTGCCTTCTGTCAGTAACGATACTAAGTGGCTTGCTGGCGTGGAATGCCGCCTGTTTAAACTTTGGCTCATGAACTTATTTAACTATTTACACACATTGAAAAAGACATTCTGGTTTGAAAATAAAAACATCGCGCTTTTCTCCAGCAATAAATATCATGATATAAACAATGTATTCTTCATTTACAGCTTGATTGTTACTGGTGGAGTTGATTAGACACGCAACGCAGATGTTTTATTAACAAGCATAATGAACAAGACAACCTCTCATTACCATGGTTTTATTGATTTTGTTCTGCCTTTGCTTTCAATGATGCATGGTACCGTCTCAATTCTTCTACTTCTTGTTCTAGTGCTGAGGCAGCAATGTCCACTTGAAGATTTTGTGTAATCAGATCCGACCACTTGCTTTCCAACGTTCGGAGTGATCCGCCTGCTTGGGTCTACACATGCGATGCATTATTGACTTAGAAGTCTAGTACTACTATAACCGCCAATCCTGCATCTTATAATTCGTATATCCAACTCACCTGATCCGCCTTTCGCTCGCGATTGATCTTTAGCACAGCATCCCGATACTCGCTTGTCGTTTGCTGCAGCTGTTTCAGTTGTGCTTCTAACTGGTAGTTATGGACACGCCATGCGTTGGGTCCAAACTTGGCCAACAATTCCAAGTTGAACATGCTATCATATAGCAAAAACACATTTAATCTAACAGTAAATCCGACTTTTTTTTTTCTCATAGCAACAGCACAGAATAAGGCCCCTGTTATTTTATACCTGTCTGTTTGTGATTCTAGTTGAGCTTTCGAGTTATCGACTGCCGCCTTCCATGCTTCTCCATCAGCCTCGTCTTCTTCTGGTGCTTTAATTTCGTAGCGCGTATAGTCCAGTGCATTTAATGGTTCATTTCTTTTAACGCGTTCCCATTCTTGCTTGAGCATCGCATTGTTTTGAAATAATTCCACTTCCATAGGCAGCTGCGATCGATCGCTTCCGGGTTTCCGTCGCATTCGTCGCAGTTCTTGATCGATCAGCCGTTCGACAGTGGTTTTCATTTCTAAGCACACGTATAAGAGTATATACAAAGCTTCATTAGCATCACAGCATAGCAACATGTTCGTTTCCTTGTTTTGAAGCATAAATAGAAGAGAGTCTTAGCGAACCTGGGTCGTCGATCTCGCGATCGACATCTACAGTAATCAAAAAAGAAGAATGACGTAAAATTAGTTTACAAATATACGGTGACACTCGGATCCTGACTACTACAAACTTACATGGAAGAGCATCGATATCATTTTCGCTGCGTGTCGCTGATGTGGACGACGACTCTGTAATTAGAGCTGTGCTGGACATTATATGTGTATTAGGTTTTGCCAAAGACAAAGAGAAGGTCTATCACTAAGGGCGGTAGCCGAATTAAATTTGAAAGATTAAAGCCCATGTGTGGATAGCGAATATGAAAAGAAATGATTTATTATATAATAATATGTACAAATGAGAATGAGAGTTGGTTCTACACGTTAGTTTTCATGACAATATTTATTTGGTGTTCTTTTTCGCCCGCTTACGATGTTCCTGCTGTTGTTGTCGTTGTTCGTCTTTGCTACTACCATTGCTTGTTGAAGAGGCAGCTTCCCCTTTGTTCTTCATCAGCCCCGCTCGGATCCGTTGGAACTCTTCTTCCGATGGTTCGTCGTCCTGTACCCTGCCTCGCTTTTTGGATGATGACTTTCCTGCCTTCTCTGCAATCTTGTCCGCAAGTGCATCGAGATGCGATGCACGATCCTTTTGTCGTGCTTGTATCATTGCCAGTAGATCAGAGTCCTCGTCTCCTCCTTTCTTTGCTGCTTTTTTGCCTTTGTGCTTTTTGTCCCATTCTTTTTCCCGTCGTTCTTGCTCTTTGATTCTCTTTTGATGGGCTTTGCCGGTAGTGGTTTTTGAGAAAGATGGGAAGGTAGGGACTTTTCCTTCATCAATTGCTTTGCGGATAATCGTCATAAACCGTTCGCCATCGTTGGCATCGCTGCACTCCACAAAGTTCAAGATTTTGTCCATATCACCTTTGCAGCTCTTGTAAGCTTGTAACACGTCATTCCGTTCTTCATCAGAGCCTGTAACAGGATTTCCAAACATAGAGTAATGTTAAACTTCCTTTTCCCTTATATACAGTAATAGTCGTGCCTTATTTTTCTCAAACACACGCATATCGAACCTTTGTACTTTGCAGCAAACTTGTCAATAGTTTCTTCACTGACTACGCCACTCCACAGCTCTTTGAAGTAGTCGTTCCAGCTCTTATCGCCTTTGAGTGAATCGTCTGTGCTGATGCTTCCGGTCGTGTCATAATGTGATTTTTTTGCAGGATCGCTAAGAATGCTATACGCGAGACCGAGTTGCTGGAATTGTTCAGTGGCGTCCTGTTTTTCCTGATCGGTTGCAGATGCTGACTGTTTGTCAGGATGGAACTTTAAAGCGAGCTTGCGGTATTGTGATTTGATCTCCTTGGTCGTAGCAGTCTTTTGATCGAGTTGGAGAATTTCATAGAGGCTGGTATTTTTTGGAATGGAGGGCATGTAGGGCAAAAGACGTCCAGGAAACAAAAGACGGGGATGGGAGTACAAAGGAGGTTGCTGTAATTGGCCAAAGCTCAGCTCAAAATCCGGTGACACTGTTGAAATTAAACATGTTGTTCTTCATGCTGGTGGTGCTTCTAATGACTTTGAGGATGATGCTATCCACTATAGTAAAGTTACTATCTCTTTTTACTTTAATCTAATAAATAATATAACCACATAGAAGATGTGCAAAACTGCCCTTCTTAGGCAGATGATGTAATTCTTTATGCCAGACTCCTGCTTTGCCTGTGCTACCCAGTGCATTGCTTAATATTATTGATTTGCTTACCACTAGGGGTCGCAATTGGACGGGTCGGGTCGGGTCAAGGGTCTGACCCGTTGACCCACGGGTCAAGAAAACACTGACCCGACCCGACCCGTTCAACCCGACGAGTCAAAACTCGGGTTGACGGGTCACTACTGATTTTGATTTGGTGACAAAGGAGGTGTCAATCAACCTGAGCTTGAGCACTGGAAGTGCAAAACTACATGTATACACAGCTCTCTAAGATGATGGCACGCAAATTCCTAGCAGTGCTAGCAATATCTACGTTTTGTGTGATTATTCTTAAAGGTAAAGGGTTTGTGCCATAACAAAAGAAATCGTTTGCGCTCACATGCATTAAAGAAAGCATAATGGTTAAAGTGTGGTTAAAAATCGAATTCCTTTGAATGCCCCTAATCCTTTTCCCTTTTCCCTTTTCTTTTCATTTCTTCCTTCTTCTTTCATTTCTCTTTTCTTAATTCCTTCTACGTCTTTTGTCAAATCTCGTCTCTCACTGCCACTCTCTATTGTCTATTCTCATTGTACTATTGCTACTTCTTTACTTTGCTACTTCTTTACTTTGCTACTTCTTTACTACTATTACATATATTGCTTATAGCTTACTTATCTTACACTTTTGAATATAAAATATGATCCCACAATGAAAAAGAATATAAGTACGTTTTATGTTACAGTTCTATAGCAGACATATTGACAACTACATCTTTAATATAATGATCCTTTCCAACACGAAGATTGACTACTTGAATTCAAGTACCTCATAGATATCATATGTATACACGGGTCACAACGGGTCAACGAGTCGGGTCAAGGGTTAGACGGGTTGACCCGTGGGTCAGAAAAGCATCAACCCGACCCGTTGACCTGTCCTCAACCCACAGGTCGGTTTTGACCCGTGGGTCAGATTGCGACCCCTATTCATGTCCACTCTGCCTAAAATTAAATCCCTTCTGCCTAAATAAAAGTTCAAACGTCTGCTAGGAGATGAAAAATCCTGTATTTTTTTAAATATAACATTTTTTTATTTTTTTTATAGTTTTTTTTACTTCTCAATATATTTATTAATCATAAGAATGTTAATGAGTGGATTGTTACGTAAACGTTCGGCTCCAAATGTGGAACACAAGAACAAAATAAGACTGAAAGACGAGTTGAAACATACCAGCCATTCAAACTCGTGCTGTTGCTCATTTTTTTCGTCCTTGGATGCCATCTATGCCACATACTGGGAAACTTTTCTGTACACTGGCTTTTGGTCAAAGTCAAGCTCAAACCGATATGCAAAGTACTCTGCAAGGGCAGCAGGAGCACCTTTGCACATAGTGTCTACATTGTCCCCGAGTTGTTCCTTCTTCTTCATCAACTTTTCTACAGACAAGCCATACCATGGCAGCATTCCTGTCATAAGATACAACAAGACATAGCCTAAAGCCTCTAGGTCACTGTGGACCAATTGTTCTATATCAACACAAGTGAGATTGTCAGTGTGGGTACTACATTACCTTGTTGGTTATAAATTAATATTTGTTTTATTAAAGAATTATTTATTTTTTATATCTAAATTGAATTTTATAATATAAATAAAAAATGGAGCAAATAGATTATAGACCATAAATTACAGAGGAAGTAAGTATTAATATTGCTAATTATTGGACATTTCTTGAATGGAATTAGCCTATTATGCATAATAAATTCAAACATAGAACACAAATTAAACATATTAAATTTATTGAAAAAATTAAAGATATATTATTTAAAAAATTAGGTTATACAGCTATATTTTTTTTCTTAGTTGTGCTATATACAAGTAAAGAGTATTCGGCTCCTTATTTTGAATTAGAAAAAGGTTTATTTTTGTTATATCATTTAGTTTCTGGTATTTCTGAAGATGAAATTGAAAAATATATACCTCAAAGTACATTTCATACATTTTACAAAAAATTTTGGATAAATGAAGAGAATTATAAAAGAATTAATAAAATAGTAAATGATTCATTAATGTATATGTTTTTAAATATAAAATTACGTGTGTTGTCTGCAAGAAAATATAATCCAGATTTATTTAAACATGTAACACTTATTTTAGATGGTCATGATTCACGAATTAATTATACAGATACAGATTTAGATAGATCATGTTTATATTCATATAAATTTAAAAAGAATGGTGTACGCATACAATTTGCAGCTGATATTAATGATATGATAATTTTTATATCAAAAAGTGAATTCTGTGTAGATAGTTCTGATGGTAGCATGTTTTTAAATATGAAACTTTATAATAAAATGAATCAAAATGATACTTTAGCTGTTGATGGTGGATATACTTTGTTTATAACACAGTTTACTGAACTTGCTGCAGAAAAAGGATATGATTTTAGTAATGATAACTTTGTATATCCAATTTGTAAAAATATAAATGGAAACTTAACTATTACTGAAGAACATTTTAATAATACATTTGGAAGCTTTAGAAGTAAAATCGAAAATCAATTTTCTGAAAATTGGAAATAAATTTTATCATTTTAATAATAATAAATCAGTTGGGAATTAATCTATAGCAATTGAATATAAAAGATAATTATTAGTTATCCTTATATTATTGTTTATAGTTAATTCTTCAGGGTACAAGAATATAAGAAAATTATAATAGTTTAAAAAAATTCTTAGGGATTTTAATTATTATAAATGTTTTTAATTCTTAAGAATTAATTAAGTTTTGTAAAAGTTTTTTTGGTTCATAGGCAGTGCAACAGTAGTGAGCAAATCCCTCCTCTAAGCAAGGAATACTTGGACGCAGCTTAGCTTGACAGTGAAAGGAATAACTGAAATTAATTAGCAATTTATTGCTAAATTATTTGTTATGGATTGAAACTCATTGTAAAGATGGATAATATTAAATATTATAATCTTCAGTTCCGTGTTGCCTATTCATTAAAAAATATTACAAAGTTTGTAGAAGTATTTAATATACCTGTTTTACCACATCATAAAATATGGCATAGTCCTGATTTTGATTTTCCTATTGAAAAAAAATTAATTGACATAGTTGTTAGTAAAAATAAACAAAGTAAGGATAAGCTTGATAGAATGGTACAACTACAAAATAATTTATTAAATATGACATTATCAAATAATGAAATGGTTATAGATGATAATAGTGAATCAGATGATTTAGAAAATAGTGAAAATGATAATGATATTCCTAACTTTAATGAACGTACTAGATAAAGAAGAAGAAATGTAAAAGGAAAACAGTGTTCAACTGTACCATATGAAATAGAAAGTATTATTGGACATAAAAAAGAAAAGAACGCATATTTATTTCAGGCAAAATGGGTTGGATATAGTAATAATGATAATAGTTAGTTATCTACTGATATGTTTAACCAAAAAGAAGTATTAAATGCATATATTGAAAGGCATAGTCTAGGCATATTATAATAAGAACATAATATATATTAGAATTATATAAGAAATTTATAGACGAATATTTATAAAGCATAAGAAGAAAGGATTACCAATATTAATTTTTTTTCTGTTTTTTTCTCAGGTTTTATATACAGCTCTTTTATCTCTGTATTTTTAACACTATCATTAACTACCAATAGCTTTTTTTTGGAATATGTAGCTTACTATGTTGACAGCAAGGATAATCCTTTTTATCATCAGGTAAATTTGTCTTGATTTTCTTCCCACAAAACTGTCCATCACGTTTTCCTTTTTTGAATTTATAGCTACAAAAACCATGATTCATAGACAAATCTAAGAAATGATCATTTGAAAAAAGAGATTCTATTTTATTTTTTAAATTTTGTTGAATTTTTTGAATTATATATTCTTTAACAAAATGATTGAATTCTGAATCAATAAATGTATCAATTTCTTTATATAAACTAATTCTAAGATTAATGTGGTTGATAGGAAGATATTCATTTAACGCAACCATTTTCTTTTTGAATGATTTATTTCTATATAAAAATAAAATTCAATTTTATAAAAAAAAGGAATTGAGTTGAAATTTATTTATTAGCAAATACTAATGGTGATTATTCTGCAATATTTCTATTAGATCATTTCTAAACCTATATTCATTACTATTTACAATATAAAGTTCATTATTATTCTTAAAAAAAACCTTCTATATCTTGTTCCTCAATTTCAATATATTCTTTTTATAAAATATCTTTTTAACCATATTCATAAATAAAATGGGATCTACTATTTTAAATAAATTTATATAATCATTATATTTTATTAGTTTATATGCAATGAACATGGGTTCATAAGCTATATCTTTTATATTAAATTTATATATCGTAACATATTTTTTCATAGGATCATGTTCATTATGATATATTCTATCATTTTTCTTCACTCTAAATTTTTTTTGATGAACATATTCTAATAATAAATACTTTGCAATAAACAATGTAATATCTTTTATATTTTCATCAACAGGAATATATTTCATCACATTTATATATTCTGAATTCATTATTGATAGGTTTATTTTTTATTATAGATATAATTCAATTTGCAACCATTTTAAATTTTTGTTACCAACTAAAAATTTGTTACCAATAGTTTTTATATGAAAATAGTTGGTAATGCACATGTGCCAGTGGTGGAAACAAAATAGATAACAAATAACATTAAAAAATCGTTGCTGCAACTTGACTTACCCTCTCCAGTGTCGGCGTCAACGCTTGAGAATAGTGGCGTGCTGACAAACTGAAGACCTTCCCTCCAGGCAACATGTTTTCCACCAACCATAAACCTTTTTGACAGCCCAAAATCAATAAGGTAAACCTTCTTCTCATCACCGTCCACCCCTATGACAATATTGTCGGGCTTAATGTCGCGATGCAGGATGCCATTCGAATGAATGAACTCCAGCCGCCGCAACTAAATTTCCAATGCCTACATATTAGTCATCTATTTCTATTGTGAACTGCCCATATCAAATAAACATAATCTACAATACTTTACCAACTGCAAGCCCTAAATACTAACTGTTCGTAGGGAAAACGACTTGTCACACATCTCAAAGAGACTTTCAAGAGAGGCTAGAAGCAGGGAGTTGTTGTTCAGCGTATGTCTTTTTTTTCTTTACAGTTTATGACGCTTATGTAGTGTACTTACGACCCATCAAATCCATAACTAAAGCGTTATAGTTGCCTTGAGTACCAAAGTACAACGGCTTGGGTGCTTGGCAGGTCCCCCTCGCAACAAGATCTTCATAGCATCGATACTCGCGGTACAAGAGCGAGCTCTTCTCTTTAGCTTCCACTTTGGCAGCGACAAGCTTGGACTCTACGGTGTCCACAGCTTCAAGTACAAAATTAAGTGTGACTATTCAGAATTTTGATCACTCACGCATCCATTCGTTACTCACCAAGATACACTTGGCCACATGCTCCTGCTCCTAGCTGCCTAAGGAGCACGAAGCGGTCGTTGTCGACGGTGGATGGAGGCATTGTGTTTACGAAAAAGCAAGTGGAGACGATGAAAGAAGGGAAAAATGCCAATGAAAGAACAATGTATCACAGCAATGCTTTTATATGCATCGTTTTTCTCTCTTTTTTCAAAGCAGACATTCAAACAGTGCCCTCATAAGATTGGATGCATCAATAACTAGAAGTATGTACTGAAAAAGGAGCGCTTCATTTACAAAATCGTCTCATACCGCATGGTTGGATAACAGGTTGATACTAGTGTGTTTATGCAACAAACGCTACCTGTTTCCCTTTAATCGGACTGGATCGCTCGAGCAACTAGCAGCACTGCTCGTTTCTTAGTCCAGAGTTCCGTACTCGCCATCCAAAGGCCACTGCTTACTTTATACTTACCATCTCGCAACACCGTTCCGTCGATTACAGACATTGATGAGATCTGCAAATAGCTGTATCAAGAGCACGATTAGCAGTGATGTTGCAGTACGTCGTGCTTACAACCTCATTCTCTGAGCAAGCGTGTGATTTTCTACTGTGTACATGTTTGCTGTTACACTCAACGAACGTCAACGAAACAATTCCGATGCTGCGGAAAACCTGTTTCCCTTGCAAGAGCATATGCATACTACCCTCACGTTTGTGTTGGGTTATGTTTTGAGGCCGATGTAAGCGCATACAAAGAAACGATCCAGGCCTATCCTTCTATTACTCAGTTGGCATGTATCCGACCTGCTTGCGACGGCAGCCTGCCTGGATATATTTTCTAGCCTTGTTTGCTGTGCATGGCCACAGCTGCTATGGACACCACGCTAGGACCCCCAGCGTGCCAGATTCACTTCTTAGTTGCCGACATGTGATCACCTGCCGTAGCGAAGAAAGTTTTCCCACCATGATCGCATAGCCGATGATTTATTGTTTATGACCCCCCTCCCCTTCCCCCCAACAATCGCACGCACGTAGAACGTGATTCATTGGTTTAGGGCTAGTTCGGATTGTTCAGTAGGTTCTATCGATGTTGCGGGCTGCGGTATTCCTCTCCCACCTTCCTTTCCTTACGCCATCAATGCTTGCTGTTGCCAATCATCAAGTTGTATGCCACCACGAGACAAGCCCTTTATCGCGTTTTGTGAACCGACGAATGCATCACTATTGGGGTTTCCCTGCCAGCGCTGCTACCAAATACCGCGCCTCGTTAAATCAAGGAAATCGTTGCATGACGGGTACTTGTGATTACTTTTCAAAGCAATTGGTGGATTCTCTGCACAAGGACGACGCTGATCGCATTTTGCTATTCGTTTTTGGTAGATTGAACCCCTGAATGTCATGAGCAAGCCAGGTACAGTGTTGCTCTATCATACATAGAACCGTAAGGATGCGATAAGCCCACGACTTGAAGCTAAGGCTGCCACCGTTATAATATCAGGACCAAGACCGGGCTCAGTTGCGTGCTGGGCCACACAGTGCGGTGCTTTACTTGATAGGGAACGTTGACTGGTGATGGTGCAGGATCTTATCCATGCGGATAAAATGAGACTGTGCTGGTACAATATTTATCTTTCCATACGTCTGGGGGATAATAACACCCATGGCCTCGCCGTGAAGGAGTTCTATTGCGTGCGTAGTAGAATGTGCACCGCCTGTGTTTTTTTAACCAGGGGCAACAGCAGCAGTATGGCAACAACAGCATTTTAACCAAGCCTTTCGTTATCCGTCAAATCGAGGAAGTATTCTGATTCCGTTCATTGTCCACACATTATTCGATATAAGCGTAATTTTAAAAGAAATCTTTTTTGTAGCATTTACTGCCATTGTTACCATGATGAAGCACATTTGAGTTCATTACTGAGGGTATGCCCGATGATGAGGAAACAAGTGCTGAACATATATATGGGCAGTCGCCCATATGCGATCAAAGACTATATCTTGCTCTTGTATACTGTCAGTCAATTTATTGTAACATATTCAGTGTTGGATCAAGCACCCTTACACCAGCACTGTCAACTTTCTAGTAGACCTATATCTCAGTAAACAGAGAAATAACATGGTCATGCGCTATCTTGATCAAATACATTGTTCATTTCTGCTGCATACTTAAAAAAATTGAGTTTACAATAGCAGTTCATTCAGCGAGTTTTTCTTGAGATCGTCTAATCAGCGGTTTTTTTCAAAACAGCTCCGGTAGCAGCAACAAGTGACGTGATTTAGTCACCTATGCAATTAGAATGGAGAAGCAGTAAGTAGCAATCTTAAAAGGCGCTGAGTTGAGATTCTCTATTTTGCGACAAGATACCGTACTTTTGGATTGGCGATTGGCGACAGACGAACACGAGAGGCCTTTGGCCCGGCCAGGTGATATGCCAACTGCTGCTCAAGATGATTTCCGTGACCCTTCTCCTATTCAGAGCTTTCAGTATATATAAAAAATGCCTCCATCTGATGCTTCAAATGATACGTTGGTGTCGGTCAAAGGCAAGACGTTTCATTTTTTGACTTCCCTCGATGTTTGTTCATAGTCAAAGAATAAATATAGTAGTTGATTTCGATAAGTAAGCGACATCAGCGCTTCTATTCCCGACAGAAGACTCATAACTAAAAAATGAACGTTGTACTTTTGCAGGCTTCCTATAAGCCGAATATAATTTATAAGTGCATTCCATTGCATACAATAGATACACTACGTAACAGGCTAGAGCTAATGATTGTAGTATACGTGTAAATGCAGAGTTTTAAGATGTGTAAGCTAGTCATGTGTTGTGCTGTGATTGCTTCATTTAGAATTTGTTTGACGGTTCTTTGCTGGTGGTGATGTTGTTACTAGGTATAGTTTCGCTTATGAGTATCGGCAACCGTAGCGGACCTTCGGTGAAGGTGTTGTTGTTCCGATGCCGTCGAAGCAACAGAAGCAGTGAGCGTTTGAAACGAAGGGGACGGATTGGTCGTTCTTTATATTGTTCCTTTGTCTAACTAGAAAAACAAAAATGAGAATAAGTGGACTGTTGCGCGCAAAGTATCTCCGGAATATATGCGATAAAACAAAAAGAAGACATTTAAAAAAGGTGTCAAAACTTACAGCCGATTCGAACTCGTGCTCTTTGGCTGGTACCATAGTCGATATGTAGGTCATAATCCTGCTTCTTCGCAAAATTAAGCACCAATAAAAAGCCAAAGTAGTCAACCAGATTGGTTAAGGTGACATAGCTACTAAGGTCGTACTTCTTTTTCTTAACCTCTTCCAACAACAGGTCTTTCCACGGCAGAGTGTAGCTTTCAAAGCGACAAGATGCATGTGACCGCGCAATTCTGAATCGTTCCGTGTACTTTGCACTATATCAACACAAGTGAGATTGTCAGTGGTGGAAACAAAATAGATAACAAATAACAGTAGGAAATCGTTGCTGCAGCTCAACTCACCCTCACCTATGTCGTCAATGCTTGAGAATAATGGCGTGCCCACAAATCAAAGACTTTCCCTCCAGGCAATATGTTTCTCGTCGACCATAAACCTTTTTGATAGCCCAAAATCAATAAGGTAAACCTTGTTCTCATCACCGTCCACCCCCATGACAGTATTGTCGGGTTTAATGTCGCGATGCAGGATGCCCTTCGAATGAATGAACTCCAGCCGCCGCAACTGAATTTCCAATGCCAACATATTAGTCGTCTATTTCAATTGTGAACTGCCCATATCAAATAAACATAATCTACAATACTTTACCAACTGCAAGCCCAAAATACTAACTGTTCGTAGGGAAAACGACTTGTCGCACATCTCAAAGAGACTTTCAAGAGAGGCTAGAAGCAGGGAGTTGTTGTTCAGCGTATGTCTCTTTTTCTCTTTACAGTTTATGACGCTCATGTAGTGTACTTACGACCCATCAAATCCATAACTAGAGCGTTATAGTTGCCTTGAGTACCAAAGTACAACGGCTTGGGTGCTTGGCAGGTCCCCCTCGCAACGAGATCTTCATAGCATCGATACTCGCGGTACAAGAGCGGGCTCTTCTCTTTAGCTTCCACTTTGGCAGCGACAAGCTTGGACTCTACGGTGTCCACAGCTTCAAGTACAAGATTAAGTGTGACTATTCAGAATTTTGATCAATCATGCATCCATTCGTTACTCACCAAGATACACTTGGCCACATGCTCCTGCTCCTAGCTGCCTAAGGAGCATGAAGCGGTCATTGTCGACGATGGATGGAGGCATTATATTCACGAAACAACGTACGCCACAGAAAGGACAATATTTTGATATAAAGAGATGTAAGAGATGGACTGGGGTGGTTTCGCTCGCAGCAATGCCTTTTGAATTTTCTTGCAAGGCCAAAATCAATGAGATAGGTTTGCGCGGAACGGCCGTTGGCGGCGGTGGATGGAGGCATTCGACGATATGGTTGAGCAGTATCACATACAATCTGGTTTGCCATGCTTGCGGGTGCGCCATCACAGGACCTTGACATTGTCGCTGAGAGAAAAATTCTTCTCCCTGATACAATCCATTGGCATGACTTTCCAAAAAAGCTTGTCACTGACAGGTTTAAACAATATTCGTCACCCCAAAAATTTGCGATGGATGATCTTTAGCGCGGCCGGGTCCTTGACTTTTCGGCCTTGTCGCAGCACAAACGTTTAAACAGTACGTAGCTGGGTTGTTAATTATTGGTGGTGTTGGTAATATCAGGTCATTGATGAACTGCCTCGCCACTTGAATAGAGACGCATCCGGTCTGGGCTTGGATTGCACAAACGGTTTAAGCCATCAGCCACAATGACCGTAGCAGCAATAGTGAATCGACGAGGACAGGAAAATGGCTTGACACAGCAGTGAGCTTGACAAGAGAAGCTGTGGGTCTTTGGGGGCGAGCTGAAGCAAGAAGTCATCCGGTAAAAGAGCTTGAATAGCTGGTACATGCCAACATATGATAGCAGTCATGACCTCCAGAGAGGTAGACTAGGACAACTCCATGTGTGCGTCCTATGTAAATAGTAAAACCGCAATGCCCATGAGCTTCAACGCATCTGACAACAGGTACACATCGTCCCTTTCCCCAAGTCCTTACGATCAGCCTGCTACTGACAGCAACAAATTCGATTGTAGATTATGTACCTTAAGAATATTAGACAAGTTAAAGGACGTTTACAGAGTATTACCACATACTCTATTGAGCAACTTTCTTGCAATTAACCTTACACTGGCAAACTCATGTCTTATTTCCAATGCCAATCACAACTTACAATCCTTTTCTGTTGAGATCTTTCGCGAACAAACTTGCATAGTGTAGCTGTGGTTGCAGAAGAGCGGGGACGACCAACTTGGACTCACACATTGTCAAAAAAGAAAAGGGAAAGCAACGAAGGGATACTCTGTAAGTTTTTTTTTTTTTTTTTGTATGAGCCGGTAGGCCAAAATTTATTAATCCAAGTCACACGTACAAAGCAGAGGTGTGTTGGAGATAAGAGAAAAAGAGGAATATACAAAATAATAAAAGAGGGCGGAGAGGGGTGACAATGGACTTATTAGTCTATGGCAGTGATCTTGGGGTGGCGAAGCTGGGCAAGCAGCTTCAGTGCCAGTGAGACCACAGTTGAGTGAGTATAAGGGACGCGGTCGAAGATCCAGCTCCAGTAGACACGCCAGCATGCCAAAAGGACGGATTGGACGACCATGGTCCGTAGTTGTGTGGTGGACGCAGGGGCAACGGGCCAGTCCAGGTTGATGATGAAGTTGAGGAGGAGAGTGGGATCAGGCTCAGCATAAAAAACCAAGCCCCAGACTTCCTTCCATACGGCCCACCGAAGTGGGCAATCAACGAGAAAATGACGAGTTGTATCAACGAAACCTAAACATAATTGGCATTGCGGGCTTGGCATGAAGTCTGGTACAATACTGTGGAGACGGCTGGCAGTGGGAAGCGTGTTGTGAAGTGCGCGATACCAGACATTGCGGGCTGAATGGTGCATCGTACTATGCCAAAATTGACGCCAACGACTAGCATTGAGTGTCGGGTGGTGTGGTGTTGCACAAGTATTGTTCAAACAAAGACGACGAAAACTACGGGTGGTGAGTCCTTGATCCGTGAGATGATCTGTGAAAAGGGGACGCATCACGTCACCATCCGTGGTGCCGAGCTGTCCGTTATGTTGGGCCAACGGGTGGGATGCAGGTAGGCAAAGGCGACTGAAGAAGTATTTCAGTATGATGCGGCCATGCTGCATGGCCTCGAAAAACCGGCGAGTGACACGTGGGTGGCGAATGGGGCCGTCCTGTGGCAGACGTCGTCGTAATAAACCAGGAGTAGCATCAAAGACGTACAGATCCGATACCTTCAGTTTCTTGAGGCTTGGCGAACGGAGCAGGTCTTTGACTTCGGCATTGTCACCGGGGTCCCATATTGCGCGACTAGGCAAACAGAGTACAAGCGCTGGTGGGATATAAATGGATGATGGTGCTAGTTGGAGTCGATCGATTGAAGCAAGAATAAGTGATGCGATTGCTGAAGGTTGTTGTTGTAGGGAACGAGGGCGTGTTTCCGGGAATGCGAGCAGCAAACGGTGGTCAGGTAGTTCTGATCCAATGCTCAGCAGATGGTGAGCAATGTAGGGGACCACCAGGGAACACGATGCAGCACCGTTTGGGTAATTGATCAGTGGCTGAATCCAGCGTAATTGAAGAGCGTGTTGTTGTGTGCGTGGATCAAGGATCTGTAGACCCCCTTGGTCTCTTGGTAGTAGCTGGCGAGAGAGGGCAATGCGAGGAAACATGCGGTGAGAGAGGAAGCCGGAGATGATGGTCTGTAGTTTGGTCCAAAATGACGCAGCAGGTGCACCAGTCAACCGCAAAACATACCATAAGCGAGAAAGTAACAATGTGTTGAGGATGGTGGCGCGCCCCCGCACTGACAGCTGGCGTTGTTGATGTAGTTGACAACTCGTGCGTATACTGATAAGAAGACGATCCATGAAGAGACGATGCTGTGCTGTTGAGGTCGCTAACGGGAAGCCCAAATAAACGGCGGCTTCAGGATGCGATCGATCATGGCATGCTGGATAGCCATAGCGAGCGAGTGTTTGGTTCCATTCCGGTTGGGGCCTGCCGGACAAAGATACGGCTTGAGTCTTATGCACATTGAGACGAGCATTGGAGGCCAGCTGATAGTGGTGAAGGTGGTGATGTAGGCGCTCCAAGTCAGTATCTTGACTTAGGAAGACACATACATCGTCCGCGTAAGCCAAAATTTTGAGCGGTGGAGGTGGAGCAGGAAAATGGACGCCAGGGTTGCTAGGAGCAATGTCAACCCCACAGAAAACCTCATCCTCCAGCACGGAGCGTAGTAGTGGTTCGATCGCTAGGTTGAACAATATTGGCGAGAGCGGGTCACCTTGGCGCAGGCCTCTTTTTTGTTGGAAAGGTGAGCTGATGTGACCGTTGACGTTGATATGAATGTTGGTGCGAAAGAAAAGTAAACGAATACTGTCGATGGTTGCGGAGGGAAAGCCAAAACGCTCCAAAACACGAGAGAGGTATTCTGGCGCGATGAGGTCATATGCTTTCTCGTTGTCCAATAGCAAAGCAAGGTTGGTATCGTTGTCCCGTCCTGACGCTTGATCCATCATCATCCGGACTAAAATCCCGTTATCGGCGATGAAACGACCAGGGAGGAAACCAGTTTGGAAAGGTGTTATCAATGGTTGAGCAACTTGAATAACACGGGCGTTGAGCAGACGAGTGAAGATTTTGGCGTCGCAGTTGATAAGGGAAATAGGACGCCAGTTGCGAAGAGAAGACAGGTCGCCTTTTTTGGGCAGGAGGGTGACACAAGTTTCCTGCCAAGAGGGCGGATACCGGGCATGTTGGCAAGCGTCATTGTACACATCGCAGACAAGCGTTGCATACAGAGGGTGATGAAAAACAAGATACCAAACAGCATAGGGCAAACCATCTGGGCCTGGACTGCTTTGCTTCGGTGCACGCTTGGCTGCCAAACGTAGGTCTTCAATGTCAAAATCCTCAGTGAGGATTGTATGGTCGTCACTTGTCAGATGCACGTCCGTAGGAATGTTATCCAACAGGTGTTGTATTGATGCATCTGAGACGTCTGTTGGGGTGTATAGTTGCTCATAGAAAGATGTGGCAGCATCTTGCATACCGTTGATATCAGTGTAAATGGTGCCCGTGGTGGGGTGTTGCAGTTGGTGGATCGTACGGTCATCCTGGCGTTGGCGAATAGTGCGCTTCAGGTAACCCGCCGACGTTTCACCGTGTTCGCGCCATCGTTGGCCAGCGCGCAGGGCAGCGATGTCAGTCTCTTCCTGTTGCAGCGCAGAAATTTGTTTTTCCAAAGGCGGTAGGATTTGTGCACGCAGTGCGGGAGAAGGTTGATGTCGCAAGAAGCGATTTCGTTTTGACTGTAAGGCGCACAGTTGTTTTTGGCGCCAACGTGTGTGGTTACGGCTGTAATTTTGCATATGACGTGTCACCACTGACTTGAGGTGTTCCCATTTGTCTTGGGTAGTGGGCAAAGCTGCAAGATGCGGATGCAATGTGGTGAGAGTTTTGGCAAGAGATTGACGAAAAGCTTTGTGGAAGGTGACAGATGGGTTACCCCGCCAATATCCTTTCCCATGTGTGGGGGAGGATAGTCGGAAAGTGGTTGAAAGTACGGCATGATCGGTCCAAGCAGGGTTCACGTAGGATACAGTCGAGTCTTGAGTGGACCCACGGAATTGCGAGCCAGCATAAATGTAGTCAATCGTAGAATGAGTGGTCGCGCCACGCCTAAAGGTCGGGAATGGCAAGCATTCGTCACGATTGGTGATACAGTCGGAAAATGATTCATCCAAAAGGGCGTGCCATTCGAATGGTGCTTCGCGCGTATAGTGTGCGCGGGTAATGTCGTAGTTGAAATCACCAGCAATGATAAGCTTGGTGCAAAATTCAGAGTCGCGTAGCTGAAGTACTGGTGATTCGAGGAGAGAGCGGTAGAAATTGCGACGAGATATGGCAGTGTCGGCAGGTGCATAAAGAACCAAGACGAAGAAAGGTTCGAAAACGTCGGAGGAATGTGTAATTTTGACGAGCAGAGCGCGTTCGTCTGGTGTGATGGCGAGTTGTTCAAGGTTGATAGCAGTAGATAAAGAGACTAGTCCGACGTGTTGGGTCCATAGACTATTGTGGGCGTAGAATTCGTGGTGTAAGGTTTGTGGATCAGCAAGGCGGTCAGCATGACTTTCTTGAATAGCCGCAAGGTGAGGTTGGTGTGTGGTCCGCAAGTGGCGGATGAGTGATTGGCGTGCAGACGGTCGGCTGATCTTGGCAAGACCGTTGCAGTTGAGTGATAGGAATTTTAGATTAAAATTCCTATTCATTGATGTTTAACGTTGGTGGAGTTACCTCGCCCAGCTGGCTTTTGCCCACTGGCGATGTTATCTAGAGCTTTTGCTGACGGTTTGCGAATACGACCGTAAGCACTGTGGCTGGTCAGGGCCGACACACCGGGCAATTTAGCTGCTTGAACGAGTAGTGCTTTTTGGATTCGCAATTTCTTGGCTTCTGACATAGTACGAAGAGACTTCCGAGCTGCCTCTGTCATAGGAAGGTCTTGAAGATCGAAATCGACGTCTTCGCTAACAGCAGTGGCGTCGACCATCGTAGTGTCCTCCTCGATGGTAGAGATAATGTTGGACAGAACTGAACTGATCTGTTGTGAATCCAAAGTGTCATTCTCATCTTGGTGATGTTGCTCCTCTGTAGTTGGCCCGTGGTCCTCCGTATCCTTTCCTTCTTCGTGTGATGCAATGTCGTCCGTATCCTTCCCGTCGTCGTGCGATGCATGGTCGTCCTTATCCTTCTCATCGTCGTGCGATGCATGATCGTCCTTATCCTTCCCGTCGTCATGTGATGCGCTGTCGTTGATGGTGCTATCGTCGTCATTAAGTCGTCTCTCGTCGTCGTCGTCTGATGCGCTGCTGGTAGCGACGTCAACTTGCTGTTCATCGTCGGTCTTTATGGCGCCGGCATCGTTGTTGCTAACCTCGGTGTTACTGTTGGTTTCAGAGCCATGTCTTTGCGGTTGTTGCTGGGAGGAAGTGGCGGTTTTCTTCATTGAAGATCGGTTACCCTTGCCTTTGCCGGTAGAGGATGCCTTTGTCCCCGTAGTCGTTACCAGCTGCTTCCCTGTTGATGTTTTACGTCTCTTGTTCGTATCCTCATTATTATTGGCGGTCATGCGGCGCGGGCATTCACGTGCTATATGTCCCACGTGGCGGCAGTTGTAGCACATTAGATTCATTTTGTATTCGGTGCAGTCGCTGCGATGATGGCCAGGTTGGTGACACCAGGTACAATGTTGAGGCATCTTATGCCAGGTAGCGTAGAATCCATATTTATATTCTCCTTTCCATGCGATGATATGGGGGAGAGTGGCGAAAGGTTCATCTTCCGGATGGTTGGTGCAGTCGATGACGGCATAGCCGTTACCCATGAAGAGGTTGGTGGTGGGCTCACGGAAGGCTCCACAGTCGATTACCCGCCCGTAAGGCGCAAGGCTTTCTTTTAAACCCTCACATAAGAGGTGAGATCGTACTGGAGGAAGATGCGTGAGGCGAAGGCGTTTAGTGTCGGCATCAGTTGGTAGAGCTCGGATGGCACGAATGCGTGTTTTGTCTTTTTCGAAAACGAGTCCCGAATTCAAAGCCCGCTGTAAAGGCATGTCAAGATCAAAACACATCTCGAGTAAAACTCTTCGAGATCCCTCGCGATGAGTAAAGGCACCTGTATTTTCTGGGAATTGAGCCGCTGCCATTTGCAGGACTGAATGTAGGGGCTCGGGGCGGGTCGAAATATCGAAGAGAACGCAGTCGGTAAAGCGTCCATTGCGCCATACTTGCGACTGCAGGACGGTCCAGCCATCGTTGTCCATTGTAGGTGCTGAGGCGTCGACATTATGCATGAGCGAGACGCGCTTGTTTTGAACGATATGCGCCCATGTCATCCTGGGTTCTCCAGGTTGAGGCGCGTGAATTGATGCGCCAAGGGATGCGTCCTTTTCAGGGGGCAATTTGGTCTGCTGGTTCTGAGCGGGAGCGGAAGAAGCCATGTGATACTCTGTAAGTTGACAACCTTCACGGACAGTTCTCTAGGACGAGAGAAGAAAGGAGGTTTGATTGCCGCACTCCGCGTGCTTGCATAATGCTATTTTGAAAAATCATCGGTCCCGAGTCAGTATTTTTAACACCAGCTGAAAAAGGCTATCATACCTCGGCCGCTGCTGCTGCTGCTGTCATGACATCAGTATTTGTAGCCGAGGGTCCACGAACAGAGGATTCACACCGCCATTGCTTCATGGCCTTTGGCCTTGTCAGTATCAAAGAGACACGTCGGATGTGCTAATTTGTTAAGTTATGCAACATATACGACCGATGGCAACAGCTTTAGCTATAGAGAAAAAGCATTACTCAACAACGCATATCCGAGATCAGCGGGTGGAGTAAACTCATTGGCATATATTCGATCCAGAAAAGCACGTTTTTTACGTTATACATAACGCCAACTGTCGGATGTAGTACGGTTGTTACATCCTCAATTCGAGGCCATGCAATTGATTATAACACAACAATCTAGTATCCCACTCTGTTATTTCATGAATCTTGTTATAGTCTTAGAGGTAAGGCTAAAAGCAAGAATAAAAAAACCTCGGCAACCGCTCACACACAACTATTGTACCGTTGAGATAACTAGCGCAACCATATTATGTACACACAGATAACAGTAGCTGTCACATGATGTATTACCCAGCATATTATCGTATAGACCACTTTTATTTCATGGACTTTCATGAAAGGCTTTGCGTATGTGTATCTTCCGGTAGGGCATAGCTTCTTTTCAGTATATTTTATGTGATGAAGCATGATCTTCGAGTGTCTTGATGTATCCGATAGCCAAGTGTTTACATATGCTCAATTGTATTATTCTTTGCCTTGCGGGTACAGCTCAGACCATTTGTCCCGGTAGCTTGTGTTGTTAATTTCCCTTTGTAACCTATTTGGCTCACAAGGCAGGGCTTTTTCTATAAAACCCTGTCGCTATCGCTGGTGTTTCCCATCTAGGGCATTACAACGGTTAAACAATCTTTGTATACTCCCATGGAGTAGAAACGCCCGAGTCCATTTTGCTAATGCAATTCGCTTTATTTTCTATCAATTATGTACATATTCAGAGAGGTCGAGTATTGGTAGGAAAAAGCTCAGTTTAGGCATTGCCATCCTTCTTGGCAACGTACTCGACCAAGTCGACCACACGGCAGGAATAACCAAACTCGTTATCGTACCAACTGACAAGCTTGCAGAAGTTGTCGTTAAGAGAGATACCGGCCTCGGCATCAAAGATAGACGAGCGGTTGTCACCAATAAAGTCACTAGAAACGACCATGTCCTCAGTGTAGCCGAGGATACCCTTCATAGGACCCTCCGATGCGCGCTTCATGGCAGCCTTGATCTGGTCATACGAAGCGGGCTTTTGCAAGCGTGCAGTCAAATCAACGACTGAGACATCAGGGTTAGGGACGCGGAACGACATGCCAGTCAACTTGCCGTTCAAGTGAGGGATCACCTTGCCGACCGCTAGAAAGAAAATCAACCAAAAGCCCTGTAATTAGCTTCATTCCATATAAACAACCAGGCAAGCTCTTTTAACTACAGAAATCAATTTCTTACCCTTGGCAGCACCAGTGGTAGCTGGGATAATGTTGGGGTTGGCACCACGGCCAGCACGCCAGTCCTTGTGAGATGGACCATCGACAGTCTTCTGAGTAGCAGTGGTAGCGTGAATTGTGCTCATCAAAGCCTCGACAATACCAAATTCGTCGTCAAGGACCTTGGCCAAAGGAGCCAAGCAGTTGGTAGTACACGAGGCGTTCGAGATGACGCCGTATTCGGGCTTGTAGGCATCCAAGTTGACACCGCAGACAAACATGGGGGCATCCTTGGAAGGAGCGCTGATGATGACCTTCTTGGCACCACCTTTTTTAATGTGGACATCGGCCTTGTCGGCGGTGGTAAAGATACCAGTAGCCTCAATAATGTACTCGGCGCCATCCTTGCCCCATGGGATGTCTCCGGGATCCTTTTCGTTGTGCACAATGATTTCCTTGCCGTTCACCACGAGCTTTCCGTTCTTGGCCTCAACGGTGCCAGGGAACTTGCCGTGGACAGAGTCGTACTTGAGCATGTAGACCATGTAGTCGAGAGGGATGAATGGGTCGTTGACAGAGATCACTTGAACCCCCTCGTCACCCTTCAAAAGGGATGCGCGCAAGACAATACGGCCAATACGACCGAAACTAATATATTATATTATATTATGTTTGTTTGTTATTTATAAAGCCCAGATGTTACTCGTCCGATGTGCTTACCCGTTAATTCCAATTTTGACGGGCATTACGTGCTATTCGTGTTATCTCAGAAAGAGTGTAAAGAGTAACAGTAAAAAGAAAAAGTATGCGATAGAGACGACAGCAAAAAGACATGGCGTATTTATGTACAAATCATGCGAAACCCTTGCAGTGACATGACACTTGCACAACGCATGACGTGACAATGTCCGCATCAACAACGCAGCATTCAAGCATAGTTACAACGTGGTTGTGATGCATTTCACTAACTGTGATTTAATATCTGAGAGAGAAAATATCCATAAGATGTCAGATTATTATTTACTAAATGATAGAATGCGCTCTACGCAATATTGATACACGAATGCAAAAGCCAAAAGAAAAAGGGAAAATACACGCAAGGGTTTCTCATACATCTTGGGGTACATGACCACCATCACCAGCAGGCCATATCCAATCCAAAACAGCCCTGTACCACCGCCGCTGTTTCTCGCTCAGCTCGACCTCCACGACCGTTGTACTACCATCATCGCTTTCATTGTTCAAGGTCGTGTCATCATCGTTACCAAAGTCCCAGGAGCTAACGGGTGGTCCATTTACTTTGAGCGTCTCCTCATATATCTGCATAGCCTCTTCCATATTTTCCCGCATATACTGAACTCGTTCGTCATTAGGTGGATGTGTCGATCCAAACCAGTTGCTGATCAGGGAATCCAGATACTCTGCCGCTGCAATTTCGAGGTTTTCGCGTGGTTGTTCCTCATACACTGACTCGTCCGTCATTTCCTCCCTTTGTTGTGCCATGGATTGCCATACTTCGATTGCTGCTTCCGGATTGTAGCCAGCCTTGGCAAGCAGTTTGAGTCCAATGAGGTCGGCTTCTTGTTCTAATACACGATTATAAGATCGTTCGCTACTGTTTGCAATCAGCACGGACACGGCCTGATCTATCTTTTGGTTGACATAACTTTTTTTTTCGATTATTTTAGTCATTTATATTATCGTTATCCCATTCATTTATTTCCAAAGGGTACTCACGGGCCAAGCGGTTCAGTGAACATCCAAAATACTGCGCGTGCGATATCTGCCACCATGAGCAATAGAGACTCCAGCCCGTTTTGTTCCACAAAATGGCGTTGCATCGAGTGTGCAATTTCGTGCGAAAGAATAACCGCCAGTCGATCCGTGTGTGGCCCCAACCGCTTGATCATCGCGTCATACATGATCACATAGGGGCCTATGCACATTGCATTTTCTGTGGTACCGTCGCGTACAAGCACTACATTGAAATTCCTTTTGGCCGGATCGAGTCTGTCATAGAGTCGCACAGGTTCGCGCACGTCGTCGACAGCGACCGTGGCTATGTTGTCCACTACTTCCTCAACCCACAAGTGGAGAGGATCGTCGCGAGGTGCAATCAACCCGATTTGGTTGCTAAGCACTTGGCCGATCGCCAAATTGATGTACTCGTCTGCTTCGGTCTCGGTCAAATAGATTAACCGCAGCCGTGATGTATTGGGTGCCTGGAAATTTTTCATTTCAGTTTTTTTTTTTGGCTTTCTCTTCTACGAAAAACCCATCATTTACCTTATCTAAACCAACAATTAAGAGTAAAGCAATGCCGAGCAAAGGAACACTGGCCAACAACTTGAAGACAAACTTGCCACGATCACGACGATAGGTATGCGGAAGCAACGTCAGAGATGTCTTGGATGAAAGCGATACTAAGCTGACAAGCTTTCCAGTTTTGAGCGCTGTCAGCAGTACTGCAGGAAGCGGTAAAAGTGGACTGGGTCGTGGTTTGGACGCATGAAATGACCGGACGACAAGTGGTGGTATTCGTGGCTGTAATCGTGGTTGCTGATGGCGATAACAATTCAAACATAGTTGTCGACGCAACGGGGATCGTAAGGACACCATTGCTGCCGACCGTAGTGTTCGAGCAATGAGCATTTTCAGTAGGTTTGGAACGGTAGAGATGTTTCAAAGTTTCAAGGGAACAGAAGTGGAATAGTCACCGAGAAAAGAGAAATACACAAGCGAAAGAGTGAGGGCGGAAACAGTATAGCCGTGACCTTGGCTACTATATATAACCTCGGGCGGCGCACGCAGGAACCAGTTGCTCTTCCCTCCAAAGCCCGCTACAATGAACGGGCCACGTGCATTACTGCACTTCACGTCTTCTACCGGAGCACACGATCCATTAGTTCCTGGATACGATTCTGCTTGTACAGCGCTTGCCATCGGAGACCCTCCTTTAAAAAGCCATAACAACAGAATGAAAGAATTATTCCGTCAGGTTCATCTTAGAGGTCACTCCAAGTCGACAATCATGCTAGGACAACGATTCCTCCAACAGGCTTAGTGATGATATGCCATCAGTACATACAAAGAGACATCAATACTATAAAGAACATCTTTGAAATATCTAGTTAATTATGTGCTGCGGCCTGATGTCGTCTTTAGATGACTCACAAGCAAGTTCAGACGCTTACGAGAGCTCCTGATGATCTACGAAAATGAAGATTGTTCTCTCTTTAGTAACAATCAAGAAATCGTGACAACGGATTCTTTTTAACGCATAATGGATTGAAATCGTCAAAGATCCGGCATGGATACATTCGAAGATCACCGACACTTCATCCGTTACGGCGGATGCTGAGCAAACATTGTGATCACCATCAACAACCAAACCAAAACATGAACAAGCCATTAAAAAGCACCAGCATCACAAATGGACGATGATAGGGTTTACAGAGCTAATGCATGAGTCGTAATGAGGTGTTAAACAAAAAAGATGAGAGCCCACGGGTAGTAGTAGTAGTCTATGTAGATCCAGGAGCTTGGTTATACAGTGCTTCCAACAAGCAATGTCGCACACAGTCAAAAATGATGTCACCAGCCAATGAAAATCGATGTCGTTGTGTGATCAACATCAATTTCGCATGTTCAGAAATCGTGTCGTGTGCTTTTGAGAATGATTTGGCACTGGAAAAAATATAAAAGCAGACCTTTTCTTCAGAGTGGTGATTTTTTTTCTTCTTCCAGTTTTTACAATTAAGCTTGAGTATATTTTTATTTGAAGACGGACAAGGAAATGTCGTTGATGAGAATGGCGGCCCTGAACCCATGGAGTACATTGTTGATCAGGATGAATTTGTTGTTGAGGCGATTGCGACTCATAGTGAATACTTAAAACATGCAGTATCCAATGAACCTTCGTCGGCTTCCCAATGCTGATAGAAAAGCCAAAAGATGAAGACATTCGTATGAAAGCAGCAAACGTAAAACGCGATTATGTGCGCTATACTGTCCAGGATAAGGTTAGATTTTTCGACCTTAAGATTGAGAAGTGTAGGAGCGCATCAGCTGCAGCGAAGCAGTTGGGCATTCACATCCGGACTGCTCAGAGATGGGTTAAACTATACAACGTGTGTCCTGATAGTATTTTTGAGGTTTGTAAGCAGGTTGGTCGTAAATGTATCTTGAGTGAAGAGCATAAAACGGCTGTTGTCAACTTTATTGATGCTAATCCCTCTGCTGCTGTTGTTGAAGTGACTGAGCATTTGTTGAAGCAATTTAATGATCTTAAAGTTTCACGTAGCACTGTCTATAATTTCATGAGAAATGAATGCAATCTTTCGTTGAAGAAAGCCGACTTTCATTCTATCGAAAGAAACAGTATTGCAAAGGTCGAGGAGCGGTACAATTGGGTTGGCAAATGGGAAAATACAGACATGAACTTCCTGACGAATTGCGTGTTTCTTGACGAGTCTGCTTTTGATATAAATATGAAATGCTCAAAAGCTTGGTCCAAAAAAGGTACTCGTACTATTGTTACCAGGCCTACTACGAGAGCAAACACAACGTCCATTTTATGCGCCATCTCTGCAGCAGGTTTGATTACAGTCGGTGTAAAAAAACCAAGACCTGCAAAGAAGAGAAAGGCCGAAGGATATGTAAGTTCAGGAACTGTAACAGGTCATTACGTCAGTTTTTTAAAAATGACTCTCGATGAAATGGACAAGCATCCACATATGAAAGGTCACTATATAGTCATGGATAATGCACCCATTCATACGCATGAAAACATAAGGAAGTATATTGAGTATCGAGGATACAAATGTGTGTATCTTCCCACTTACTCTCCTGAGCTAAACCCAATAGAACTATTCTGGGCAGTGGCAAAAAGTAAAGTTAAGCGTCATAGGTTTTTGCAGGAAGACACTTTATCAAAGAGAATTACAGAAGCGTGCAATAGTGTGGAAAAAAGTCACTTCAAAGGTTTCGTTTCACATTCTTACTGGGATAAATGTCGAAACAGGGAGCCCATGTAATGACCACTGACCGAAGTCAATGTGCAAGTCATAAGAATCAGGTAAGTTGTAAGCAGGTAAGCAGGCAAAAAAAATAGAGTTCATTTGAACAAGTTGCATTTGTGCACTTGGTGGTGCGATTTGGGAAAAAAAAAAGGGGGGGGGCCAACTTGGTTTACTTCTTTCACATCACTTTTTTTTCACCTTCTTATTCTTACGACATGGAAGACATGGATCAGTTGCTCACATTTGTTCTCCCAGACAGCTTATGCCCCGGTAATGATCAGCTCAGCAAGGCTATTCTCAAAGACCAAATGACGATCGACCTTATCACGAAGAGCCTCTTGGACACTCCTGCCAACACCTATACCACGGACGACACAGAATGGCCTGATCGAACACGGTGCGACGTACTTTATGTACCAAAACTCGCGGTTCAGTCGTCGCTGCCACCGGTATTGATCGAAGTCCAGCAAATCGTCAACAATGATTTTTTGCGACGTGCTTTTCGATATGCTATGAACATCATTGACAAGTATGATATGCGACCTGTGCTTCTGATCTTCTGTGTCCAAGGCATTCAACCTGCCTCCCTTCGTGAAAAGTTAATCAAGCATCCGGCAAAACCTTGGTCTTTGAAATACCCTGATCACCAGCTCTGGACGAAAGACTGCCTGTAGATGGCCCCTTCCAACTTATCCTATTACGATCAAGGTTTGCCCGACCCTGTCGTCTCCATCGCTAGCTTCTTCTCCGCCAAGCAGCCAGCTCTTGCCAATCATGAGCACAGCGACGATAACACAGTGCAGAAGATGTACGCCCTTGCCAAGTCATTTTCCACGCGTCATGGAGAGTACCAGCAGAACTTTTATACCACTATGGAGTCCTTTTGCACGACTAGCGAAAAGCTCTGGGAGAGTATGCCTCCCCCTTTGCCACCGAAGCTTCGGATCACTGACAAGGCCAAAACCAAGACTGATGACACTGAGGAGGGTGAACTTGCCTTCGCTATTTCATACCAGCAGTCATACCAGAAAACACACGGGTCCAAGAAGAGCTGGCAGGCAAGTACAAAAATAAAACGTAATGTGTGCATGTACCGGTACGAGTTGGTACGAGTTGGTACGAGTTGGTTCGGGTTGGTACGGGTTGGTACGAGTTGGTACGAGTAAGAAACTGATGTAGCTTAGTGTAAAGGGACAACAGTTAACAAGACACAATAAAAGTTTATTGTTGGAGGGAAGAAGAAAAGATGTGGTTGAATCTCTAGACCTGGGTCGTCACCTTCATGGTCTAGAAGTTCACATTGCCCCCCCCCAACCAAACAGGAGCTATCAGTGAGACGACAAAACACATAGAGTGCATAGAGTTTTAGATTTGCTGCATCACAGCTATGTCAAGCAAGTGATAGAATCAGGTATGGGTTATAATTGTCTCAGTACTCGTACCAACTCGTACCAACTCGTACCAACCGGTACCAACTCGTACCAACTCGTACCAGCTCGTACCAACTCGTACCAACCCGTACCAACTCGTACCAATCCGTACCAACTCGTACCGGTACATGCACACATTACGTTTTATTTTTGTACTTGACAGCTTGGACACGAAGGCTTTCATAGTTGCCATAGCTTCGAGGCATGCCTGCCAGCTCTTCTTGGACCCGTGTGTTTTCTGGTATGACTGCTGGTAAGAAATAGCGAAGGCAAGTTCATCCTCCTCAGTGTCATCAGTCTTGGTTTTGGCCTTGTCAGTGATCCGAAGCTTCGGTGGCAAAGGGGGAGGCGTACTCTCCCAGAGCTTTTCGCTAGTCGTGCAAAAGGACTCCATAGTGGTATAAAAGTTCTGCTGGTACTCTCCATGACGCGTGGAAAATGACTTGGCAAGGGCGTACATCTTCTGCACTGTGTTATCGTCGCTGTGCTCATGATTGGCAAGAGCTGGCTGCTTGGCGGAGAAGAAGCTAGCGATGGAGACGACAGGGTCGGGCAAACCTTGATCGTAATAGGATAAGTTGGAAGGGGCCATCTACAGGCAGTCTTTCGTCCAGAGCTGGTGATCAGGGTATTTCAAAGACCAAGGTTTTGCTGGATGCTTGATTAACTTTTCACGAAGGGAGGCAGGTTGAATGCCTTGGACACAGAAGATCAGAAGCACAGGTCGCATATCATACTTGTCAATGATGTTCATAGCATATCGAAAAGCACGTCGCAAAAAATCATTGTTGACGATTTGCTGGACTTCGATCAATACCGGTGGCAGCGACGACTGAACCGCGAGTTTTGGTACATAAAGTACGTCGCACCGTGTTCGATCAGGCCATTCTGTGTCGTCCGTGGTATAGGTGTTGGCAGGAGTGTCCAAGAGGCTCTTCGTGATAAGGTCGATCGTCATTTGGTCTTTGAGAATAGCCTTGCTGAGCTGATCATTACCGGGGCATAAGCTGTCTGGGAGAACAAATGTGAGCAACTGATCCATGTCTTCCATGTCGTAAGAATAAGAAGGTGAAAAAAAAGTGATGTGAAAGAAGTAAACCAAGTTGGCCCCCCCCCTTTTTTTTTTCCCAAATCGCACCACCAAGTGCACAAATGCAACTTGTTCAAATGAACTCAGATCACGACTGACTTTTTATTATTATTTTTTTTGCCTGCAACCTAAACTAAAAAATTGTGGTTACAAGCGTTCTTTGGTAAGTTACATAAATTTTTTTTTTTTGATTTTTCATAAAACACTATTTTTCTTTTTCTTTATCAAAATGTTTAAATCAAATGAAACACTATTTCGAACACTTTACGACGATGAACAAGCTATAATCTATTTACAAAAGCAAGGACTTATAAAACCTTTTATTTGTAAAAAATGCGAGAAACCATTATCCATTGGAAAATATGGTGCATACTATCTTAAACCATGAATAAATTCGATCACCGACATGAAAAAAAGGAATCCTATCAGGGCTGTCTGAAATGAAGTTATCGATATTTTGCGACGTAGAACATGTTTATAAAGGTATTCTTAACACATTGTACGTTTTTGTTTTTTGAGAAAAGCATTTCTCATTGCTCTGATAGCCTTTGAAGTTTTGTCAGAATATGAAAAGCTACTAAGTAGGTGGAGGATTTCGACAGTCGGCTGGGCAAGGGGAAGAAATGTTTTTGGCAGTGTGTAACCATAGATGACCCAAGGTTACACACAAATAGCTGGCTTAACCAGTAATATGAGTGCGTTACTACTCTTCTTACCCATTTTTTCCAAAAGCACGCCTGTGACGAACCACATTAATACACTGCTTAAAATATCAACAATAAGATATTCGGTTAAACATTATAGCACACATATATGAATACTACAGCATCTCGGCTAAACACTATTGAGTAAAACCTCTCACTCGGATGATTGACCTTACGTGAACAGGACAATGAGCCTATCAACAGGTACCTCGGCTATTACATCAGCTAATGCCAGTTTCAAAGATGTGCCCGATTAACATAGCGACTTCAAGAGAAGTTCTGATACGTCCTTGATCCTTCCTCTATCACATAGTTTATCCACTAGTCGGATGAATTGATATCGCCGTCTTAATAGCTAGAAGATAAAAAAGCTTTATCTTTTGGGATTAAAACATCATCTCAAAGATATTTAATCTTGTCTCTTATTATTATCAAAGCTCTATCATCACAGAATCCGAAAATGGCTCCCAGATCCAATAAACAAAAACGCGCCTTAGAACAGCTTCAAAGCTCAAAAAACGGACGATTTCAAAAAGTCGCAAGACTAGAAGAATCGCCGATTGCCGAGATCCGGACTTCATCTGACGCGACCGAACAAGAACCAAACGACTTCGAGATTCTCACTGCATTCGAAGAGGCAACAGAAACCACAACGACAACGACGACAGCGACCACAACAAGCCAAAAGTTTCCTATTATGTGGGATAATAAAGCAGATTCCAATTCCCGTGGCAAATATTGGGGACATGGCAGAACCACAAAATACTACCAGCTACAGAAAGCATCGGAAAAGAAGAAAGGGAACCACGAGATTACTTCCTTCTTTCATAGCGCTGATGAAGTAGAGGTTGTTTCGGAGGACTTTGTGCCAGTGCTGACTATCGAAGAAGCATTCTTGAAACTGACCCCAATTGATGAACAATCAGTAATCATAATTTAATTTTTATATTAATAATTAATACCTTATTTTATAATATAAAATCATTATAATTATATTTTTTTAATAATTAACTATATAATATATTTCTTCTATTAAAGTATTCAATAATTATTTCCTTTTGTTTAAAATCATTTTCATTGACCCAACTATTATCTCTATAATCGTATCCTTTCCATTTAACATGAAATATATATTTTTTATTCTCTATTTTATGATTTACTATCTTTTCTACCTCAAATATATTTTCATCTTTGTTTACATTTCTATATTCATATATATTCATACATTTATTTTTATTTTTCGATCGTTTTTTTCTTTTTTTAGATACATTTTGATATTGAGGAAAGTCAACATCTGTATCATCATTATTATTATTATCATTTACAGTTTCATTTTCATTATCAACTATCATATCAATATTATTATTTTCTAATTCATCATTATTTATATTTAAATTTAGTAGTTCTAATTGTATTTTCTTTAAATCTTTAATTTTATTCATTTGCTCCATTTGATTAGTATAAACAATATCTATTAATCTCATTTCATTAGGAAAATCAAAATTATCATTTATCCATAACTTATGATGTTCTTGTACTATAATATTAAATTTATCAGCAAAATTTTGAATATTTTTTAATAAAAGTACAACTTTTAATTGTAAGTTTATATATTTTATATCATCTGTCTTTAATATAGAATTATTATTAGAGAATCTTTTAAATTTATTATATAAGTCTTTAAATTGATTTTCAACTATAGATACAAAACTACCAAATACTTTGTTATAATGTTCTTCTTGATTGTTTAAAGCTATTCCTGCTTCTTTACGAATTGGATAAAAAAAATTTCTGTCATTTAAATTAATATTTTTACTTTTACAAAAATCTTCAAATTGTTTAATAAATAGTGTATAACCACCATCTAATGCAATACAATCTTGTTCTTTAATTTTTCTATACAATTTCATATTTAAAAACATACCACCATCACTACAAATACCACATAATTGACTATTAGAAACATTAATTATATTCTCATTTATATCTACTAATACTTGTGTTCTTATTCCACTAGTTTTTAATTTATATGACCATTTTTTTTTATGTGAAATATTCGGTTTATCATATTGAATTGCTGTATCATGCCCATCTAAAGCTAAAGTTATATGTTTAAAATTTTGAGGATTTTTAATTTGAGCTGATAATACTCTTATCTTTATATTACTAAACATTTCTAATAAACAATAATCAACATATTTATTTAAATTTTCATAATTAATAATCCAAAACTCTTTATATAAATTATAAAAACTAGATGATGGGATATATTTTTTTATATTTTTAGATATAAAACCATCTACTAATTGATATATTAATAATAATGCTTTTTCAACTTCTAAATAAGGTCCTGGATATTCCTTATGTGCAATAAAACAGTAATAAAAAAGAATATAGGAATATAACCTAATTTATCTAATAATTCATCTTTAATTTCTCTTATATTTTTAATATTTTTTAATTCTGTTCGATGCTTAAATTTATTTTCAACTTTTTTCCAATCTTGACTTAAAAAAGACCACTTATTTAATATTAAATTATTGATTTCATTTTTTAACTTTTTTCTATATTCAATAATATCTTCATTATTCTTATTACTATATTCATCCATGATTTCAATATCTGATTCCATATTTATAGCATCTATCTTAATAATCTTTTAATTATATATGAAAATTCAATTTTTAAATTAAAAATATGTATCATAGCAACTAATTAAAATAGGAAATTAATAAGGAAATAATATATCTATTTATTTTCAAAAAAAATAAAATTAGATTCATTTTCTAATTTGCCATAGCAAATTATATATTTTATATAATTTTATTTTTTCGAGGAAAAATAGCAGTCACTTAATAGAAAATCTTGTTGCTAACGAAAAAAAAAATCATTTATCACTAACATAATAATTACCTTTTTAGCTAATTTTTGAAGATATCATATTTTAATTAATTACTATGGTAATAATTTTTGTAAAGAATGATAGTAGTATTGTATAGTAAATAGTATTAAAAGTAAAAATAATACTATTTTATATCTGAATTTTAATAAAATATTTGTTTTAGAA